CTCCCCCCCCCCCCTCTTTTTCTTAAAAAAAAAAAAAAAAAGCAGCACAACAAGGGAGGCTGGGCAGGAGACACTCATGAATGACTTATTCCTTGTTTCTCAAACTTCTATGGTTGTTTACCATAGGTGGGGGAAAAATAAAACAAAGAAAAAAGGCAGAATTGGTGTTTTAAAAACAAAATCAGTTCATTTCTGGTGTTGCTAGAGAGGACACTGTGTGCAGCAAGCCTCACAGGTCTCCGGTGACACCAGGAGCCAGAGCTTAAGGCTTCTACTGATGAGCCCGTTACAACAAGTTCTACAGCAGAAAACATTCTGAAAGGCCCCAAATGTGGGACCCAGGGCTGGGCGAGGACCAACACCACAGAGGACATCCCCAACAGAACTGCTGTCTCACTGAACCTGAGAGCAGTGAGACCTGAGACCTTCATTCTTTGCCCACTCAGGGGCTGGCCTCCATGTTATAAGTTATCCATGCTAGTGAAAGGGGTTTCTGGCAGACAGAAGCCCCATGAGCCTACATGGCCCTACAGTTCAGAGGTTTGAAACAAGCAAACACAAGCTGCTTCATCAGCGTGGCTCCTGCCCCTTGTCCAGTGACATTGTGAAAAAACAGCCTGACGCACTGCTGACAGCCGCCGCCTTATTAGTGGCCAGGTAGGGTGGGCAGGAACACACCGAGTCTGCCCAGAGCTCCGAGCACGGCCATCTCACCCCTACATGCTTTCAGATGCGTTGTAGATCCATGTCACTGCTGCCTAGAAACAGAAAGACACCCCCCCACCCCGCCCCGAAATCCACCACAGAACTCAACCACCATCAAAATGGTCAGCCAGCCAAAACCGGTTTGGCTCAGTGGATAGAGCATCAGCCTGTGAACTGAAAGGTCCCGGGTTCGATTCCGGTCAAGGGCATGTACCTTGGTTGCGGGCACATCCCTAGTAGGGGTGTGCAAGAGGCAGCTGATGAATGTTTCTCTCTCATCGATGTTTCTCTCTCCTCAATGTTTCTGGCTCTCTATCCCTCTCTCTTCCTCTCTGTGAAAAATCAATAATATATATTAAAAACAAAACAAAAACAAACAAACAAACAAATGAAATGGTCAGCCAGAAAGCTGTCACAGCCCAGCCCTACAACAGGCTACAGAAACGAGACAGTTCTGAAGCCTGGCTGCTGAGTCTGAGAGGTCACCCGAGTTTAAAGCTTGAACTCAGGACAGGCAAGCAGAAACCTCATCACCCTCGGTGGGACCACAAACAGCAGAGTACCTAACACATGCACTGCTTTAGGAACGTGCTATTTCAGGTACATCAGTGTCGGGGCCGACGGCATCACATCCTGGTCCATGACTGGGGCTGGTGGTGGGCAGTCTCTGAACCCAGAGCCCTGGCCAGACCCAGCGTAACCTAACCAGACAGCACTGACCGAGGCGCCACTGCCACAGCTCCTGGCCAAGAGCCCTTACTTGTCGGTGTCTTCTCTCCAGCAGCAGAGCAGGCTTGGCGGTAGGTGGAATACAGAGACGAGGGGATTTTATCTGCTCTGGATCAGAACAAAACATTAAAATCAGGTCAACTATAATTCGAGCTAGTTCTCAAGCTTACAATTCCAAAAACTTTAATAAAGCCAAAGTATGTGACAGAGTAAATGTAATTACACAGCACTGTACATTGTGACCCCGTTTAGAAAAACCACGCTACATCACGTCCTCACTGGTACACAAGGCCATGTGCTCACATCTGCAGCAGTAGTTTCACTGGGCAAGGAGATTATGCATTTTCTCACTTCTCTTGTTCAAGTTTTAGAAATTTACAAATTTTAAAAGGGAACTTATACTACTGTAATTAATAATACTAACAAAAACACCGAAATGTGATGAAAAACACAAAAAATTATAGAGTAGGTCCTGTGATAAGGACAAAGGGCGTTTACAAACCATGGCTGGCACTGTCTCAGGACACAGTGACAAGTCCAAGGACAGAAGCCATGGAGTCACCCTCAGAGGAGCCACAAGGGACAGCTCAGGTATGGGACGCATGGACACAGGCATGGTCTGCAGGACAAGAAGCCTCCACATGAGCCAGGAGGGCATCTGACCTGCCAGTCCTGCAAACCATGACGATACAAACAGGAAGAGGACACAGCTGAGCTCCAGAGTGAGGGCCCATCAGGAGCCTGGAAAGTAGGAACCCAGGGGGACCACCAACCAATTGGGAAGTGGAAAGTTTTTAGCTTAAGAAATAGAAACCAGTCTGGCTGGTGGGGCTCGGTGGTTGAGCACTGCCCAGGAACCAAAGGTCACTGGTTCAATTCCCCATCAGGGAACATGCACAGGTTTTGGGCTCGATCCCCAGCAAGGGGCACGCAGGAGGTAGCCAATCAATATTTCCATTGGTCCCTCTCGCTTCCTCCCTAAAAATCAATAAAAGTATTTTTTAAAAAATAGAAATCAATGCAAACAAAAGAAAGTGGAGAAATTCACAGAAAACCCTCAGGCACCATTATCACCACTACTCTGAGAGGGAAGGCAAACACAACAGCTGTTTAGCAAGAACAGACTGACATAGAGTAGCTGGGTCGGGTGTGGCCAGGCCCAGAGCAGCGGCTGCCAGGCTGGGAGCGGCCAGGCCCGGAGCAGCAGCAGCCAAGTCCAGAGCAACTAGGTTGGGAGCGGCAGTGACCAGACCTGGAGCAGCTGGTTGTGGAACGAACCAGAGCAACAGAGGCCAGGCCCTGAGCAGCCAGGCCCGGAACAGCTCGCTCCTCGCCTGCCCCTGCCCCACGGCTGCCTCTCAGACATGGCTGAAAACTTTCGCGGGAACTTGAGGGTCTGCTGAATCAAGTGATGAAGGCTTACTTCTGGATGTGTTGAGTTAGTATAGGGCTGGGGTGATGATCTGTGAGTGCCTTGGGTGGGGCCTGGATCAGGCTAGTTGACCTATTGGGAAATGTCTTTTGTGTGAAGTGTATCATTGGGCATGTGGAGGTATTATTGATATGAGAAAATGCTAAGTAACTGATTTACTATCTGAAAAGGGATTTACTATCGGGGAAAGGGAGGGAAGAAGAGACTGAACATAAACTGCACCTATGGATGAGGACAATGGGGGATGGGGAGGGGGCGGAGGGTGGGGTGGGAACCTGGTGGAGGGGGGAAGAAATGAGGAACCTTTGTAATAATATGAACAATAAAGATTGATTTAAAACAAAACAAAAAAAAACAAAAAACAGACTGACATAAAAAGAACATCTGGTGGCAAAAGTGAAACTCACTAAAGGACAGGCAGGTGAACTTGAAGAAGAGGGGAAAAAATCCCCAAACACCAGATATGTAAAATATGTCAGAAGAGAAAAAACATCAGAAGACAATCCAGGAACTCTAAAACCTGAAAATCAAGGGCTCCAAAAACCACACAGAGGAGAGCAAGCCTGCAGTGAAATTAGCTAAGGTGGAATAATAGTGTCTGGATTTGCTCCAAAATAACCCAGAAGGGTGGGTAAGTGGATGAACTGAGGGCTACAGATGAAAGACTGGCCATTCGTTGATAACTATGAAAGCTGGGTTATACATACCCTTATCTGTAGTTTTCTGTCTTAAATTTCTCATAACAAAATGTTTTAAAATAGACAAAATTTCTTAGCACTGGAGAACATGGATTTCCAGATTTAAAGGCCTACCATCTGCCCAGCCAAGAAATGACATCAGACCCACAGCAATCCACATTACTATAAAACTTCAGAACACAGCAAAAAAATAAGACCCTACAGGCCTCCAGAGAGAAAAACACATAAGCTCATAACATCTCAACAACAAAGAGGTTGACAGTCAATGGAGGAATATTTTCTAAGACTGAAAGGAAAACAAGCTCCAGCCTATATTTCTGCACTCAACCAAATTACCTATTGAACTTGAAGGCTCAGTATGGTGTCAAACTTTTTTTTTTTTTTTTTTTTTTTTTTACCTCCCATCCATCCTTTCTTAAGAAAAATCTGCATCAACAGGGTATGTTCCACAAAAACAAAGGAGCAAGCCAAGAGGATGATATGAGACACAGAAAAGGAAGGGTCAGCACAAGCCGAGGAACACTCCTGGAGGATGTCAAAAGGAGACACAGATGGCAGCTGTGCTCAGAGGCCAGAAGCTAACAATTCAGACTGGAGCAGGTCAGAGAAAGGCTCTGCAAGAGGCGTCTCCAGATGTAACTGTTGGATACTCGACTCTGAATGAGAGGACTCTAGACAACTGGCAGGATCTGCAGGCGAATCATGATATGTAGAAGGAAAATGAGGTAAGATAAATATGAACTCCAGAGAAAACAAAAGTAAACAACTGGATTCCTAAGGTCAAATCTGAACAGTTTTTTATAAAAGTAAAAACTGAGTTTTTAAAACTATTGTACAAAGCTAATTGTATTGATGGAATAAATTTAAAAAAAAATTGTTTGAATTTATTCCACAGGGATTATCAATTGATATTTCCTAAAATAGAAAAAGTGATAAGCAGCAAAATAAAAATGCTCTTTAGAGATACGGAAATAAAACCAGCTAGAGTTGAAAACAATTGCATCCAGACAGAAAGAAGTGGCAGGGAGGGGTGAGTGGTGGCTGTTTTTCTTAATAAATTTCAGAACTATAATTCTTTTTTCTAAACCAATTTAACTTTGACAAAACATTTTTTAAGACTAAAAATAAATGTCAAAAAATTAAGCTACATCATACAAATACAAAAAAAGCTGGCATTAATTTTCCTTTCATGATTTTGTACGAAAAACACTTCTTAACTCCCAGATCAATCAATCTTCTACATGTTCTTTGAAAAATTATGCTAAGTGGCAATACTTAGAATCAAAGAAATTCTTTTAAAATGTTAACTAATTTTGAGCCAATATTTTATAAGTAAAACACACGTGACAAAAACATCTCTACAAAAGACCCAGAATCCTCTGCATTGTCAAAGCCCTACTACAAGCAGCCTGTCCTTGCCCACCTCTTCAGGGACTCTATGAAGGCCACACGGGAGTCAGGGGCACTCGGGATCTGTGAGAGGAAACACGAGACTCCAGTGAGATCCAGGCAGGAATGTCCTTGCTCTCTGCCGCCTCAGTCCCGAGTTTGTGAAGATGTGTACTCACCACTCGAGGTGTGAGCAGGGCTGGCAGAAAGTGAGAGATGTAGTAGGGCCTCCTGAATATGCTGCAACACAGAAGGGCGGGCTCAGACAACAGAAGTGCCAGGACCTCAGGGAACACAACAAAACGTCTGTTCCAGAGTGCCACTATGTGGGCCGTCTCCTTTCACGGCTATCACATTACATCACATTTTTAAGTCCCAGTTCATACAAAGGGTAGTCTGTGCTGGTGACCTGTGTCCTGTGGAATCTGGATAACACTCTGCCCCTCAGGAAATCCCAGAAGTGGGACCACATTTTTCAGAAGCAATACCTTAAAATAAAGCTAATCCACACTGGTATTAACCAGAACTTAACAAGATTTGGGATCACATAAAATTCAACAGTTTTGGTATTTGATTCCCTATACTAGCTTCACACTGGTCACCAATTAAGTATTAATAAAAACAGCCGGGACCGGTTTGGCTCAATGGATAGAGCGTCAGCTTGGGGACTGAAAGGTCCCGGGTTCGATTCCGGTCAAGGGCATGTACCTTGGTTGCGGGCATATCCCCAGTAGGGGGTGTGCAAGAGGCAGCTGATCGATGACTCTCTCTCATCGATGTTTCTAACTCTCTATCTCTCTTCCTTCCTCTCTGTACAAAATCAATAAAATAAAAATAAATTTTAAAAAAAGTATTAATAAAAACAATCGTCCCTCGAACAGTGTGAGTTCCACTCAGTTCCACCTGTTGGCTGTTTTGGGGTGCCCTGTGCTTTTCTAAAGAAAACTCATGTCACGTCAAGGACTCCCCACCAGCAAGCTGCAAGACCATTGCTGGAACATTTACATGGACTCCTGCGTCTCCCCACAAACATGACCTCCCTGCGGCTTGTGGCCCTGAGAAAAGATGAGGGACAACCCCAGCATGACCCTACCTGGCCTCCATGACGGCGATGGGAATTTTCCCTGTGTGTTCAAACATCTGGATAGCCTTCTCCACATCCTGGGATGCCTGGCGGTGGGGCTGACTCCGTAAAGGGAGGAAAGAAAAGAACAGGACACTTAATAGAAGGCTTGTCATCTGAGGTAAAAGGTGCAGAGTCGATGCGTGCACACTGGGAATTCAGAACTACAAAAGGCATCGGTGGCTTTCTCTCTGCCCTCAGCAGTCAGACCAATGAGCAGCCCGGTAACAACATGGCCCCTGTGGAAAGCCACTGCCATCCTTCCATCTCCTTCCTACCTTTCCTCTCTGCTCCCTTTTAGGACAGTAAAGAGCTCCAACTAAAGATTTTCCGGTGAGAAGGAGCAGAGATTAAGTTTGATATTTTTCTTAAAGTACAGCAGTAAATTTTAAACAGAAAAAGGAACTAAGTATTTCATAATATTCACTTTAATAGCATTTGTAACAGTTCTCCAGCAACTCACAACTTTTAAGTAAAATGGTCTTAAAGAAGACACACATACCACATGGACACCTAACATTTGGTTTACATAAATGTAGTTAACCTCTTTTCCTGTAATTCCTAGTGAGAAAAAAAAGGCACCTCCCTGCAGTTTTACAGACCACTTTGTCCATTCAAACCCACATGGACGGGATCTCCCAAAAGACAACCCTTCCCACACGCAGTGACGGTCCTATTCCTGTTCTCAACAGAGATGTTACAGAACAAGTACTTGGGGCAACTGTACCAGACACCCCACCTGCACCAGACACCCCAGGTCCCAGACAGGAAAGGCTCAACTCCATCACAAGAAACAAGAACAAGAATGTGCTTGGTAAGCATGAGGGGGACTGAGGGGGACATGGGGGGGCCCGAGGCAGCAGCACCAAGGTGAATTACCTCTGTGACGTCCCTGGCTGTAGACAAATCCTCATAGAGCCCCATGTTCTCCACAGAAACCTGCACCGAAGACAGGAGCGAGAACACTGAGGACAAGATGGGTGTGGGCAGCTGGAGGTCAAGGGGAGGAGAGGAGGCCAGAACTTGCCTTCAGGTCGGCCAGCCGCGTCTTGGCCAGCGAGACGTAGTCTGTGAGGAGGGAGCGGTACTTGCTGGGGACCAGGGGTGGATGGAGAATATGCACCTGCAGCAGACGACACAACAGGACAGGAAAGTCAGAGAATTAGCCAAAGACCACAAGGGCAGAAGCTGGGGGAGAAAAGGATGGAACAGAATGGGATCCTGGTGAGGGTTTCCACATGCACCCGAAGGTGCGCCTTCAGAAATGGGCACAAGAGTCCTGCGGGAGGGCCCGAGGCTCTCTGCACACCTCTCTCCTCAGATGGAAGGCACCATTGCCACCTTAATCACCAGGCACCTTTCCATCTTAAAAGCCAGGGGTCAAGCATTCAGACAGGCAGGGGAGGCCCTGGAGATGTGAGCAGTGCTCTGGGCTTCACCCCATATGGGTACATGGCTTGATCTACTCCTCTACCTATTCTCTCACCTGGATTCTATGAAATATGAGATTCTAGGTGCCCAACCCCCCAAAACAAATGCTAGATATAGTTATCTAACTAAAGGCTTACAGAAATAAACATTTTAATCATGAGATTGATATAGACCTATTATACGCCCAGAGGTAACGACCCCTGGCAGTTTGGGTTATATCCTTCCTGGTTCTTCTCCTCCAATATAAAAACATATCATTCTTAAATATAAAAAGTGGGACGTGCAACTCTCCTGTTCTCCGGGGTCTCAGCTCTCTGAGCTGCTCCAAGGAAGACTTGTGACAGCTCCCTGTATGGCCACCAGCCAGGGGGTGGTTTTTGGCCTTTTATCATCACCAACGCTTTCACTGAGGGCATGCTTACACTCCAGTTGTTGGGTTTGCAGTGTTTAACCAGTACCTGCTCAGGAAAACCATCCCTGGACTGAGGAGGACATGAGCAAAGGCGCCGGCAGCCGGCTTCTCACCTGCAGGTACCGGGGGGCCTCAAAGGGCACGAGGTCAGACAGGAACTTGAAGAGGAAGACCAGTGCCTTCTTGCTGCTGCAGTGGTGGCCCCTTGAGCTCCCAAAAGAAGCCTGGAGGGAGATGGATGTGAGGCACCGACAGCACATGCCCTACTGTCCACAAAGGGACCTGTCAGTGAAGCACCTCAAAACCAGAAAACTGCTACTGGAGAGAGAAACCACAAAGCCAGTTGGTTCATACAATTCTGAATGTCATGGCGAAGCTTTGACTAGTCAGCTGAAACATAACTACGGCATCTTGTGAACATCAGAGGCACAATTTACTGCCTAACACGGACTCTCCTCGGCAAGTTGGGGGACATGCAAACTACCTATTGGGAGCACCAGCAGGTCAGCAAAGGTAACGCACCTGGAACCAGTCTGCATAGGACGGGAACACGGAGGGACCCTCCAGCGCAGCCTGACGCACAACCAGGAACACAGTGACCATGCAGTCCAGGTCAAAGCTCTCAAACGCACGGGCCAGCAGACAGGTTACCCAATCTGGGCAAAAACCATGGAATAAAATGCGTATGTTCTGCTGAGGAGTAAGTGCCCCCCTACGACTTGATTACCCAATGCCCATTTCAAGGGACTGGAAACTGATCAGCGGAACCCAAACAGCAACTACAACAGGCTGACAGCAGCAGCGGGCAGAGCCTGAGGGCACAGTCCGCAGGATGCAGGGCATCTTCAGGGCATCCTCGCTGAGATGGACACCATGATTCCCAATGTGACACACTGCACATTGCACGCAGACACATGCACACTCGCACACCCAGAACGCCCCCAAAGCTCACCGGTCACCAGCTGCTGGGCTCCGGGGAAGCAGATCACCATTGTGGACACACAGGACAGCACGTGCTGCCAGTTCACCTCGTGCGTCTCCAGAACATCTTGTAAGTGGCCCACCAGCTCTTCGGGACTCAGAAGCACAAAGAGCTGAAACAAAGTGCCTGGGCTGGCAGAGCAGAACCTGCTGGCAGTCAGACGCCACCCCTTTCCTGGAGGACACAACTCAGAGCTGAAAGGGGACACTTCTGCGTCTCTCCTTGCTGAGGGGTCAGTACTGGGTGGAACCAGAGTTCTGCGGGAGCTCTCCATGGCCCTCGTCCTGCCCCGTGACTCACCCTGCGGTACAGGCCGGTGAGCAGAGGGTGGGTCCTGGCGAAGCTCCAGTCCCTCTGCATTTGAACAGCATCGGAGACTTCACCAGGAGGAAGAACAGACAAAAACATCAAGTCAGCAATCATCAGAAAGCTGGGTTTTAAAGCTGCAATGTCAAAGAACTACCTTATTTTATTTTATTTTTTTTAAATATATATATATATTTTTAAAATATATTTTATTGTTTTCTTATAGAGAGGAAGGGAGAGAGATAGAGAGCTAGAAACGTCGATGAGGGAGAAACATCGACCAGCTGCCTCTTGCATACCCCCTACTGGAGATGTGCCCGCAACCAATGTATATGCCCCTGACCGGAATTGAACCCGGGACCTTTCAGTCTGCAGACCGACGCTCTACCACTGAGCCAAGCCGGTTTCGGCTAAAATATATTTTTCTTGATTTTTCACTGAGAGGAAGAGAGAGGTATAGAGAGTTAGAAACATCGATGTGAGAGAATCACAGATCAGCTGCCTCTTGCACACCCCCTACTGGGGATGTACCTGCAACCAAGGTACATGTCCTTGACCGGAATCGAACCCGGGACCTTTCAGTCCGCAGGCCGATGCTCTATCCACTGAGCCAAACCGGTCCCGGCGAACTACCTTATTTTAATTTGTATTTTTTTAATTAGTGAAGTTCACCATTTCCGTTTGTTAACCATTTCTAGGTTATAAAATGTCTCTCTTTGGCCCAGATACCTGCTGGTGATCCTATGCATATTTGAGTCTAGTTGCTTTTTCTTTTTTTCTGGAACAATTTTTTATTATTATTATTATTGATTTCAGAGAGGAAGGGAGGAGATAGAAACATCAGTGATGAGAGAATCATTGATTGGCTGCTTCCTGCACGCTCCTTACTAGGAATCGAGCCCGAAACCCAGGTTTCTGCCCTTGACCGAAATCGAACATAGGACCCTTCAGTCCTCAGGCCGATGCTTTATCCACTAAACAAAACCAACTAGGGCGACTTTGACTGCTTTTAAACTTTAACTGTCAACAGGAGATCAATGAGGATGCTGTGGAAAGAAGGACACAGGTCCTCAGGAGTAGGATAGCAGCCTCTGTCAAGAGCGACCGTATCCCACCTGCGGACCCTCCTGAGGATGTACCAAAGCACAGAGCCGGCTCAGTGGACAGGGTGTGCATTCAGTCAATCACTAAGAGTGAACGCTTGTGCCGAAGCCGGTTTGGCTCAGTGGATAGAGCGTCGGCTTGGGGACTGAAAGGTCCCGGGTTCGATTCCGGTCAAGGGCATGTACCTTGGTTGCGGGCACATCCCCAGTAGGGGGTGTGCAAGAGGCAGCTGATCGATGATTCCCTCTCATCAATGTTTTTAACTCTCTATCTCTCTCTCTCTCTCTTCCTCTCTGTATAAAATCAATAAAATATATTTAATTTTTTTTAAAAAAAGTGAACGCTTGTCATTGATAGTGACAGCAGCCAAAGGACACTCATTATAAAAGATGACATGAATATTAAACACGTTAGAAAACCATGAAACTACATAAAATACGTAAGTTAATGACATATGGAAACAAACCTTGAAATTTAAAAGTATAACTACATCTTCAAAAATCTATTTAGAAAAAAACTAGATTTTGTGTTAAAGCTACTTCTATTTTGGTGATGAGAAAGATGAGTTTTTCTTTCCCCGCTTCTTTAATTGTAAATTTTCTTAATGAGAATGTGTTCTTTTCAAATGAAAGGATGGTTAATAATAAAATAATCTCAAAGTGTCTGAGAGCATTAACATGGGGCCCAAATCCCTGTCAAGGGAGGCAATGGTCCCCAAACAAACAAGTCTGGAACCCACCTTTCAGCACAGGCTGGTGAGTAAGTATCTGAGTCAGCGTGTGCCTGAAAAACCTCTTTGGAGAATCCGTCGAAATTATACTGTGGAATGTGTGTCCACTGAATCCACTGAACCTGCAAATGGAGCAGAAAGAGGATCTCAAGAAAAAAGATGCCTGCACTTTCCGGCGGCGATGACCTCCCAACAATAGGCCTCTCACTAAGGATCTCTTCCATCCCTCTCCAGAAGAGAAGAGGAGACACGAGAAGAGCCCCAGTTCCTACTTCATGGATGCAAATGCCCAGCAAGCTATAAACCACCACTGTCATTAGCCCTGCACAAACACTAGTTTTGTGTATTGGCTGCTCCACGGTTCTCTGTCAGCCAACAAGAGGAAAAGCAAGGTTTACAGAAGGATGCTCCTTAGAAGGAAGCAGCACTAAAAGCCCCTCAAATCAAGATTTGAAAAAAAAACACCCACATTTTTGAAGAAGAAAAAAAAGACACCATACTCGCTGACAGCTAATCAAGGCATTCTGTTAAGCACAACTGGCAGGAGTCTGGGCCTGGAGGAATGAGGGGGCAGAGAGGGGTGCCTATCCTCCTGCCTCATCTCAGAGAAAGCAGGCGGACCCGGGGGGCCCCAGTGCCTCCCAGCTGTCATCTCTCCTAACACTGACACGATGGCAGGAGTGTGCTCAGGAGTCACCTGTTGGTACTGGAGTGTCTAAAAATACCTGGGCCCTAACCTAGTGAGCACCGCCCCCAGGACCCCCCAAGAACGTACCAGCTCCTCACTGCCTTGTGCGCTTTGGACTCCTCCTGCACGCCAGCAGCTAAGGTTTCAAGTGCAACTGATGCCAGGACATGGAAGCAAGAGACAGAAGCATATCATCACCACCCATCAAAACAACCCTGACTAAGTGTTTCTGGATAAGGCAGGCATTTCATCCTTGTTAAGAGCCCCTCACTGTCAAGTTACAGACCTCCCAGGCCACCCAAACCCCTAGACGGCACAAGGCCTCTAAGGTTCCAGTGTCTCAGTGAAGCCTTTACAACCAATCAGAATATGCAGACAACGAAGCACCCCCAATTCACCATTAAACATAAACATTCATTCAACAGCTCTGGAGGAATGAGCCAGGAGAAAAGTGGAGGCTAAGTTTACACTAAAGTACAACCAAAAAGGGGATTTTCTGGTACAAGGACTCTACAGGGAGATATATACAAACAGGAAGAATACTTGAAACCAAAAGGTAGAAACAGAAAATTCCTGGTAAACAGTCATTTACAGCCTGGGGCACAGAGCAGCACACTCACAGAGCAGCATTCTCTGCAACACAGCCACAGCAATCTGTGAACAAAGAACAAGTTACCGTTACACTCACACCTGTGAACCACACAAGAAAGCTAGTTGTTACTCTAGAGTCAAATACAATACTGGCTTTTCAAAGAGGGACACTGTTAAGATTTCCTCTTAGGTCTACGTAACATCCCAACACCGAGGAGACTAGACAGAGTTAAAGGCAGACTTCCTGCAAGTATCTGTCGTGATGCCCCAGAATGCCCAGGCCCTGGTCACATCCCACCGGCCCCCTGCTTCCCACATGTCTGTACCACCCAGGTGCTGCCCGTGCAGAGTCCTGCTGACACTGTCTGGACTGCAGCTGGGAAAGAGCGCCCCCTCCCCTCCTCTGAAATCACAGGGGAATTCCAGGCCGTGAAGATCTTTGCCTTCAAGCACTCTGGAAACCAGAAGACATGGGGGGAGATCACAACCTGTTCCCACTTCCCACACCTACTGGATGGGGGAGGGACACGAAGGGGGCACCTCATGAGCACAGCAAAGTCAGCCACTGGTCCAGGGATGTCCAGGGGAGGACTCCATGGTGGCATGGTGGGTGCAGGTGTAGGGGGCTTATTCGACAATCCTATAATGCTTCACCTTTGTTGTTCCTCCTACCTGGGGCATCTGTTCAGCCTCCACATTTCTTCTTGGACCTGAGATTTTCTGAAAGCCCCTCAAAACAAACACTTGCACAAAATCTGAAAACCACAAAAGCAAAGTATTTACATACACTGCAATCTCCGAGCAGCCAAGAGGCCAGGAGGCCCACAAGACCACCCTCTTCAGGGGCTGAGGGCGGACCCACAGGCAGCTGTGAGGACACCCTGGCTCCTGTCCCTGGGAGCCCTGCAGGTCACCAGACCCAACCTAAAAGCTTTGACCAAACTAGACTCTCTCCTTGCCATTCTATTTGGAAGGAAAACTCAGCTGACCCTTGAGCCCACAAAAAGTAGGTGGCCACATCCTTAACCACCTTGTAAGTAACAGGTGCTCCTACCCTGCTGTCTCCCTCAACACATTCTCTGGGGGGGTGAAACTGCGCTTCAATTAGCATAGCCCTCCTCCAATTGGGATGCTGAGAGAGCTCCTTGCCAATCCCACATGAGGGCTTGTGCCTCCTCATTCAAGGTCATAATCCACAAATATTTAACTCAACACACCAGCTACAGGCCCCGTAACATAATGGATCAACAGGCTGACTTAAATAAAATTTCCACACAATTCAAGTTAAATCCAACAGGTGTGGCCCACGATGACTTCATGCTAGATTTCCATGCCACGGGTGTAAGGGTCTTTTCTGCGTCCCACAGATCCTCACAGCAGAAAACTGACCTAAATGAATTCCCCCTCCACCCCCACCCCAAAGCCTGCCTCTGTGATGGGCTTACCAGAGAGCATAGCCCTGGTGATGTCGACGTGCTGAGAGGTGTCTTCTGTCTGCTCACACAGGCAGCGCAGGTTCCTGAAGAGCCACGCCACCACCGCCTGCACGTCCGAGTGGCTGGGGACAAGCATACAGCACACCTGGACCCCTGCTCCACAGCCATCCGGCCATTTTCTTCTCACTCATTTCACTCACTCAGCAGCTTAGGCCACTGAGAATAAGCTAGCAACCACCTGAGCCTTCTGTACCAAGAAGTTAGGGACACCTGCTACTAACATCAAAAATAATAATTTTCAAGTAGTTTACTTGCACTTATTTGGAATAGCTCACTATTGTTGGGAAAGGGGAAGAAAGGTCAATAATAAGATAATCATACAAATGAACAGACAGCAGCATTAAAGGCTGCAGGCTGTCACCACGAGATCAGCCATGCAGCATAATCTGTGTGAGAATCCATGTGGCCTGCAAAGCCCTGATGGAGAACCCTCACCTGCCCGCCTATCACCTGTCACCTCCCTGATAACAGTGTTTATGTGCCTGGCCACCTGTACATCTTCTATGGGGAACTGGCAACTGATATCCTTTGTCTATTTTTAATTAGAGCAGTCAGGCCTTCTCCACTTCAAGATTACAAAAACATCCTTCCAGTGCTTTTATAATTTCTATTTTTTCCTTCTTTGATTTATCAACATTGTTTTTGGTATAAAGTTCCAACTTAATCACGGGTTTCTCTCTCTGCCTCTCCCCCTTCCATTCCACTCTCTCTAAAAATCAATGGAAAAATATCGTCCGGTGAGAATTAACAACAAAAAGATCCAACTTAAAAATCTAGATGTGGCCCTACCTGGTTTGGCTTAGTGGATAGAACATCAGCCTGCAAACTAAAGGATGCTGGGTTTGATTACAGTGAAGGAACACATGTCCAGGTTGTGGGCTCAGTCCCCAGTAGGGTGCGTGCAGGAGGCAGCCAATTGATGATTCTCTCTCATCACTGATGTTTCTATCTCTCCCTCTCTGTTCCTCTCTATAATCAATAAAAATATATATTTAAAAATACAGATGTGGCCCACATGAACCACCACCAGTGTTTCAATATGGCATTTTCAACTCAGCTGGGCAATCCCTCAAACAAGTTTTTCCTGAGCAGAGAACAAACATGCAAACCCCCAGCCTCCTGCTCGGGTTGGGGAGGAGCCACTGCCTGGCTGCCTAGAGCAGGAAGCTGCCATCTGAGCTTCCAAGTGCTTCTGGCTCCTGCTTTCAGTCACAGCCTCTAGTCCTGTCCCTGAGATCCAGAGGCACCCGTCAATCCGAGTCTTCCAGGGAGAAAGACGACACTAGATCGGTTCCTTCTTTCCACACTGCTGGTTTGCACAAGCCCATCTAAAACGTGCTCAGTTGTTGGCCACTGGTCCATCTGCCTCCTGCTCTGTCCTCTCCCACACCCTCCCATCTTCATGGCTTGCACCTTTTTATAAAACCCCCTTTCTGAGGGTTGGTGGGATTTCAGGATGAAATAAAAGCACTTACACGCATTTATATTAATCATATTTATCTGAATATCTTTTTAGTTTTTAAACATATCACATAATGTATCTCTACAAAGAAAACATTACCAAGCCTGTGCATGATAAGACTTCAATTACAAAAAGACATTCCCTTTAAATAATAAATTACAGTTGACCCCTGAACAACACAGGAGTCAAAAATCTGTATATAAATTGATCCCCAAGTTTAATATAGTCGTCAGCCCTCAGTATCTGCAGGGGACTGGTTCCAGGACCCCCCCATCAATACCAAAATCTGCAGATGCTCAAGTCCAGTATGTCGTGGAACCACACATACAGCTGACCCTTTGCATCAGCAGACTCCCAACTACAGATCAAAAATACTGTTTTTAACCTCTCAGTTGGTTGAATCTGAAGATGCAAAACACATGGATACAGAGGGACAACTGTACTGGGGAAAAACCGTGTATAAGGAGGCTTGTGCAGTTCAAACCCATGTTGTTCAAAGTCAGTTGTAATAGTTTCTCCAGGCAATTTTTGGCTGTGATACATGAGACATACAAGACTAGGTTACAAAAAACAAATCACATGGCATTTAAATAATATATTATCACTACCTTTCCAGTAGCTCTTGGAGGCTCACAATGTTTTGTATTTGAAGACGCCACACAGCTTCCAACAACAGGGAATCCTGAAAAAAACAGCATTGTGAGTCCTTCAGGATGCATTTTCATACAGAATGTTCAGCCTGTGCTCTTAACCACCAGGCTCTATTTAAAATCCAAGTGGAATAACAGCATAGCCTAAACTATTTTATCCACTAGTTTTAAAACTCACCAAGTCTTCGGACATGCCCACTACCATCTTTCCCCTCCTCCTGCCCGTCCTCACCATCACATGTCCAGCAGGTTCAGACAGGACCCTGCCCCGCCTCTAGCTTGACCCACTTCTAGGCCTTTCTCCACTGTGGCCTACCCAAGATTCCAAAATGTAAAGGAACATGCCAACATCTTTTTAGAAAGCCTTGTGGCTCCTCACAGCTTTGAGGATAAAGCTCACTCTTCAACACAGCACAGCCCTTTGTGATCTGGCCCCATTTCTCCCTCTGTCCTCTCCAGTGAGGCCCTCCCTCCTGCAGCAAGGACACACACCGTCCCTCAGTCTCCCTGCTCCAATCACACCCATCTCCCAGAAATCACACTCCTCCTACACTTCCTGCACCTCCCAGCACTCCTAGGAAGCCTTTACCAACCATCCAGATACAGTTGCCCCTCTTCTCTATACCCTGTGAACAGCCGCACACAACGGCATTTACTGAACACATCCCCCTACTCTCTGCAACTAATGAGATGCTCGGTGGGATTCCAGAAGAAGTGTCATGTGGCTCTACACAAACAACAGGGCCTGCTTGGAAAAACCCTGGCGTCAGAATTACAGTCTCAGGTTTACCTGTACTTTCCACAATTCTTGACAGAAGGTGAGACGGGAGAACATACTGTGTGCTAGTAAATGCCCAGCGATCTCTAACAAGGAAGACAGTTTCTTCTGAAAAGAGAGGTTAAACCTTTTTTCAAAAATGGGCAAGTAAAAACAAAGGGGGGGGGGGGCAAATACCTGCAGCAATCAAGAAATACCTCATTTCCCCCAATCGCTTAAAAAACATGAGCAGCCCAGTGACCACATCATGCTGTGCCTTACTCTCTGCTCTGGGTCGAGCAACACCCCACGGGAGGGCTCCGCACGCGCCGCACAGATCTGCACAAAGCTGGAGGCCACTGTGTGGCTGGACAGGACGGCCACTGGAACCCCCAGCCGAGAGGCCTGATCCCGCAGAGCAGAGCCTTAAGGAAACACAAAACATAGTAGAAACACTCAAAACCTAAATCAGAAGACTGAAATGATTAAAACACCTTCTTGTAAGCTGTAGCAGCTCAGAAATTTGCCTTTTGAAGGTCAGAAGAGGTCTCTAAGGAACGCACAAGGTATCAAGGGAAGATGCTTTCCTGGTGGAAGCAGCTCAGAGTCCAGAGCAGCACCTGAGGCCTGCAGTTGCACACATGCTGTTTTGTCGGACATAAACGAGGGAGTTTGGCAGGTACATTCTGGTCAAGAATTTTATCGTTTCCAAAGGAGCACAATCAATCGAGAACACAGTAGGCTCTTTCAATGAATTCCCTGTTTTCTAATGACGTGTCAAAGACAGGCTCTCGCCAACAGCACAATGATGTCCGAGTGTGCTTCCCCAATACTGCCCCTCACACCTGTGGGTAGCACGGGTCCCGCTGTGCTCAGTCCTGGGGCTGCCAAGGGGACCCGCGTGCTGGGTGCACAGGCAGCCACCAGCCTCTGGTCTGCACTTCATCAAGTGAGAAATGCCAGGCAGTCTGAAGACACACGGTGCCTGTAAGTACGTTGTTTTCTAAACTCTTCGACATTCATAACTAATGTTTGTTTTCATGTTAATAGTCACTACCTTTAGCAGGAGGGAACTAAAAAAGTTCATGAGTTAAGGATCTCCTTATATGTCTGGGGTCAAAGGTAAGAGCTTCTGGTACTTAAGTTCTTACTCCTTTCTCTAAAGTCCCTACAGGAAGTGTGGCTCCCTGGAATGATGATGTGTAACTTGTGGAAATCAATCCCAGTATGGCAGCCAAAAGCAATATGCTTCACTGAGCTTACTGTTGAAGGTTATTTCAACAGAAATCTAAAACAAATCAATTAGTCAACTACTCTGGCTTCCTACCGGGCAAATTCCCAATGGCTCCCTGAACAAGGGACAGGTGCTTCCTCCCGCTTCTGCCCGTGGAGTCAAACCCTGTTTTTTTTGTTGTTGTTGTTCGTTTGTCTTTTTAAATATATTTTTATTGATTTCAAAGAGGGAGAGAGAGGAACATCAATGATGAGAGAGAATCATGGATCGGCTGCCTCGGGCACGCCCCCCACTGGGGACGGAGCCTGCAACCCTGGCTGTGCCCTGACAGGGAATGGGACCCGGGACCCTTCCATCCGCAGGCCTGTGCTCTATCCACTGAGCCAACCGGCCAGGGCCCGGACCCTTTTTTAAGTAACAGCCGCATAACACGCCCCAAGCAAGTCACAAACATCGGACTCGCCCTGCTCCATGCCGAGGACCAACCCCTTTCGGGTGGGCCCGAACCCCCGCTTCTGGGGCACACAGCGAGGGGGTCACCGGAGGCCTGCGGAGGAGGAGACACCGACTCACCGACCAGCGCGCCGGGGCTGCCGCGGTCCATCCGCCCGTCCATCCCTCCGCTCAGGGCCGGCTCTGTAGGTCGCGGGCCGTCCACCTGGAACCCAGCACAGGGCCTGGCAGCGGGCAGACGACCCCGGTGCCGGTGCCGGTGCCGGTGCCGCCTGCCTCCCGCCCTGCGCTCAGGCGCTTTGTCTGAAGGAGCGAAACTTCTGGAACTTCCTCATAATCCCCAGGGATAAACGCTCACCCCCACCCCGTTTCCTCCGCCGCCGCCAGCACCGAGGGCTCCAGCCCCAGCCCTTCCTCACCTCCAGCAGCAGCTGGCTCAGGTCCACATGGCGCCTCAGGAGCTGCAGGGCGGCCGCCAGGACCCGCCGGCCCCGCTCAGGACCGGGCTTCTGCCTCCGGGCCCGGCCCGCTGCGCGGCCCGGTTCGGACAACGGGACAGCCGGTCAGTGGCCCCGCGGCCGCGGACCCGGGCCCCGTTCCGCCGCCGGCGAGGGCCACGGGACACTGTCCCCGGCGCTCCGCGGCCCGCACCCCCTCCCACACCCGCTGGTCCCGCCACCGCGGCGGTGACCCGGGGACCCGGGCACAGGACGGGAGGGGCCGGGGCGGGGGTCACGAGGAGGGTCAGGGGTCAGACTGAGAGGGCTGAAGGCAACTCGAGCGCGCAGGACCCTGACCTCCCCGGGTCGGGTCGGCGGAGGCGGGGGTGGGGGGAAGGAGGCGCGCCCCACACCCGCTTACCCAGCAGCTCAGCCCACGTCCTCCTGCGGCTCCCGGACCCCGGGTCCGAGGCGGCGGCGGCCAGCGCGCGGGAACCCGACATGCTGAGACCCGGCAGCTGGTGGCAGCTCCGTACGTCCAGCCCGCGCTGCCCTCCCATTGGCTGGCCGCCAGCGCTGCCTTCCCATTGGCTGATGGCCCGTGCTGTCGTCCCATTGGTTGGCGGCTACCAGGCCACACCCCCACCTAGGCGGGGCCTCGCGCGGCGGCCATCTTGGGGATGGCCGGAGCGAGTGAAGCGCCTGACCCCTGGCGGCCGGAGCCGGGCGTGGCGTTGGCGGTTCAGGGCATCCCCGGCCTATGAGAAAAGTGCGGCATCCCTGATGCATTGTTCCAGCGAACAAGACGCACAGCTGTCCACGAAGACACAGCCCGACAAACCCAAACCCTAAACACCGCGGGTGGCGTCCTTCAGGCCATCGGAGAAGTTAGCCCGCCGAGCGCTGCCTGCCGCGACCTGCAATGACGGACGTGGATTGGGTCCCTCCGCCCGAGACGGTCGTGAGATGGCCAGTGACCCCGAGGTTGTGTCCACAACCCAGGCACATGTCCTTGACCGGAATCGAATCTGGGACCCTTTAGTCCGCAGGCCGGCGCTCCATCCACTGAGACAAACCTGTTAGGGCAATGCTTTGACATCTTAAAAAGCCTTTATGGATGGAGAGAGACCACCCGTCCCAGGCTAGCCCCTTCTTAGAGGCAGCAAAGGGCCGTCATGTGATCTGTAAACTGACCATTCCAGGGCCAGACACGCTCCACTTGGCCCCAAACCCAGGAGGCAACAGTCCTCCCACCGCGGGGCCAAGTGCCAGGCATCTTGGAACTGCTGCTACAGCCCAAAGATCCCGAAATTATTCAGACTAGCTAACCCTGACCATTCACCCTGCCCAGCCTCACCTTTCCCGTGGAAACTCCAAAAGGCAATGGCCTAAACCTTCCCCTCGTTCCTGTCTTCTGCCTCCTGGTCCCAACTGCTGCTGCCCCATGTGGCTCTAAGACTCATGAATGTAATAAACTCCCCCCACCCCACCCTGAGCCTCTTGTGACCATCTCATAAAAGCATGCAAAACATTTTTAAAAAGTTAAAAGAGAGGGCAGCTAAGGGTTAAGGGGGTTGAAGCCCCCAAGCCCAATTCACACCTCACCTGGGACTGGGGAGCCAGCCGTGGACCCAGAGCCAAGGGCTTCATTGATGAACCACCCCTGGGCAGGCTGGCTCTCTCAGACTGAGAACAAACTAGAAGGCCCGACGAAACCGGTTTGGCTCAGTGGATAGAGTGTCCGCCTGCAGACTGAAGGGTCCCTGGTTCGATTCCGGTCAAGGTCATGTACCTGATTGTGGGCACAGCCCCAGTGGGGAGGGGGGTGCAGGAGGTGGCTGATCAATGTTTCTCTCTCATTGATGTTTCTAACTCTTATCCCTTCCCCTTCCTCTCTGTAAGAAATCGATAAAATATATATTTTTTTAAAAAACACAAAAACTGGAAGGCCCATCAGGTAATGACCCAGACTTTCTTATAACCTCAAATGGAAAAGAGCTCTTTAGGTTTGTTTCCACAGATTTTTACCAGTCACAAGTTTTATACACACATGAAAAGACAGGCGAGAGCATGTTGGAGGGCTGAGGCCTCTGGCCCTTCTGAAGGGTGAATCAGAAGGCCAGTCCAGTTTCCTGAGTAGGAAAAACCCCCGTTCTTCTCACCTGTGTGAGTCTTCTGTGGCTCCTTAACTTTCACACAGAACACTTCACTCCTGCCACTTCTGGTCACCAAACATGTGGTGGTTTTCCCCTTAACAAGCAGTTCTGACAGCAGCTGGGTGCCCTCCCCTTTAACTCAGTTCTAACGCTGTCCACACCGAGACAGATCCCACTGGTTACAGGCTCAGTCCCGCAGGACGGCCCCCACTTCAGATGCCAATTCTAACTCTTGTGTCCCCAGGTTACCCACAGCTTCTGCCTGATTTGGCAGCAGATTGGGGAGTCCCACGACCCCTTCCTTGGATTCAATAAATTTGCAAGAGTGACTCACAGAATCCAAGGAAACACATTTACCAATTTTTTGAGGGATAGAGGTGACCGGCCAGATGAAGATACACGGGTCAAGGTCCAGGAGGGTCCCAAGTGCCACGGAGCTGGGATGGGTCACCCCCGGGTTAGACGTGTTCCCCAAAATGGAAGCCTCCCACCCCAGAGCACAGGACAGGGTGGAGAGCGTGTTGCACTCAGTGTAAAAAGGGCACCTGTGAGTTTGTAGTAAGTAGACCACAAAAGACCAAAGACAGGGACTGTGTGTCTGGGGCCAGTGCGTAGACATCAAACCATGTGAAATCAGCCACACAGATTGGTAGTGATGTCTATAATTTTACAGAGACGTCGGTTGTGATGGAAACGAGCATCCCTGCAGGCAGTGAGGGAAGCACGGGCCGAGTGATCCTTAAGGCTGCGCACTGGGAAGTTAGCCATCCTGCACTCCCTGTTCCAAACAGTGACCCCCAGTGTCTTCAATGGGAAGAACACCGTATTCTCTGTATTTTCTCCACTCCCGCCCAATCAGGAACTCCAGGTGAGCAGCCCCCCTCTCCCACTCGTGCCCCACACAGCACGCCCCATCTGTGGTGTCGTCTGGGGGTTCCCCTCACCATCCTGGCTGAGCTCTGGGACCTGTTTCCTGTCCGGAGCTCTGTGTCTCCTCTCCCTCCTCACCTCTCCACCACCAGCCTGGAAACCTTCCCTGGGAGCTGTTCTGGGCTCCCATTCAGACATCGAACACAGCCCGGCTCTATTAGCATCCCTTGGGATTCTTGTCCTTTATCATTATCCCAAAATAAACCTAAAGCACAAAACCTCAGCCACTCACGTTTCAGCTTTTCCTCCCGGACCCCTGAGCCATGCCTGGCTGTAAGGAGCCGGACAAAGAGGGCATTCAGGGGCCTCTGAGCCATGGCAACGGGCCTGGCCGCTCACTCTGTGCTTGGATCCCTTGGGGGAAGCCGACCTGTTTTTTTTTTTTTAGTTTTTTTTTTTTTTAATCTGAAGTAGAATCAGCGAGGGGACGAGAGAGAACCTTGGCATCCCACTCTCCACAGCTGCAGCTGTCTGCCTGCATCCAGGGGAGTCCACGGGCTCAAATTGTCTTTGATCTTAAACCCAATTGCTCATGTACCTGACTCACTCTGACCTTTGTCTCAATACACACAGTGCCCTCACTATGCCACCTCTCACACTGGAGCCCCGCACCCCCTCCTAGAATCCTGTAACCACCAGTCCACAACGCACCTGGGATCCAGCCCAGTTGCTCCTTTTGGCGTCCAAGAGCCACCAAACACCAAACACAGAGCATGAGAAAAATACCCAGTGGGTTCCTTCACATCACACACCTGTCCCTCTCACCCACCCAGAGGGAAGGTACTTTGTGTGCTGTTTCCCCCTAAGGATGAGGGGTGGGGGCGTTTGGGTTTTCACTGGTCTTTCCCAGGCATAAGTCATCAATCCCAGGGCTCAGCAAGCATGTGTGAATGGACGTCCTACACCATAAGGAGAGTATCTGCTAATGTGATAAACTGATAAAAGTGACTCTCCGATTTCAAGCTCCAAATGTCTCTCTTCTGTCCCCAAGCCCAGCCCACTGGAAGGGGTTCCTTCGTGTACTGGAAATGAAGTCTGAAGAGCCCTTTTTTTAGGCTGCAGGTGATAACTGTAGAAATGACCTTGCTCCAAAGCTTTCCAAGCTGAGTTAATGATTGACCTCGATCAATTCTACTGTGCTTCCCAGTAACAGCCGGAAATACACTGTTTATTTCTAAAATCCAAGTGGCAAGTTCAAGTTATGGGAGAACTAACATGTCTCTGATTCTGATCATACTTTGTGGGCTAATAGCTCTATGTTTTAACCCTAGTGCCATTTTTGACAGGAATAAACCCATTTCCCTCCCTACCAGGTGCCTCTGCCGTGCTCCTGGGTAAGAAGCTGGCATCGGCATTCCCCTTGGTGAGCAGCCCAGACAACTGCCAGCTCACATACACGAGAGCCCTCAGTCCAAACAATAAAACATGTGGCAGTGCTTGGGATCCATCCAGAAGGAAATGATTATCTTGACTTTGTAACTAATGGGAGCAACGTATCACTACGCCCAAAGCGCCCACAGCCAGCCGGAACCTGGATATGTCTAGTTGCCAGAGCAATGGGCCAATGTGACCAGTTTTCTCTTCCAGGGGAGTGCAGAGTGACAAGTTGGAATCCCTCTCACTGCCCCACCCTTAGGCCATGCCGGGCTTCCCTCTCTCCTTAAGACTACTGCTAGGTCTCATGTGGTACTTTCGGCAGCGGGAGATGTGTGGGTAAATGACCTAGGAGGGAAACATAGTTTCCAGGAGCATGTAGAGAGCCGATTGATGCTTCTGCTTCTTTATTTTGATCACAACCAGGAGGGCAAACCTTCAGGTACCAAGAGATAAGTAAAAACTAATTTTAAGAACTTTTTATTAAAACCCCAGTGTTCTAAATCTCACCAGCTGATGTCTTGCAATTTGCTCATGGATCCCTAAAAAATGATCAATGCCAGATCAGAAAGGGTGCTGCACTCCTTACACAGGTGACCTCAAGGGCCTCTGGGTCAGCAGGTGTGAGTTGTCACCAAGTCATCAAATGAGATCCTAAAACCATGTGGTCAGGGAAGCGGGAGGTCTTAGAGCAGTAGTTCTCAACCTTCCTAAGGCCTCGACCCTTTAACGCAGTTCCTCATGTTGGGGTAATCCCCACCCATAAAATTACTTTCGTTGCTACTTCAGAACTGTAATTTTGTTACTATTAATGAATCGTAATGTAAATAACTGTTTTCCGATGGTCTTAGGCTCTACAGCAGCAGTTCTCAACCTGTGGGTCGCCTAAGACCATTGGAAAACACAGATATTTACATTACGATTCATAACTAGCAAAATTAGTTATGATGTAGCAACGAAAATAATTTTATGGTTGGGAGTCACCACATCACGAGGAGCTGTATTAATGATGCTGTGTCCAAGGTGCTGCAGACACCGGGGGATGGTGGCCTGCCCGCCTGCCATGGGAGCGGGGAGTGCCCCTTTACCAGAGGTGATACAGATGGAAGTCTTAACTCCCACGGAGTCGAAAGCAGAAACCACCTGAGGAACCAGCTCCGGTGTGGTGTGGGAGGACAGTTTCCCAGATCACACACACCTGGCACTGTGTGACGGGTCCGGACTCTCCTTAAACCTCCGACAGCACTGAGGGGCCTTACTGTTGCCATCCCTAGGCAGACCTTGAAACGTCTCTCTTCCCTCTATTGACAACTCTGTGTGTGTGTGTGTGTGTGTGTGTGTGTGTGTGTGTGTGTGTGTCTGTAGACGAGGCAGGAAGCTTTACCTGAGCCCCACGTTCTTTGCACCATTTTTTCAGGAGGTAGCATAGGTCCACCTGCCCCATCTCCCAAGTGCTAACACTGTTATGCTGGCAACATATGCTTAGAGAACTGAAAGTTGTCCAGCTGCTGAATGTAGAAACTTGGGGCATGGTCTGTCTATATCAAACTCCTTTTCATTTTAAGATTGAAACTCCAGATGACATTATTTGACAGTAGGGCCCCAGCTGACAGTCTATCCCCCACCTCAAGTCTCCTTCAAATAAGACAAAATCACGGCATTGCTGTGGCTGTTCAGAACAACCAGGGAACTTCGGAACCCAAAGTTTCACCCCAGCCGGCAGTGAGAAATCTCCAGAAATTTGCATGTTGTGTGCTCCCCAGGGAGTCCCATCTGTGACCCACTGCCTTATTGCCATTTATTCTCCAATTGCATTGGGCTGTTACTCTGACCATGTAAAACTATGTGCAGCCCTGGCTTGTTTTCCCAATGGTTAGAGCATCTGTCCATGTACCGAAAGGTCGAGGGTTCGATTCCTGCCCAAGGTAATGTACCTGGGTCACGTTTGATCCCCAGCCCTCTCTCATGCATGCAGGAGGCAACCAACGGATATGTCTCTCACATAGATATTTCTCTCCCTCCCACTCATCCCTCCTTCCCCTCCATTCTAAGAATCATTGGGGGAGGGGGAGAGGAATATCAGCGGAGGATTAACAAAATAGAAAACAAAACAACTATGGCCGCAGAGGTCTCAGGATTAGCCTGGATAAAGCTGTCTGGTGCCACTCTTCCCCAGTGGTGAGTGGGCTGGTGGGAATGAAAGCACAGACTGAGCCTGAGGGAGGACAGCTCACCATACCGGTGAACTGGGACCATTTTTCCTGGAGACAGTGGAGCATTCAACGCAGTCTCCTCTTTAAAGGGCCATTTATTAAGTGCTTCATACGTGAGGATGAGGTCTCCATCGCTCCCATCACACACACACACTCCTGAGGTCACCTTGCCCGCCGTAAGCGTATGCACGTGTGTGTATGTGTATGTGTGTGTGCTTGTGTGTGCTTGTGTGTATACGTGTGTGTATGTGTGTGCGTGCGTGCGTGTGTGTGTTGGGGGGGGGGGATGTTTCAGTCCAGGCTCCCCCGCATTCCAGCGTGAACGCTCCGAGGCCCGGCAGTCACTGCGGTGTGTTTGGGGCAGATGCCGGGCGAGTACGCGGGTGAGAGCCGCGCCTGGATGCCCGCCGCCTGGCTTTCCCGCAGCTCCGGGCCTCTGGAGCTCGCCTCCCCCTGGGCCGCCCGCGCCCCCCACTACCGGCCCTCCCTCCCCATCCCCAACACCCCACCAGCTCTTTTTCCCCCATCCCACCCCCCAGCTCCCCCAGCTCCTCCCTCCCAGGCCCCGCCCCCTCCCGCCCCGGCCTCCGCCTCCCCTCCCCTCCGCCCTCACCTGGCCGCGCGGGGCGGGGCGGGGCGCGGGATGACAAAGCGGCGGAGGCCGGGCCCGCCCCCCGCGCGGCGGTGCGTCGGCCGCGGCTGTTATGGGAACGGCCGGGCGGCGGCGGCGATGATGGGGCGGCCATGGCCCGGGCCGGCGGCTCCAGCGCGGCCCCGGCGGCGGCGCGGGCGGCGGGCGGCGGGCGGCCGGAGCCCTGGGAGCTGTCCCTGGAGGAGGTGCTGACGGCCTACGAGCAGCCCCTCAACGAGGAGCAGGCGTGGGCCGTGTGCTTCCAGGGCTGCCGCGGGCTGCGGGGCGCGCCGGGCGGCCGGCGGCGCATCCGGGACACGGCGGACCTCCTCCTGCGCGGGGACGGCTCGGTGGGCGCGAGGCCGGAGCCCGGCGACGCGGGTGAGGCAGCGGGGGTGTGGCCGGCTCGGGGCGCGGAGGGCGGGAGCGCCGGGGCGCTGGGCGGGCGGGCGGCTCCTCCCGGGGCTGCGGCGGCGACCCCTCCTTCCTCCCTCCCTCCCCCTTCCCTCCGGCTCTGCGGGGTCCGAGCTCCCTCTCCTCTGGACCCGGCGCCCCTTTGGGCCCGTCTCTGCTGGATGGGGGGCCCCTCTCTCTGCTGGATGGGGGGCCCCTCGCCTTCTCTGTGCTGGGCCGGGAAGCCCCCTGCGCCTCCCCATGCTTCCCTCTCTCCACCTGCAAGCCTCCCTCCCCCATCTGGGACACCCCTGCCTTCCCTGGATCCCCCCTCCCCCCAGCCTCAGTGCCGGTGCTTTGGCGGGCTGTATGCCGCTGGGCTGTTCGCCTCGGAGGAGAGAAACTGGATGGCTGAGCACCCGGCTGGGAGCTGAGTAGTTCCCCCACCTGGGCCAGGGCCTCCCCGGGCTGTGGTCTCTTCCTCCCAGTGGTTCCTGGTGTGGCATCCTTGTGGCCCTGGGGCCTGGGGCGGGAAGAAATTAAAGTCCTCCTCGGGGTCCTTTCCGTTGGTGAGAGGCTTCGGAGAGTAGGAGGGACTCGCCTCCCTGGAATCACTGCTGAATTCCCACCCGTTTCCTGGGCTCATTAGAGCAGGAGCATGTGTACAACTTGGGAGACAACTTGTGAGGTTATTCTGCTCTTAGTCATCAATAAGAACCAACAGTTGAGCTTTAAAGGTGTTTGAAGTCTATTCAGAATGATGGGTTCGGGTGACTTTTTGCCTCTCAGGGAACCAGAACACCGGTATGGAGTATATGATGCTATTACCCCAGAGCTGATACCCTGCAGGAAACACAAAGGCCGCTGTGTGTGCCGGAGCGGGCTGGACCCTCTCCAGCCCGGGAGCCGTGGGGATGCAGAGATCCTTATGGGCAGGCACCATGGAGCACGGGGAAGAGCCCGGGCAAAGCTAGCAGGTAGAGACAGCTGCTTGTAAGAGGGAGGGTCTGCTGAACCCTGCCCGGCCGATGGCTCTGTTTCTCCTCCTCTCTGTGTCCTGCTCCTGCCCCCTCTGCGGTGGGACACTGTGAGCTGCTTTATTCTGCACGGAAAGCACTGAGTCCAGTGAAAGCTGATAGGTGAATAGTGTCATTCCCATTTTACTGTCAGGGAACTGAGGCTCAGGCCCATGCACGGTCACACAGAGAGGGCCCAGCTGGGGCTCAGCACTCGTCCACTGTCCTCAGAGGTGGGGCTAGGCCCGGCCAGTGTGGCTCAGTGGTTGCACGTGCACCCATGAACCAGGAGGACACGGTCAGGGCCCATGCCCTGGTCGCAGGCTTGATTCCCAGCAGGGGATGTGCAGAAGGCAGCTGATCCATAATTCTCTCTCATCGATGTTTCCATCTCTCTTTCTCCCTTCCTCTCTGAAATCAATAAAAACACATTAAAAAAAAAAATGGCTTGGGCTAGGAGGCCCGTGCACCTCAGCCTCCTCGCCTGCGGAGCCCTGGGGTTACTACTCACAAAGATCGTTTCCCCTGCAGCTATAGTTTCCTTATTAGACCACCATCCCCGTGCCCTTCCCCACCCCTGGAGACCATATAACCCAGGGTCTGGCTCCTGGCACCACAGGACAGGGCTTCAGGAGCCTGCTGGGCCTGGCCCTCTGATTTAATAATGGGGAAACTGAGGCACAGGGTAGTAAATAGTTTGCCCCAAATAACAGCATCTGGTTGGAACGGAGATGCACCCTGGGCTGGGGTTCAAAGTTCACACGTGGCCACCCTCGGTTGCCCTTTATGGGGAGGTACCAGCCCCGTTTCATTTTCCCGTGGACACGATCTTTGGTTTCTGATCGTAAACATGCCTCATAAAGGCGGAGGAGGTTCATGACTGGCTGCCTTTTCAAGATTAAGGAAAATGGATCGTCTAACTTTCCTCTCCGTCCTGTTGACCTCTCGTGAATCAGCTGGAACTTTAGACCAACTTCCCGCCAGCCTCCCGTGGGCCTGAGTGGTGATAAGGGAGTGTCCCAGGAGCCGCATGACTATTCCTCGCTGTAAATAGCAATCAGGAAAACCCTCAGGTGAAGTAAATGTTTACAATAATTTTCAAGAAGTCAGCCACAAAACTCAGCCTGGGAGGGGACAGATTATAGTGTCTTCACTTGCCCAGGGGACCCTTCTCCCCTCAGCCTGCATGGGGAGAGCCGGGAGAATCACCTTCCTAACCTTTAGTCTGAAGACTTCTTCATAGCTGCCTAGAAGCCCCCTTTGTTTTTTTAAAGTGGGAAAAAGGAAAACAAGGTAACATGTAGAGTTATTTTAAGAGGCCATTGTGGAGCCTCCTGACGGGAAAGGCTTCCTTTATTTATTTATTTATTTAATGGAAGTAAGGACATTCCTGTGGAGTGCAGTGCTGAGCCACTGCCCCAGGCAAAGTTAATAACCTCAGCAGTCAGCAGTGCCTGCCTGGTGCAGGGCTTGGCTATCATGTGATGTGAGACCCCCACCTGCCGGCTGTGTATCTGCCAGTAAAATGCACTTCTCTCCAGGCTTTGGGCTCTCCACAGCTGGGTGCACCCCCGCCCCCACACCTCTTCCATCTTTCTTCCGCTAATGTGCACACTGCCCTACTTTTCTGATTTTTTTTTTCTTGTCGGTTTTTAAATATATATATTTTTTATTGATTTTTTTACAGAGAGGAAGGGAGAGGATAGAAAGCTAGAAACATCAATGAGAGAGAAACATCAACCAGCTGGCTCCTTCACAACCACTACTGGGGATGTGCCCGCAACCAAGATACATGCCCTTGACCGGAATTGAACCCAGGACCTTTCAGTCTGCAGACTGACGCTCTATCCACTGAGCAAAACCGGTTTCGGCTCTTGTCGGTTTTGATGCTAAGACTTTTTCCGGGCCTCACTCCTCAGACACGTGAGTGCCTCCCATGACCTGTCTTCCGGGTCACACCTGCCTTTTCTCACACGACCTGCCCACCAGGTCGCACCTGTCCCTCCAGGCCCCTCTGCTCCTTCCTCTCTGCTGTGGACCTGAGTGCTGACCCTCCAGCACTGCACTCTCCAGGGTAGCGCTGCAGGCAGCTCCCTGTACAACCTGTGCTGGGTGGACAAGGCTTCCAAACCCAGAACTCAGTCTGCCCTGCACTGGATGTGATGTCCCTGTGTCCCGAGCTCCGTGGGGCTGTGGTTCTCTTCCTGCCTTTACCCCCAGCCAGGGCTCGCCATCTCACTGGTACCCCCATTTCTCCTCCGTAAATGGGGTGATGGTGGGATATGCCTGGAGGGAAGGACTGTGGAGGGAACATCAGTAGGGAGTCTGCATCCACCCTGGACCCAGGAACCATGTGTGGACACACACACACAGGCACCCTATGTGCACATGCACACAGAGACAGATACACGCACACAGTCACAGATACATACTGACACATGCACACACAGACACGGAGACAGATACACAGAGACACACACAGACACATGTGACACACAGTCACAGACATGCACACACAGACACGGACACATGCATGAACATACAAATGTGCACACACCAATACTAAATATATACATACAGAGACACATTGGCACGTGCACACACACACACACAGACAGACAGACACATGCATACACACCGGCACATATGCACACACGCACACACAGAAAAGACATGTGCATACTCATGTGCACACACACAGCCCTGACTGGGAGAGGCTGCTGCCCCCCGTGCACACGTTTGATGGTGTAAAACGTTCTCGGTGCAGAGGACACCGTTCCCCCTGAGACGGGCGGGAGGCTGAAGGTGCTGTGTGGGCAGCTAGCCAGGTGAGGGCCCGGCCGGCCGCTGTGTGTGTGGGAGGGTACAGCTCTAGGAAGGGCGCTGGTCTGGGTGTGACTGAGCTGGTGTGTTTGCAGACGGCATTCCCGGTGTAGTCTCACCTCTGAGCAAGCATGACCTCACAGGAAGGCAGTCCCTGGCACGCTGGGATCCCTGAGGAGACATGGGTTAGCACGGCCTGTGCCCCGACGACCCCAGGAGACGCTTAGCCTGCGAGGCCACCACAGCCCATGGGCCACCAGCCCACCCCATGTGCAAGCTCTGCCCTGTGCTCCTAGGAGAGGCTTTGGCTCCTAAGGAGGGGCCCTTGGGGTCCCTGTGCACCCTGAGATTTGGCTCCAGCCCCTCTGCCACCCTCAGGGCCCTGGTCCTACCACTCTCCCCACTCGGGCACGGTGGCCCACAGAGACCGCTCTGTCTCACTGGTTGGTCTGGTTGGGAGATGTAGGTATTTAAGTAAATATGCCAGTGAGTATTAACTGCAAGACTCTGGGGTTTCGCTCTGATCCTGTTAGACGCCTCGAGGGGGTTGGGCCTCCAGGAAGGCGCCTGGAGATGGTGAACAGCCATCAGTAAAGCAGCCTGGGGTGAGCCAGGCGTGTGGGGAAGGCCCCTCACTGTCTCCACCTCCGCCTGGCACCCCATCCGTTCAGCATGGGCACTGCTGTCCCCACTGGAGGGCACTGGCACTGTGGCCTCTCCCTGGGGATTGGACAGTGGGAGACGGTGGGATAGGGTGTACGAGTTCCCTCTGGCTGCGGTAACAAACCACGTATTTATACCTTGAAACAACACGGATTCATTCTCTTACTGTCAGAGGTGAGAAATCCAGATACTCTCTCTGCCTCAAGGTCAGGTGGTAACAGCCTGGCTTTTGCTGCTACCCCAGCCCCTCAGGGTCTCAGGCTGTGTGCCCAGGGCCTGGGAAGAGGCACAGACAGGCTGGGGACAGTGTCCTGCCTGCCATGGAGCGGAAGTGGAAGACACTTCCTCCAGCAGCAGCAGCAGCAGCAGCAGCAGCAGCAGCCCTGGGTCCAGGAATTATAGTTCTGACGCTTTCGGGGAGGAGGGGGGTGTTTGCTTTTCACCCTGGTGGACGTGCCAAATGCAGGCACAGATCACGGGCCATCCTGGTGTCCCTTCCGCCCAGTCTGGCCCAAGCATACACATTTCTGACATGTTCCCCCCGTGCTGATGCTGTAGGGCCCAGGACCCCTGTGGGCCCGCTGGTCTGTGCGAAGTCCCTGGGGCCCGCCCCTTGAGAAGGGGTCCCTGTCATTGCTGGTCGGCAAGGGGGACACGTCAGGGTCTGTGAAATGAGGCCAGAAGCTGGGAGGAGGGGGGTGGATCAGCGAGCTGGCCTTGGGCCGCCCTCACCCTCTCTGGGCTACACAGAGGGCAACAGTGAGGACCAAAGGAGATGGTCCCGGACGTGCCCAGGAAGCTCACACTCGCCGTCATGAGCTGAGTGGAATGTCGGGCATCGCTGCCAACCGCTGCTGAGTGGCCATCGAGGTCTCCCTGGGTGTCCCCTGAGAGACACTGGCAGGTCTTGGGAGCGGAGGGTCTGTAGGGGCGGAGGCCCCAGAACTTTGCAAAGATGCAGAGACAGCTGTGGCTGGTGTTGCTCAGTGATTAGAGCATTGGCCCGAGTACCAAAGGGTCACGGTTCCATTCCCTGTCCCAGCACCCAGGGCACCTACCTGGGATGCAGGTCAGTCCCTGGCTCCGGTTGGGGCATGTGCAGGAGGCAATTAGTCGATGTGTCTCCTCCCCGCCCCTGAAATCAATGGTAAAATATCCTTTGATGGAGGATTTAAAAAAAGAAAAGATGCAAGACTAAGTGTGTATTGCTTAGGGCGCTGGCCAACTCGGTCTCCACTGCACTGTCTTGGTTCCTGGGGTTCCTGGGCTCCGGCTGGCACGAGGGGGAAGCCTGTGGGTGACTCTCACGGTGCCCTCACCCGCCCTGCGGCACCGGCGGAAGTGAAGTGGGGAACGCCGGCCACACACGGCACACACGGAGCTTTGACCCAGAGAGCTCTGTTTGCTAAACAAACACGAGCTCCTGGTTTCGAGCAGGCGTCTTCCCTCCCCGCCTCCGCCAGCTCCTTCCTGGGGCTGTCGGGCCGAGGTGTGCCTGAACCGAGCTGAGAGGTCTGCTTCCTGACGAGGAGCGAGCACTGTGGGTGGCTCGCGCGATGCCGGCTCGGGGTGTTTTGGTTCAGTCTCACCTGCACGGGCGGAGCCCTGCTTTCTAAGAGCAGGCCCGGGAGGCGGCTGCCAGCCGCACAGGCTGTCCGACGCCTCGCTCTGCTTTCCCGGACCCTGCTCCGCGTGCCGAGGGAGGGCGAGGCTGTGTGTTCACTCCTCCTCACTCGCACACAGATTCGTGTCCTGACCCCACAGTGTATCACAGGCTCCGAGTTCAGAGAGGGTGACAGGCAGGCGGTCCAGCCTCCTCACAGCACACACACCCGCCCCCCCAAAAACACGGTGTTCCCTCCGCCACTTCCCTTAAAAGGGGGCTAGGCCTGTCTCAAAACAGAGGACACCTCCCTGCCTTTGGTGGCTGTCCAGGGTCCCCTGCGTGTGTCGCTGTTAGGGTGAGTGGCCGTCGGTGTCGTGCCACCTGGGCGTGCCTTCCACGCCAGTCAGGAGGTGAGCAGGCGTGTCCTTGGGGTGGTTGTCATCTCCCACCAGCGCCGAGTGGGGCCGTCCCACAGCCAGCAGGACCTCTGTCTGTGCCGGGGCCACGTGGCCGCCCCAGGCCTGAGATGTCGAAAGCAGGAGCCTTCCGGGCTGGGAGCCCTCTGCTGTGTAGTCTTCAGTGATTGTCAGTATCTTAGGCCCCTGGGTTCCAGCCTGGGGGAGCCCAGGCATGGCCGGCCTCCCCCCAGATGGATGGGGTTTCCTCCTGACCCCAAGACTACGGTGTCCTGGGCGAAAGGCCCTGGGGGTCCCATCAGCATTGTATCCTGCGGGCCCCTCCTCCACATCCTTGCCGGCCATCGCGATCCAGGACGTGTCTGCCTCCTTCCCTCACTGGTTCTGAATTGGTCAGGCAGGTGTGGTCTCCATCTGCCAGTGAGGAGAGGAGGTCAGAGAGGCAGGACCCTCCGTTACAGTTAAGACCCCCGGTGGCAGAGGTGGGTAGGAATCTGGCCTGAACAAAGCTTCTTATGCCCCTGCCCCACCCCCCACACACACACCCCAGGCAGAGGGGACCCAGGCTGCCAGGTAGCCTCCTCCTGTCACCCTCCTGGCGGCAGGTGGAAGCCCTTCCTCTGGAGGCTGCTCCAGGGAACCCCAGGCTGCAGTCCTGCCGACTCTGATGTCCTTCGTCTCTTACTACTACGGCGAGGATCACTTCAAAGAGAACCCGTGGCTTCTCGAGGTCTCCTCCTCTGTGATTCCACACAGGAAACCGGAGAGCTTGCTTTTCTAGCAGGTCCTGGCCCGGTGCGCTTCCCTCGGGGACCGAGAGGGCCTGGCGGGCAGTTAGGCCTGCGCGTCCTGGGTGGTTTAGGTGTCCACACGTTGGGGTCCCAGCCCAGCCCCGGATTAGTTCTGTGGTCTTGAGCACATTTCTTCACCTCCTGGAGCCTGTTTCCTCATCCGTGAAGAGGGAATCCTGGCAGCAGCCCCCGTCAGGTGGCCATGCAGGTTGGAGCCGTAACAAATCACGTGTCAGTGGGGTAGCCACGGGCTCTGTGCAGAGAGCTGGGCACGGCCTCCATCGCCCCAAACCTCACTGAGGGGCAGCTTGTTCAGCCCAACCCAAGTTCACAGTTGCATTCATGAGCATTTACTTTGGTTAACATATGGATTATTTCAGCCATGGATCTAAGCGTTACAGTTATTCCAGCCAGAGCCCTCGCCAGTTTGGCTCGGTGGATGGATAGAGTGTCGGCCTGTGCACTGAAGGTTCCAGGTTTGACCCAGTCAAGGGCATATACATGGTTGTGGGCATATATATATATATTTTTAAAAAAAAATTTTTTTTTTTTTACAGAGAGGAAGTGAGAGGGATAGAGAGTTAAAAACATCGATGAGAGAGAAACATGGACCAGCTGCCTCCTGCACACCCCCTACTGGGGATGTGCCTGCAACCAAGGTGCATGCCCTTGACTGGATCGAACCTGGGACCTTTCAGTCCGCAGGCCGACGCTCTGTCCACTGAGCCACACGGTCAGGGCATAGTGGCAGGCTTGATTCCTTGCCCTGGTCAGGGCATGTGCAAGAGGCAATAAATTGATGTGTCTCTCTCATATCGATATCTCTCTCTCTGTCTCTCCCCCCTCCCTTCCACTCTTTCTAAAAATCTGAGACAGGCTCAGTCAATGAGGAGCCCTGAAGGCTGGTTGCACCCCCTTCTTGGTCGTGGGGCACCTTTGTTCTGAGTCTGACTTCTCCCACGGCTCCCCTACCCCAGCGGCAGACTCGGACGGGAAGCCCAGCACAGCCTCTGTGCACTGGCGCTCCCGTTTCAGCCCCGCTGGAACTGGTGGGCGTTTTCTGTTAGATTAACGAATCTGTCCGACACCGAGGCCCTTTATCTCGGCGATCTTCCCGGCGCCTGATGGCATCTTGGAAATATTTGCGTGGTTAGCAGGTTCACTTAGCAGACAGCTCCACGGCTGGTGTGTTTACATCCCCTCCTTCCAGAAGGAATGTCGGGCAGCTGACTCTGTCTAATGCAGCTCTCTCTACCTGCCGAGCCTAGGAAGGCTGTGGGCGTGCTGGGTCTGGCCTCTTCGGGTCCGCATCCTGGGAGGTCCTGTGGGGAGAGGGAGGGGGCGGCTGGAACTCAGAATCTAAGGTCGTCCTGCACCACCACTTCCTAGCTGGGATAGCTTGGGGCAGACAGCCCCACCTCCCGGGGCTCCAGCCCAGATCCAGAGTGGTGGCCATGCCCTTACCCAGCTGGGCAGCCAGAGCTCTGCTGTGATTTGGGGGCATTCGGCTCCACACTGGAGTGGGCAGGGGCCGCCCTGCTATCCTGGCCCCACACCTGGGCATCCAGCTCATGGCTGGGGCTTACAGGGTCTTTCCAAATGGCCATGGCCCTGCCCTTACAATGTCTTTCTAAATGGCCGAATGGCCTCAGCCCTGTTCGCTGTGAGCTTTCTGCTGTGGGAATGGAGGGTTTGGGGGGTGATGCGCTGTCTGTCCCCCAGGGGAAGGTGTCTGAGGGGTGAGGGGAGGGTTTGGGGGGTGATGCGCTGTCTGTCCCCCAGGGGAAGGTGGCTGGGCGCCCGTCCCTCGTTCCGCGGGTCTGAGGGGTGAGGCCGGTCCTGACTGCCTGTTCTCTCTTGCAGAGCCCACAATGATGGTGGTGTCATCGGCCAGCTGGGAAGCCCAGGTACTTTCAGAACAATTTTTACATTTACGTGATGCATATTAAAGCGTACGTGCATTGTATAGTATAAGTTAGAAAACATAGTTATACCATTGTTTCTGTGGGACAGGACACGGGTACAATGCTCTAAGGGCTTCATTGAAGGGATCCGAGGAAGAGATTTCACGCAGAGGTTTGGGGGTGGGGGAGCCCACGTGGGTGGTGTGGGCCCCAGTGAGCCTCGATGATAGCCCCCCTCTCCTTCCATCCCTGAGGGAGCGGAGGTGGTGTGATGTCTGGCAGGCTGTGGGCCAGGGGGCCACGAGGAAAACCAGCTGGGTGAGCAATGCCAGGGGCCCCCACACCCCAGAACGCAGACTCCGCAGTAGGACTTCTCCCTGTGCCCCCAGTGACCTGCCCCCAAGTAATTGGTCCTGAATTTGATGTTTTATCATTCCACTGCCTTTTATTTTTATTTTTAAAATATATTTTATTGATTTTTTTTTTTTACAGAGAGGAAGGGAGAGAGATTGAGAGTTAGAAACATCGATCAGCTGCCTCCTGCACACCCACTACTGGGATGTGCCCGCAACCAAGGTACATACATGCCCTTGACCGGAATCGAACCTGGGACCCTTCCGTCCTCAGGCTGACGCTCTATCCACTGAGGTACACCGGTCAGGGCTCCACTACCTTTGACAAACCAGTTTTATGCAAATACAATTCCTCTGTTAAACACAGGCCGAAAGAGGCTATATCCTCTGTCGTGGAGAATTTTTTAAAAACAATCACAAAACCATCCCAAAGCTGCTGGCAGTGCCCAGTAACGGCGGATCAGGTCCGCCCTCGGCTGCGGAAACGGTGTCGCTGGTGCTGCTCCGAGCTCTGTGCTGCCTACATACGAGGGGGGCAAAGTGGGTTTGCAGTTGTAAGTGCACACAGTGTATCCTTGTACAAGTATTTATTAGTTGTATTATTTTTCCACACAAACAACTGTAAACCTACCTTGCCCCGTCCTATATAGTGTTCTGGAGTTTGCTGGGGGGAAAAACCACCACCTTTTTTCAAGACTCATCTTCACTGCTCAGCACGGCTCTCGGTCCCTTCCTGCCCTATGGTGCTCTGTATGAGGTGCTCCTCCCTGGAATGCCGCCGTCCCTTAGTCCTCAGCCCAGCGTGTCCCCAGGGCTGTCCCCTGGCCCACACCTGCCCGGCAAAGGAGACCCATTGTCATCCATTCTGACCCTTTTCACAGGGAGGGGGCTTCATAGGCGGGTGTCCAATCTGGAGGGTTGTGCCTGGGCCCATAAACTAGCCTGATACCCCAGCCCAGGAAACGTGGCCAGGGATGCACTTGTCATGTTGGCCCTGATTCTCACTGCGGCTCCTTGTGGGAGCCGGCCTGCAGCGTCAGCTCCTCTCCGTGGCTCAGTGGCTCGTGGCTCCTTCCATTACTGAGACGGCCCCCCCAGCTGGCCCACCGCCCGCAGGCAGGGCTGGAGGTCCTGGGACTCTGGCTGGCTTCCCAGATTCCTCCTTATGGGAAAGCAAGTGCCTGCCTTCCAGGTGCTCGGGGCACAAGAGGCTTTTAGGAGCAGCTATCAGATGAGCGCTTTGACGGGGTTAACCCTTTCCGTGACAGGGAGCTGGCTGAGGTGGTGGCCGGGACAGTGAGGGGGCCTTTCTGTTTGCCTCTGTCTGTCCTGCCCCCTGTGGCAGGGTGGTCCCCACTGGACAGACCTGGTTAGAGTCATCACTAGGATCAGCAGGGCCCGAGGTGGTGTGTGTGTGTGTGTGGGGGGGGTGGAGCAGACCCAGAGTGGACAGACGTGAAATTTATGCCTGGCACCTACCCCTGGGCCAAGAAAGACTTGATGGGAATTGGTGTGAATGGTGGCCTCTGGCCCAGCCGGTGTAGCTCAGTGGTTGAACGTTGAGCCATGAGCCAAGAGGTCACCGATTCAATTCCAGGTCAGGGCACACGGCTGCGTTTCAGGCTTGATCCCCAGGAGGGGGCATGCAGGAGGCAGCCACTCAACGATGTCTCTCTCTCTCTTTCTCTCCCTTCCTCTCTCTCTTTCTCTCCCTCTCTCTCTCAAAAATAAATAAATGGTGGCTTCTGCCCACCAAGTCATCTGAGGGTCATGGGCGGGGGTTCTCTGGCTGCTGCCTGGGGCTCCCTGGTCACAGCCCGCAGTGACCTGACAGGTGTCAGCAGCCTTTAGGCTGGGCTCTCCCCTGTGACTCGTGATTCCAGGTCGTGACTCAGGCTGGGTCTGTGACCTCGCCCGCCTAAAGCAGAAGTGAGACAGCCTTCCATACTGGCTGGGCAGCCAATCAGTGATCCTTTAGGCTGGAGCCTTCCCTTCCCATCAGTCCCCTGAGCCTGGCTGACCCCCTGGTTCACAGTGCTTTCTAAGGCCTGTCTGCAGGACAGAGAGCCCTGTTCTCGCACCCGTCCCCTGCTCGATGCTGGCGCTCACCGTCTGCCCTCCTTAGCTCAGCTCTGCTCAGCTCCTGGTGCCGGGTGGTGGGAAGGCAGGAAATGACAGGAGTGCCAGAGAGTCCTCTGAGGGCAGACGGTCGGGGAGTGGAAGGTGCCTTGGTGAGGGCCCAGCTCCCCCTGCCACCACACAGCCTTCCACCAGGCCATGGCAGAGCAGAGTCTCAAGTCCAGCTTGGCCAGCTGCTAGCTGCAGGCAAGGGACTGGCATCTCTGCCTCCGTGCCCGCCCTATGACACGGGAGGTTACTGGTGCCTTGTTGCAAAGTTGGCTGGCAGCCAGCTCAGCGCAGTGCCCAGCATAAGCAGAGTTGTTGTCCTTTTGTTTTATTTTTTTTATTTTCTTTAGAGATAGAAACATAAATAGAAGAGAATCATTGATTGGCTGCCTCCTGCACACCCCCTACTGGGGATTGAGACCACAACCCCAACCTGGGCATGTGCCTCGACCTTGAATCCAGCCGTGACCTCCTGGTTCATAGGTCAGCACTCAACCTCTGAGCCACACCTTAGCTTACACTTTAAAAAATAAAAAGTTTCATGGATCCCAGCTTGGGGCTCTGACAGTTATAACCAGTTACAAATATGATTATTTCTTAGGTTTTTCTTTTTCACGCAAAACTTATACACTTTGACATTTACACGCAGTTTAAAATAGTTAAATGGGGAGGTCATTTCTTATCAGTACAAGTGTCAAACTTTATCATGCAGAATTACGGGATTTATCCCAGCAGCATGTGTTAATAAGCTGGTCTTTCTCAGATTTACAGTATGCTGTCATATTACATTAAAGGGATAACACTTACTAGGGTGTCTCTGTCTTTTGTAATCAGAGTTTTGGGAGTATGCTTGACACTCGAGTTTGACAGATGTATCTACAGGGACACACAGGGACATTTAACCACAGGGACACACACCTCTTCCATCACCCGAACCTCCTGTCCCCCTTCAGTCCCCAGCCCAGCCCGGCTCAGAACCACTGGCCTGCTTTTTGTGGCTATAGATGAAACTTTCCTTGCCTCAAGGTTTTTTGTTGTTTTTTAAAATATATTTTATTGATTTTTTACAGAGAGGAAGGGAGAGGAATAGAGAGCTAGAAATATCGATGAGAGAGAGACATTAACCAGCTGCCTCCTGTACACCCTCCACTGAGGATGTGCCTGCAACCAAGGTACATGCTCTTGACCAGAATCGAACCTGGGAACTGCCCCCTCCCCCCATTCCACAGGCCAATGCTCTACCCACTGAGCAAAACCGGCCAGGGCTGCCTGAGTTTTATATCAGGGAACCATGCACCACGGAGACCCGGCCGTGCCCACTCGCGTTTAGGGTGTGAGAGGAGCGCAGTGGTCTGTGCCTGTGAACAACTGCCCCGTTTTCACCATAAGAAAGGGCTGCACATCCAACCATCACCCACTGTGCCGTCCACCAGTGGGTGATGGTCGGATGTCCGGGCGTGGGCACTGTGGGCATCCAGGACACGCCTTGGTGGATGCCTGTGTTTCCTTCTCTTGGTTAAACATCTGGGTCATGTGGGAAATGCATGTTTGATTGTGAGAACCGGCCAGTGTTTTCCACAGTGGCGAGCTGTTTGGGGGCCAGTGTCTTGCTCTGTGGCCCCTGGTGCACCCCGGTGGAGGGCAGCTGTCCGCCTGTGACTCAGGCCCAGCCCCTGTCCCTCCCTGGTGGTGCCCCCCACCCCACCGCCCCATGACGGTCTGCGCCCCGTCCGCAGATGGTGCAGTCCCTGGGCTTCGCCATCTACCGCGCGCTGGACTGGGGCCTGGACGAGAGCGAGGAGCGGGAGCTCAGCCCGCAGCTGGAGCGGCTTATCGACCTGATGGCCAACAGCGACTGCGAGGACGGCGGGGGCGGCGCCGCGGACGAGGGCTACGGGGGCCCGGAGGAGGAGGAGGAGGCCGAGGGCGCCCCCCGGGCCGTCCGCACCTTCGCGCAGGCCATGCGGCTGTGCGCCGCCCGCCTCACCGACCCCCGGAGCGCCCAGGCCCACTACCAGGCCGTGTGCCGCGCGCTCTTCGTGGAGACGCTGGAGCTGCGGGCCTTCCTGGCCCGGGTCCGCGAGGCCAAGGAGGTGAGCTGCGGGAGGTTCGGTGGCGGAGGCAGGAAGGGGAGGGGTCCAGGACAGGGTGGGGAGGGGTCTCAGGAGGAGGCAGGAGGGGCCAAGGTGGTGTCTGGGTGCAGGGTGATGGGGGCTGGGGAGGCAGGCTGTTCCTTTGTGTCAGTCCCTTTGTCCTCCTGTCTGTTCCCTGGAGCAGGGAAATCCACTCTGTGCGTAACCCTCACACCTTCTTACCCAGTGTTACCACCAAGGGGACAGGAGAGGGGACAGGAGGCCTGGAGAGACCCCTGGGCCCCGTGGCCAGCGCCTGCTGCCTCTCAGTTAGGTATCAACCTCCTGCCTCCAGCGAACTTGGACAGGTGCCATCCCTCCTGAAGATGAGGTGCTAACGGCAGCCACTCCTCCCTGCCCCCAGGACCCACAGAGCTGCTGGGGTGCCTAGAGCTTTGACAGACCCACCTGTTTTACAGAAGAGCAGGGAGGCTCTGGGAGGCTGTGTCCTGCCCCGTCACAGCCTAGCACAGGGCAGAGCTGGGCCTCGGCTGGAGGTCTCCCCAGGGCTGCCCTGCCCCTGGGCAGTCTCAGGGTTAGGAGCTGACAGTCTGCCCCTCACCTCCCCGGGTCTTGAGGAAACTGAATGCTTCCCATTTGCACCTCACAGAGGAGAATGTGGACAGTTGGGAGAAATCAGGCGGGTGGTAGGATGGGGTTGGAGTGAGGGAGTGCAGAAGGCGTTCTTTCACCCATACACCCACCTATCCATATACCCATCTATCCATTTATCCACCCATCAATTCATCCATCCATCTATCCATCCACCCATCCACCTATCCACCTATCTGAACCAAAGAAGTGTTCAGGGCAGCTTCCTTGGCCCTTGTCTGCAGCCCGTCAATATGCCAAGGATGGTGGCTCCTCGGCCCCTGCCAGCCTCCCACAGACCATCCCTCCCCGTCCTCCGCTGCCTCTGGGAGATGTCCTTCTAACACTCCCATTAGTGGGTGCTCAGAGTCAGCATTCTGTGGCTAGGATTGATTTCTGAACCAGAGGACAGGCACTCTTTAAAAAGCTCCAGATTTCAAGCCGTTGACCCACAAGAACCTCAGGGAATTGGTGGTGGAGGGAGTTCCAGGAGGCTCTGGGGGAGACACAGCTGGCCAGGCATTTGGGGCGGACGCTGGCTGCTCAGGGACAGGCGTGCTGCTGCAGGAAGGATGGGAGACTCGCCTTCGCGCCCTTTGCCCACAGGGACCACCAGGCCACACACACGAGCCTATTTTTAGAACCACATACCTGTGCTTCTCGGAGACTTGGCAGCTTTTTCTAGAGCAGCTTGGCAGGTGGTGTGGGGCTGAAGCCGGGGAACCGGTTCCGTCTTAGTTGGGGGGGGGGGGGGGCAGTGTGCTAAAGGCCAATGCCTTGCCAGGTGGGGGAGCTGGTGAGAACAGACGCCCCAGATGCTGCAAGCTGCAAACTTAGCAGCTTCTTCTCAGATTCTCAGCGTGGTAGTTATCCAATAATCCCTGAAACCCTTCTCTGGCCCTGAACTTGCTGGCGGCATTTTCCCAGCTCATAAAATACAGACCTATGACTGTTTTTCAGGTCTTGCTGAGTAACTCACCCTCTCATCCATCCATCCATCCACCTATCCACCCATATAACCATCCATCCATCCCCTACACACCCAGGTATCCATCCATCCATGTATCCATCCACCCACCCACCTACCAATTATTTATCACCCATATACCCATCTATCCATATACCCATCTATCCATTTATCCATCCATCCATTCATCCATCCATCCATCCACCCACCCATCCACCTATCCACCTATCCACCCATATAACCATCCATCCATCCCCTACCCACCCACTTATCCCCCGCCCATCCACCTATCCATCTATACATCCATCCATTCACCCACCCATCCACCCACCCACCTGCCCATCATTCACTACCCGTATATCCATCCATCCATTTATTCATCATCCATTCATTCGTTCATTCAACCAACATTTAAGGCCTGGCATGTGCCACTCTGTGCTAAGGAGACAGGAATACCAACATGAGGAGAAACCCACAAACAGGAAATGTGGCTGTGGCCTCGTGGAGCCACTAGTGCAGGCCACCATTAAAGAAGCTGGTGGGTGCAGCGCTGTCGCTGGTTCGCGTGCAGAGACGTGGCCGTGGGTGTTCTGGGAGGGTGGGCGGGTGTGGCCCAGGTGAGGAGGCTGAGAGAGGCCTTCCCGGGGAAGGGCTGAGAGCTGGGACCAGAGGGAAAACGCTTCAGGCGCGGGAGAGTGGGGCTCCGTGCCCTTTGGCGGGCCCCACGCCTTGCTGGGGTGTGCAGACCAGGCAAGAGCGGGTCTCTGGGTGCTAGGCGCTTGTTCCTGCCCTTGCCAAGGAGAAGCTGTCAGGGATGGTGATGGGGCACCATGTGTCTGTCTGGGTCCATGGCCGAAGGCTTAGTTCTCCCAGATACCTTTCTGCACCCCGAGCTTTGGCCCTAGTTTTTTGTTGTTGTTGTTTTTTAAATATATTTTATTGATTTTTTTACAGAGAGAAAGGGAGAGGAATAGAGAGCTAGAAACACTGATGAGAGAGAAACATCGACCAGCTGCCTCCTGCACATCCCCCACCAGGGATGTGCCTGCAACCAATGTGCATGCCCTTGACGGAATGAAACCTGGAACCCTTCAGTCCGCAGGTTTCGGCTTTGGCCCTGGTTTCGCTGGTGGAATAGTAGCCCATGTGGTAAAGACAGGCCATGGGGATGGCCCGGTGGGCATCCACCCCCTGAGCTGCCACCCCGCCTTCTCTTGGCCCCACAGATGCTGCAGAAGCTTCGTGAGGACGAGCCACAGGCAGAGCAGCCCCTGGCCGAGCTCGACAACCTGAGGCACACGGACTGGGTAAGATGCTCCCCTCTACGGGACCGGTTTGGCTCAATGGATAGAGCGTCGGCTTGGGGACTGAAGGGTCCCGGGTTCGATTCCGGTCAAGGGCATGTACCTTGGCTGCGGGCAGATCCCCAGTAGGGGGTCTGCAAGAGGCAGCTGATCGATGACTCTCTCTCATCGATGTTTCTAACTCTCTGTCTCTCTCCCTTCCTCTCTGTACAAAATCAATAAAATATATTTAAAAAAAAAAAAAAAAAAGATGTGCCCCTCTGGCCTGGGACCCGAGGACCTGTACCTGGAGGGCCCTGGGAGGCCTGGTGGGGGCTCAGGGCCATTCTCACCTTCTCGGGGCCCAGGCCCGGCTCTGGGTCCAGCTCATGCGGGAGCTGCGCCACGGAGTGAAGCTCAAGAAGGTGCAGGAGCAGGAGTTCAACCCTCTGCCCACTGAGTTCCAGCTCACCCCCTTCGAGATGCTGATGCAGGACATCCGGGCCCGAAACTACAAGCTGCGCAAGGTCATGGTGAGCGGCCAGAGCCTGCCGTGTCCCCCCATACCCCCCTTCTCCTCCCCGTGTGCTGGCCACCGCCGGGGGGCCCGTGGGCGCGGGCAGATGTGGCCCCAATTCCTTGTGTGATGGGCAGATGGAACCCCCTGTGGCTGCTGCCCCCTTCCCCCTAAGAATTTTAAATGTGCAGATCCATCTCGTTCCCGTGACGACCCTGGGAGGTGGTGCCACGGACCCCGTCTCCCCATGAAGAGCCCCAGGAGCAGGGCAGTGTGGGTGGTGCCATGTGGGCACTGTGAGCAGGACCCCGGGCCACGCTGAGGGGCTGCAGGGAGGAGGATGTGAGGACCAGGCCCTGAGCCCCGCCCGCTCCCGCAGGTCGACGGGGACATCCCGCCACGGGTGAAGAAGGATGCCCACGAGCTCATCCTGGACTTCATCCGCTCGCGGCCGCCGCTGAAGCAGGTGCCAGCTCGGTGCCCTCACCCCTGGGCCCCTTCCTGGACCGGAGGGCGGCGTGCATCTGTGCAGAGGGAGGTGCCCAAGGGCTGGTCTCCGTGGACGCGTCCCCAGGAGCTCCCTGGACTCCCGTCTGCCCCCCGCGGTGGCTCCCCGTGGGTCTCCCTAACCACCCCCCTGCACTGCCCCCTGCAGGTCTCAGAGAGAAGGCTTCGGCCCCTCCCCCAGAAACAGAGGACCCTGCACGAGAAGATCCTGGAGGAGATCAAGCAGGAGCGGAGGCTGCGCCCGGTGGGGGCCCAGCACTGGGGCGGCCGCGGTGAGCCAGGGACCCCCCCTTCCCTGTGGCTCCTCCCCCTCCCTGCCCTCTGCCCCCCTGACTTCCTGTCCTGGCCCCTCTTCCCCCCCCCCCCCGCCCGGGTTTGGCTCCCCCAGGCTTTGGCTCTCTGCCCTGCATCCTCAATGCCTGCTCCGGGGACGTCAAGTCCACGTCCTGCATCAACCTGTCCGCCACGGACGCCGGGAGCGGCGCCCAACGCCCACGGCCCCGGGTGCTGCTGAAGGCGCCCACCCTGGCGGAGATGGAGGAGATGACCACGTCTGAGGTCAGATCCCACGGGCTCCTGGGAGAGGCAGGGAAGCGCCGGAGGGGCAGGAAGGGAGACGGGGCTGAGCAGGTCCAGGCGCAGCGTCCGGCATGGGGCGTCCGCTGCGCAGGGCCTCGGGCAGTGCCCTCTGCCGATGCAGGGTCCTTCCCTGGGAGCGAGCACGGTGGACTCGGGGTCGACAGAGGCCTTGCACCCCACCCCCGTTCCCATAGCACAGGACGGCTGCCATCTCGGGGCCGGACACTGAGCAGCCCCTGGCCGATGTGAAAAGCCAGCCTATCCTGGCGTGGCCCCTGCCCGCCCTCCTGCCTCAGTGGAGGCCGTGTCGGCGGGCTCCCCCTGACACCAGACCTTCCGAGGCTGGGGCACTTGCCAGAGGACTGTCCAGAGGATGGCCCTATGGGTCCGTGGGCCCGGGGAACCGCGTGTCCTGTGCCCCAGTCCCGGGACGGGCAGGGGTGCTGGGGGGCCAGAGGCGAGGGGAGGGCTCAGGCTGGTGTGTCCGCAGGAGGAAGAGTCTCCGTGTGGGGAGGTGACGCTGAAGCGGGACCGCTCTTTCTCAGAGCACGACCTTGTCCAGCTGCGGAGCGAGGTGGCCTCTGGCCTGCAGCCGGCCGCCCAGCCCCCGGGAGGCGTGGAGCCGTCCCGGGCCCGCGCGGGCAGTGTGCACACCTGGCGGCCGAGCGCCCAGGAGCAGGGCAAGTGCCGCCTCTCACTCCCTCCCCTCGCCCCCGCCCCGTCCTGTGCGTACGTGTAGCTGCCCTCACCCCACTTCATTGCAAAACCTTTTCTAAAAGCAAAAAAACATGCTCACGATCCCATTACCTACAGATAGCCACTCTTAGTGTATTGGTGTGCAGAAAGAAAGCTGGGCGGATGGACAGGTGGCTGTCGAAAGACGGACGAGGGGTGGATAGGGAGTGGACGATGGGCGGGTGGATGGAGAGTGGGAGATGATTGATAGGTCCTGCTGGCTGTGGCCCTGTCCGTGGGCCTGTGTCCGCAGTGAACCAGACGGGGGGAGCTCCTCCTCCCCGTCGGCCAGCACAGAGGACAGATCGGTTCTCGTGGCCACCAGGTTAGTCCACCCTTGTCCGGGCTGTGCTCCACGACATGCCAGCAGGACATGGGGTTGTTCCCCCACTAGACATGGCCAGGCCCCCTCTCTGCCCTCAGGGTCACCGTAGCGTGTGGCCCTTTCAGGACGGTCCCATTTGGTGGTGATGACTCACTCTCTGGCATAAAGTGGACCAGGCCAGGCGACACCTCACTGTCCCCCTGACTCTGCTAAAAACTCAGACCCCACGGAGGGCTAGCTTCCTCCAGTTTGAAATGCAATGTGTGTGTGTGTGGTGGGGGGGCTGAGTAGGAAGGCCCCATGTGGCCAGCACGTCTGGTTTGCGTGGCCAGCACCGTGGCTGCCGTGGCTCCATTGTGGACTCTCCACGTTGGCTCTTCTTGGGCTCAGACTCCCTCCTGGGTCCCTTGGGCCCCTGCACTGCATGGGCCGTGATGGGGTGACACGCTCTCTATCTGAGCTCTGCCGGAGGATTCTGCCTCCACCGTGAAACCACCCACCGCTCCTGGCGTCTCCTCTGGCCCTTGGGCAGCCCTCCCACACCAGGATTTTGCCAGGTTGTTCTGATGGGGCCTCCAAACTCTCCCTCCAGGTCCCTTCCCTGTGAGCGTTCAGTCCCAGGCTGACCCCAGCTCCCCCCGGCCCAGTGACCTGCGCTCAGCAAAGGACAGGCCGGAGCCCTCCGTGGCCGCCGACCCCAGTCACCTGTGGCTGGTGAGTGCGGGGCGTGGCTGTCCGGGGCGGCTGGGTGAGCTCACGTCACCCCAGGGCAAGTGGTTAGTGTCTGTGGCTGCTCTTTTGGGCCGCCATCTGGGGAGGCTGGTCTCTGCTGCCACCTTCTGGGCCTTCGGAGCACTGCGCCCCCAGGGAAGGACCTTGCCAAGGGGACATGCGGAATCTTGTCCAGCTCTGTGGTCAGGAAGCAGGAGAAAGCCTGTGCCTTGAAGGCTTCCTGAGGCAACAGGGGAGCATTTTATTGGGGTGAGGCGGTGCCCTGCCTGCACCTCAGTCTCATCAGGTATCATTTTGTGAGACTTGTCATTGGGAAGAGCTAACATCTGCTCATGTTGGGAGACCCCCGTTGGGACTGGAGCCTTGGTGTGAGATTTTATTAAATGGGACCCTGGCTGGCATGCGGAGAGATGCCAGGGGTGTGATCTCTATCATTTTCTTGACGTTTTATCAAGAGGCTCAAAGGAGCCCTGGCCAGTTTGGCTCAATGGATAGAGCATCAGCCTGCGGATTAAAGAGTCCCAGGTTTGATTCCCAGTCAGGGCACATGCCCGGGTTGTGGGCTAGGTCCCTGACAGGAGACATGCAGAAGACAGCCGATCAATGGTTCTCTTCATCATTGATGTTTCTCTCTCTCCGTCTCCCTTCCTCTCTGAAATAAGTTAAAAATACATATATATAAAAGAGGCTCAGAGGAGAACGGATGTTGAAATGCTTTGAAAAGTGTAAGTGCTGTGTAAATACAAGGTAGTGTTGTCCTTAATATTCCCCAGCGAAAGGTAATGCTTGCCCTCAGTTCTGTGTGTGTTACCATTTTCTGTACCAAAAATCACACCGAGACTCAGCAGCTTAAAACAACAAGCATGTGTTCTCAGTTTCTGAGGGTCAGGGATCCAGGTCTGGCTTGGGGTCCGGCTCAGCCTCAGGGTGGTGGTGGGGGGTGGGCCTGGTGTCAGCAGGGCTTGGGTAGACTGAGGCTGGGAGGACGTCAGGGTCCTTGGAGAAGGGCACTTGTAAAGAGAGCCTGAGCGAGCCCCACCCGGGCCCTCCCCCCCAGGAGTTCAGCCACCCTGTGGAGAGCCTGGCTCTGACCGTGGAGGAGGTGATGGACGTGCGGCGGGTGCTGGTGAAGGCGGAGATGGAGAAGTTCCTGCAGAACAAGGAGCTCTTCAGCAGCCTGAAGAAGGGGAAGGTGAGGCGGCCGCACCCTGCACCGTCCCTCGCCCCCTGGAGCCCTGGGTGGGAGGAGCCTGGGAGGACAGGACTGGACTGGTGAGCTTTAGACTAATATTGGGCTCTCACAAGGCCTTTTTTTTTTTTTTTTTTTTTTTTTTTTACAGATTTGTTGCTGTTGTCGAACCAAGTTCCCGCTGTTCTCCTGGCCGCCCACCTGTCTCTTTTGCAAGAGGTGAGCCTTCTGCAAGCACAGGGCTCGGCTGTGAATTACCACGGGGAGCGGTAAAAAGGCTCCAGGTCAGCTCTGTCCTGTGGTGGTGGGGGTCCTGTCCTGCCCCGTGGATATTTCACCTAAAGAACGGAATTTAGCATTTTAATTTCATTGTAGTTCTAATAGCTAAGGGGTTCCCACTTTCAGCCAAGGTGAGGGAACAGGCACCTTCTACCTGAAACAACAAAAAACAAGGACAAACTATATGAAGCAATGGCTTTCAAGACATTGGGTATCAGGCAGCAAACAGGAAGAATGTGGGTTAGCCCTGTGACTGCCTCAACTGCCGGGAGATGCTAGGTCCTGGGTCAGAAACTGGTCGGCTCCCTAAGCCTAAGGAACTCAGGGAGACCAGGGCACCAGAGACCCTAGCAAAGAGTCCAGAGAGGAGAGAGCTGTCCGGAGAGCGAGCTCATACATACAGAAGGTCCCTTTAGAGTATTCAGCAGATTATCGATCAGCACATACATGCAAGGAAATGACTAAAGGCTTTTTTATATGTATTTATTAATTTCAGAGAAGAGGGGAGAGGGAAGGAGATAGAAACATCAGTGATGAGAGAGAATCATCGATTGGCTGCGTCCTGCACGCTCCCACTGGGGATCAAGCCCACAACCGAGCATGTGCCCTTGACCGGAATCGAACCCGGGACCCTTTAGTCGCAGGCCAATGTTCTGTCCTCCTGCTAGGGCATGACTGAAGGCTTTGGAAGAATCATCCTGGAGCAGGGATTGGCAAACGCTAGCCCATGGGCCAAACACAGCCACTGCCTGTTTTGTAAAGTTTTATTGGGACATAGTCATTCCCATTTGTTTACTCGCTATTCATTATTTACTCACACCTAACATTTACTACATAACCCTTTAAAGGAAAAGTTCACTGACCCTCCCCTAAAGGTTTAAAGGAACAGTACCATGAATAGTGTCTGTTCCCACCAGCCATGGTGGAAATGTAATTCATGGGCCAGAGTGGAATATAATAAAAAAATTTACTATATATATTTTTATTAATTTCAGAGAGGAAGGAGGAGGAGAGATAGAAACATCAATGATGAAAAAGAATCATTGATTGGCTGCTCCTGCACATCCCCTATTGAGGATCGAGCCCAAAACCTAGGCATGTGCCCTGACTGCAAATTGAACCCTGACCTCCTGGTTCATAGGTCGATGCTCAAACACTGAGCCACGCCGGCTGGGCATAAAAAATGAATTTGGACAATTTGTACTAATGTGGAGCAGCGCCTGGTGCACCTTTATAGGACAGTATTTTATGGAAGTGTGTTTTTGTTAACATATGCTTACATCAAGAGAATGGAGACTGTATTGCTAGCAGGGACCATCTGTGAGGAGTGGGCTTTAGAGGAGAGGATCCCATTGTCTAAATTACAATTCTAATGTTCAGATTTCCACAAGAAAGTGTTTTTTGTGTTTTTTTTTAAAATCAGATGGGGGGAATAAAAAAATGTTAATCACTGCTTAAAATGGAGGTCCCTCTGGCTCCGATGGTTTCTGAGGTGGTAAGGGTCAGGCACACACATGTGGAGGGTATGAGCAAACTCCAGCCCTGGCCAGTTTGGCTCAATGATAGAGCATTGGCCTGCAGACTGAAGGGTCCCAGGTTCGATTCTGGTCAAGGGCATGCACCTTGGTTGAGGCACATTCCCAGTAGGGGGCGTGCAGGAGGCAGCTGATTGGTGTTTCTCTCTCATTGATGTTTCTGACTCTCTATCCTTCTCTCTTCCTCTCAATAAAAAATCAATAACATATATTTTAAAACAAATAAACAAACAAAAAAACTCCAGACCCGATATTCTAAAGAAGAACCAAGAGGGGCAGAAATATTGTGGGTGTAATGCGAAGTAAAAAGTAAGGCAGAATTTGGGAGTCCAGTGGGTACTGAAGTGACCAGGGGCCCAGCAGGCGGCCAGGGCAGCTGACCGCAGGCACTGGCGGGCACCTACACGGAAGCAGCCGTTCCTCCCAGGCCTCTTCCGGGCTGACGCCTTTCCTCTTCCCTTCCAGAGCCGTCTGCACGTCCTGCAGCGTAAAGGTGAGGCTCATGCGGGGGCTGAGCAAGGCCTCTAGGCCTAATCTAGGTGTTCTGCGGGACGGGGGGGGGGGGGCCTGCAGTCTCCAGCCAGATGGCACCACCTTCATTTTGCATTGCCCACCTCCTCCTCCCAGGCAAAATCCATTCCTACACTTGCCGAGACAATAGTTTTAAAAGACCCTCGTAGGTGCTTTCTGTTAGCTTTCCATGTTAGCAGGACAGGGCCAAGAAACCCTACACTTCCCCTCAAGAGTCCTAGCTTCTGACCCTGCCACCTTGAGTGTGTTTGGAGGCTCTTTATAGCAGCTCAGGTGTCAGCGTTCACACACGTGCACGGAGGTCAGCTGGTAGTGACACGTTTGTTTCCCCTCACTGCGCCTCAGACCAGAAACAGGAACCTGCTTCAGAGGGGTTTTCATCACCAGTTTTCAGATTCTGACTAGATCCGGCCACGTGGCCGGGGAAGTGTCCACCTTACTCGTTAGGTATTTGCTGTACACAGGGCCCGACGCTAGACCCTGCCTGGTGTAAAGCGCACAGCGCCTGCTCTGTGCCTGCATCTGAGCAGGCGCGGCTGGGTGTGTGTTGGAAGGAGGCGGGAGGGGGAGCCTTAGGGACGCCTTTGTCCACCCACCACCCTCTGTCTGCAGATGAAGATGCCTTCCAAGAAGTTTGCCCACATCCCCGTCTACACGCTGGGCTTTGAGGGTTCTCCGAGGGTGACCACGGCCAGAGCCACAGCCACGCCGCGAAGAGACGCCTTCCAGTGCGTGCCTTTGCCAACACATGTCAGGCGATGCCGGTGCCCCCGGAGCTGGCGTGGGGAGGGTCCTATTTCCTCGGATGCCCCAAGGAAACAAGACGCAGACTCCGGGAGGGCTCTGGGGGCTGAGTGGCAGGAGGTGGAAACCATGTGGGTGTGAGGGCCCGGGACGCAGGCACCTCTCCAGGAAGAGCCTTTCCAGGGTGCACTTTGCTCGGCATGTTCGTTTCTAAACACCTTGCGTGCCTGACGCAGGGGGAGGGCTTGTGGTCGTGGAGAAATGGGCAGGGGGCCTCCCTGACGTCCCTGTCCCTCTCCCCCCCCGCCCCCGCCAGGTCCCTGCAGAGACCCCAGTGGCAGAGCGTGGAGGAGGAGTTCCCGCACATGTACACCCACGGCTGTGTCCTGAAGGACGTCTGCAGCGACTGCACCAGCTTCGTGGCCGACGTGGTGTGCTCCAGCCGCAAGAGTGTGGACGCCCTTAACACCACCCCTCGCCGTGCCCGCCAGACCCAGTCCCTGTACCTCCCCAGCACCTGGACTCTCGACTTCAAGTGACAGCCCCGGCTACCCAGCCCGAGGCTCCTCCAGCTGGCCAGGCCTCGGAGGAGCCGGGCCCGTCCTGGACAAGACTGAGTGCGCCCATCCTGGGCCATCGCTGCCTCCGCAGTGTGCATGTACATATATACATATATACATATACATTTATATAACACATACACAGTGATATATTTATATGTTCCCTGGCCCCTGCCCATTTGGGGTCAGGCTTACTTCCAGGACCCTCCGCAGGGAGGCCGTTTCCTCTCAGGACTCCTTGGGTGGCGTGGGGATGGCCTAGGACAGGAAGGGGGGCAGGCTAGAAGCGAGAGATGGTGGGACTCGGGGAAGACCCTGCCCTGTGTGTTCTCCATCGCTCCTTGGGCAGGTGTCCAGGCGTGGAAGGGCGCCTTGTCCACGGGTGAACTGGAGCCTCCCGCTTGCATCGTGTTCCCTTGTCAGGAGGTGCCTGTGGAGCTTGAATGGGCTGAGACTCCCCCAGGCACGTGTCCCAGGGCCACCCCTTTGGAAGCCTGAAGCAAAGCTCCCTCTCTATCCGACACCATGCTCTGTGATGCTTTCGCTCTGGTTACCGGGAGGAGCCCTGTAAACGTGTCTTCACGGCCGCTCTCGGCCCAATAAAGGTGGTCTCACAGTCTCCCGTCTGGGGCGTGAACTACTGTCCAGCCACAGCAGTGGGTGTGTTCGCCAAGGGCAGAAGCTGGGCTGAGGGGCCACCTGTCCCACATCCCCCCCACGCAGAGTCAGGAGGCCCATCATGAGTTGAGGGCACTCAGGCCCACTCCCATTCTCTACACTCAATTTGGTAATCTGGCACTTTAGGCCTACGTGGAGCCAAGGGCTGCACCGGCCAGTCTGTGGCACCCTTTGTTCTCAAGATCCCTTTGAGTTCACAGGGTAGGGGCACCTCCGCCCTGCTCTTCAGGATGATGGCTGGAGAGATACCCATGTGCCCTGCCTGCCTGTATGTGCCCGGGAGGCGACTTCTGTTGGCATCCCACCCTGTGGATGAGGTCACTGCTTTCCTGGGATGTCGACCAGGTCTACTGGACACCAGGCTCTCATGCCTGCCCCATGGACATGGGTCCTGGAGTTCCCACTTGGGCTGCACATAACCCTTTAGTAGCTGGGTCGCAGGCAGTGGGGTTTCTAGGAGGCTGGGGAAGTGGCTGGAGCTGGTGGGACAGTGGGCAGCTTGAGGTAGCAACTATGTAGCCGCTGGTGTGAAGTGTTTCAAGATCCAAGTGAGCAGCGCAGGCTGATAGACCGGTGGGCGGAGCAGCATGCCCGCACATCCTGTCCTGCCTCCCATTCCCTGTCCCTGACAAACTCTGGATCACGGCACAAATGGAAATCCAGATCCTCCCTGTGCCGGTGATCCTGAGTCCCGTTTCTTTACCTGTAAAAGGGGGATCCCTACCTTGCAGTATATGAGGTATTTGGTATGGAGCCGGGCCTGACTCCACAGTGACAGCCATCCCCACGCTCAAGGCTGCAATCCTGTCCCCCCACACCCGGTCACCTTGTCCTTGCACTAGGCTGGCAGCGCAGGGGATTGCTCTTCTCAATCCTGTCTGCACATTTTAATTCCCCAACGAGCTTTTTAAAATGACAATGCTGCACCCCGGAATGTCTCGGCCTGCGTCCTTCATCTTTATTGTGAAAACCTCCCAGGAAGGTATGACGCACAGGATGGCGAGCCTCCACCTCAGACCAGGGTTCCCAAACCTGGAGGTACAGGAAGCCACCTGGCGGGTGCGGTTCCGGTCTGTCGGCCTGAGGGTTGGCCGGGAGGTTGTCCGGAAGTCCTTTGGGGAGCGGCTGGGTTTGGATGAGCTGGCGGCTAACGAGGGGACAGTCCCGCGAGGTCACCGGCGGGGCGCGCAGGGCGGGCCGGGTCCCCCACGCTCCCAGCCCCCGCCTGCGCAGGGCTCTTCCCCTCCCCGCCTGCGCGTCCCTCCGCGACACAGGGCCCAGGTCCCGGGGCGGGAGGCTCGGAGCCCGGGCGCCCGCTCCCCAACCCCAGCCTCGCCGCCGCCGCCGCGGGCCCTCCTCCCTCCCAAAGACACGGAGACGCCGCGGACCCGGCACCGCAACTCTCGCGAGAACACGTCCGGGCCAGCCCGCACCTCCGTAGGTGACAGCGGGAAAGAGCGGAAGTTCCGGGGAGCGCGGCGCGCAAGCGCGACACGCAGCCCCACGCCAGCCCCGCCAGTGCGCAGGCGCGCAGCGGCTCGCCTTCCTGCTCCCCGGGCAGCTCCCTGTCCCCGCACGTCAGCGGCCGTTGGGTCCTATGTCACGCCGGGCCCTCCGGAGGCTGCGGGGGGAGCAGCGCGGGCAGGAGCCCCTCGGGCCTGGCGCCCTTCAGTTTGGCTTCCGTGACGACGATGACGCGGAAGAAGAAGGACCAAAGCCGGGGCCAGGCGGCCCGCGCCCCCGGAGCCCAGGGAAGGAGGGAGTCCGCGTCAACAACCGCTTCGAGCTGGTGAGCCCGGGTGCCCGGGGCGGGGGCGATGGGGGCGCGGTGTGTGGGGCGGGTCTGCGCGGGGCGAGGCCGTGACGTCAGGGGGCGGGGCCGCTCGGGGTCCGGGCTGCAGCGGGGGCGGGGCGAAGGGCGGGGCGGGGCCACGGGGGCGGGGCCACGCCCGGTCCGGTCCGCAGCTGGGAATGGGGCCGGAGTGTCCAGAAGCGGGGCAATGGGGGAGGGGGGCGGGGTCCGTCAACTCGAGGGCGGGGCACCCATTGGTGGGCGGGGCTTCCCTTCTCGGAACCTTGAGGGGAGGTCCCTTGATGATTTCTATCTCCGCCCTGGCACTTGCTGGGTCTTTACACTCACCTTTGCTCCTCACAAAGGGAACATGGTGTGCAGGTGTCCGGCACAGCCCTGTCTCTGCGCAGGCCTCAGGCTGAGGCCTTGTATGTGCCAGCCTTATCTTGTTCTTGCTTCCTTGACCTTCTTGTGTGGGCAGGTGACACGTGTTTTGCTCACCTGTGTCTCCTGCATCGTGCCAGTGCCCAGCATAGGCATTGAGTCAGCACCGTTCTTGCTGTTGAGGTTGAGCTTGGCATAGAGGTTGTTACAAATCTGAATTCCTTAAAACACCATCAGTGTCCCAAAAGGGGCTCAAAAAATAAATAAATAAATAAGCTCTTGTAAAGGAAGGGAGCATGACTTCGTAAGAGAAATCCAGTGCCCACCTCTACCAAGAGGCATTGGTGGCACCATTAGTTGAATGCTGGGGGAGGTGTGGGTGCCAGTGTGGAGGAAGCGTCCACTGGAGGCCTCATTCCAGCTTCCTCCCTTTGCCGCAAGATCTTAACCAGCCAGACCACCCTGGGGCCCCGGTGTCCCGAGGCCGCCGCACAAAAGAAGGCGCCGAGGTAGGAATTGCCCTGTTGCTGGTGGAGACAGACCCTGTTTGGTAGAATCCCAGCATCTTCACATGACGTGTTCTTTTCGTAAACAAAGACTTATGGATTTGCTAGACAGACAAATGGCGCTCAGAGTGGGAAATAAGTTGTGCTGTTCGGGGATTCTGCATTATGCCAGCTCTGAAGATAGGACACCATGAGCCACCTGTGCCCCAGCACTCTGTGGCTCATCAGCTGAACCAGGACTTGTTCAGACGGTTGCCCTGTGGGCTTTGAGGCATGACACGTCCCTGTTCCTCCTCTGCAATCTCAGAGTGGCCTTGCAGGTGCCCCCAGCACCTCTGCCCTTGCTACTGACATGCCTCTCAGTACCTCAGGATACATGTGTAACGGGATGACATGTGACGCCCTCTTCCCTCCCCTCTGTTCCTGCAGATTAACATTGAGGACCTTGAGGAGGGGCCTGTGGTGAACGGGGAGAAGTCTGATGGTCTGCGCACAGAAGCTGTGGTGTCGGGGAGCAAAAGGAAGTCCCAGAGTGGAAGTGCCGAGCCCAGGAAGGATGGAGAGGTGGATGACAGGACAGGGCCCCTGGAGCAGGTGTGGGGACAAGGGTGCCCAGCCACACACACTCTGCTGTCATTTCTGAGTTCCGTCTTGTTAATGCCCAGTGGCCCCCACCTTTCCTCGGGAGTCGTGATCAGATGTGTATGACATCTTGAAGACGTGGACATCATGGGTGCTCCATCCAGGGTCCCCTAGACGTTTCCAGGCAGGAGATCCTTTTGGGAGAGCCCCCGGCTCAGTGGGTGTGCCCTCCTCATGACTGTGCCTCTGGGGCTCAGGCGGGTGGACGGCCCTGGGTGGATGTGCCTTGAAGAGAGGTGTCGGCCGGGTCAGTTTTGTGTTCTCCATGGCACACCAAGGGTCCCTCCAGGGACCTTTTGCTCATTTGCTCAACACATGCTTTTGGGAGCCTCCTGGGCTCTAGGGACAGGAGCCTCTGGTCGAGAGGGTGACATGGATGGACTGACAACTACAGCTGGGGAGACTTGGGGGGGAGTGGGCAGATGGATCTAATGGGCAGAGGGGCTCCCTAAAGAGTCTCCACACTATGGTGGGAGAAGAGGCTAGGGGAAGGCATGGCTGGTTGTGGCAGGGAGAGTGAGAGACAAAGTGAGTGATGAAAGAAGAAGCTGATGGGTGGATATCAGAACCCTGTGAGGTTGTCAGGCCACAGGACCTCTGAGGTGTGTCAGGAAGAGGTGTGAGAGGAAGCTAGAGGCTGCACTGAGTCGGGGGCCTGGTGGGAGGTAGTCGTTGTCAGAGAAGTCGGTGAGGTCACAGGACCTTCGTGAAGTGGGAGCGAGGGGACATCAAGCCTGCGTCCGGTGTCCTTCTGCAGCTCCTGCTTTGATGCTCAGGGTTTAAGATCTTATCCCCTCATTACATTGACTAAGATGTGCTTCTTTTATTAGTCGAATGTGAGTGGCAAACTCCGAAAGAAGAAAAAGAAACAGAAAAATAAGAAAAGTTCTGCAGGAGAAACTTCGGTATGTCTGGTTGCTACCCTGTCCGCTGTTCTCTGGCTGCGTCTCGGTGCTGTTGGAAGCTGTTTGTGTTTTTGTTTGTTTGTGGCAAACCTGACCTCCAGACTCTGATGTCACATGATTGTGAAGCTTAGATCCCTTGGCCTTTCTCTTCCTAGCTGCTCCCAGTTCAAAATGCGCACAGGTCTTCACGGCCAGCATCTCTTAGATCCACGGTTGGCTCCACGCATTCAAGCCTCAGTCCAGCCTTTAGGGGGAAATCAGCTTAGCCACTGGGTCCTGTCATCACATCGCTTTCCCTGCGTTTCAGCAAGTTCCTGCCCTCCTTGTCCCGGGCCAGCCTGTGGGGTTGGTGCCTGCCACGCTTCTTATATAAAGTCGGGGGGGGTTTCAGGGCCCTCACCATGTTGTCCAGAGCACTGTTGGCAGGGACAGGAAAACATGTTGTTGTTATTTGATACTTTGATTCCTTCCTGCTAGTAGTATAACTGATCCAGAAATCAGAGAAATGAAAAGGAAGTTACCTACCCAATTTCGCTTGCTTGTTCACTTCATTCCTTGAGGGTTAGAGCCCCCTCTGCCTCTGAAACGCTGCTCTTGGGCAGCAGAGCCCTCAGCCTGCTGCACCTGTGCCCTGACTGATAGCGGGCACTGAGGTGTAAATGCCCCAGGAGCAGTGTGGCAGAAAGCATATTGCCATGTTGCCCCTGTGCCTTGTGGTCCCGTGTTTGTTCCGAAAAGAGGTTGTGTCTTTGTGGCTGTTCAGCCAGAATCTCAAGTCCCAGCTCAGTTACCTGAGCAGGTGAGTGCACCTATGAGAAGAGAAATGCACCCTTGTGGTTCAGATATTTGAGGGCTCTTCTGGTTCTGTGATTCTGTCTATTCTGAGCTGCTGCTTACGAAGAATCTGTTATATGCCTATTGTCTTTCAGGAAGCAAGCATGATTAAAAATGAGTTCTTTGTAAAAATGAGCCATAGGTATTGGTTGTAACATGTAAAACAAAGTGAGGGTGGTGGTTAACCTGTTGTTGTTTGGGGCCTTTAGGAAAATGGGCTGGAAGATATTGATCGCATCTTGGAGAGGATTGAGGACAGCAGTGGCTCTCTCCACCCCAGCCCCCCTCTCCTAAGCTCGAGGAAGCACGTCCTGTATGTGGAGCACAGGTATCTCCCCCCACGCTGCAGACTGCGTGCCAAGGAAGTTGCTTATTAGGACAGAAGAAAATAACTCTGTGTAAAGGTGATATAAGTACATGGTCGGACATTTAGGAAACAGGGACCAGGAGGAAGAGGAAAGGGGAAAGCCTCCATTTTCACTGTTAGCTTTACGTGTTTGGGAACACGATTGGCGTCAGATGTCCTGGATCATAGATGCTGGAACCCGGTCCCCGCTGTAGAGGTTGGTCCTGAGCTGGTGGGAATCCCTATGCAGTCAGGCCTTTCACTGCCTCACTCAGCTGAGACTGGTGGCCGGCCTCCGGTCCCACCTGGGGGCTGTGGTGGTAGAGAAAGCAGGCCCGTTAGTCGTTTTGGACACCAGAATAGCTGCTTTCCTCACTGGGTTTTTATGGGACTTTCTAAAATTCTCAGAATCGTTATAAGAACTCAATTTCATTTTTCTTTTAAAATTTTCAATTCTCTAGACACTTAAATCCAGACACAGAACTGAAAAGGTATTTCGGTGCCCGAGCTGTCCTAGGGGAACAAAGGTGAGACCCACACGGGCATGTTCTCAATTAAAGGTGGGGTTCTCAAAGCCAGAGTGGAAAAAACGAGACCCTCAGGGTTCCCCGTTGTGAGGGGCCTGAGGGTGGGTCAGGGAGGAGCTGGAGTTTGACCTTGTCTATGGCTGCTGGGCTCGCTGCCTTCTGTAGCAAAAGTTCCAAAAATCCTTAAACTTTGAACTTCTAGCCCTGAAATCTTAGGCAGGTTCATTCTTGAATCTCAGTCAGCATCACAACTAACATGAAGTTTCGGTTCTAGGTCAAGTTTGATCTTTGTTAATTTAACAGTTCATTAAAAAAAAATGTTTTTATTGATTTTTAGATAGGAAGAGAGAGAGGGAGAGAGAGAAACATTTTGTCCTTGTCCTTGTGGCCTCACCCCCTGCCCCTGCCCTGAGGTTTTGCTCCCACAGCCAGCAGAGGCCGGGCGGTTAGTGAAGTTGTGACACGTCCTGTTCTCCACAGGCCGAGGCAGAGGCAGCGTGTGTACCCCAAGTGTACGTGGCTGACGACCCCCAAGAATACTTGGCCCCGGTACGCCAAGCCAGGTGAGCGGCCTCAGAGGTTCGGGGTGTGCGTTGGCCGGCGCTGGGCACTGTTGGTGTTAGCCCGTTGGGCCAGGTCAGTCCTCTGCAAAGCTCCGTGCAGGTGTGCTATTGGGTGTCTGCCGTGGTACCACCGGTGTTGGGGCAAAGATCCCACGCCAACTGTGTCTCTTCTTCACCATGGTGTGTGTTTGATATTTATCTTGATTTCAGAGATGAAGGAACAGGGAGAGAGAGATAAAAACATAAATGGTGAGAGAGAATCATGGATCGGCTGCCTCCTGCACACCCCTGCTGGGGATCGAGCCCGAAACCCAACCCTGGCTGTGCCCTGACCAGGAATCAAACCGTCACCTCTTGGTTCCTGGGTTGAAGCTCAACCACTGAGCCACATTGGTCAGGCTTGACCATGTTTTAATGCAACTTTTTATCTACCTTATTGCTTTTCCCTTTTGGTACTATACCATAGGAAGCAACCAAGTTCACTTTTAAAGTTTCATTTTATATTTTGTTGCAAACTAGTAAGTACTAGAAAGAAAAACAGCAATCGTGCAGAAAGTGATGGGGTGTGGGTAAGTGTCCTGTCGGGGCTGCTTGGCTACAGGGCTTGGAGAAGCACCTGGGAGCCCTCCAGCCAAGGCAGGGGGAAGGGGAGGGAGACCCCGAGCACAGGCAGAGGTGAGGGGCCTCAGCTGTGTGTCCTGCGACATGTGCCTTAGTGCAGTGCCAGTGAAGTGTAAGCCAGGGTGACTGGGGACCCCTGACTTATTTCATGAAGGCGCTGAAGAGGGAGTTTCCAGGTTCATCAGCAGAAATGACCCTGTACCCCTGATTTGGGCACGAGAGGCAGACAGAAAGGGCATCTGGTTGTGGTTACAGTCATGTCTCCTCCGTGCCTGCCGGTTGTCCTGGGTGTTGGTCTTCTGTCCGTGCTCCTGGGAGGAGACACGTCTTTGTAGGAAACGAGCAGAGGGCGCGGGCAGTCACCAGGCACCTGGGGCCATGCTCACGGCGGAGCCGATGCCTCGATGCGGCAGCTCGCACCGGTGCACGCAGGCTCCTCGCAGGAGCACCTGGAGGCCTGACCTGGCGTCCTCCCCAGGCTTGTCGATGCGGCTGCTGGAGTCCAAGAAGGGCCTGTCCTTCTTTGCGTTCGAGCACAGCGAGGAGTACCAGCAGACGCAGCACAAGTTCCTGGCCGCCGTGGAGTCGATGGAGCCCAACAACATTGTGGTGCGTGAGTCCCTCCACAGGACTGGGCCCGGGACCATGCTCCAGGCACTGCTTCTGGGGCTCGCCGCTCCCCCGGTGCGGGGCCCGGGCGGGGGCAGGGCTAAGGTGGAGACACCTGGGTACAGAGTCCTGAGCTGCCACTCCAGGCAGGTAGGGATTTGGCTTCGCAACCGTGTCGAACATGTTTGGGCTGGAGGATGTCGTGACTCATCCCGGTGACATTTTCCCCGAGGCTTAGCTGCCTGAAAGAAAGCAGTGTCCAGGGCCGGAGGCCCGACCACAGCCATGTCAGCTTTCCTTCCTGCCTCGCAGGTTCTCCTGCAGACGAGCCCATATCACGTGGACTCACTGCTGCAGCTCAGCGACGCCTGCCGCTTCCAGGACGATCAGGAGATGGCGCGAGACCTCGTAGGTGAGAGCTCGCTCCGGCCCTGCTGCAGCGCCCGCGTCCCCTCCGCGCGTGTCTCAGAGCCTGCGGCATAGATGCCATTTGCACAGTGACTGGGTACAAATGGGTTCCCCAGGATATCGTTAAAATAACAGCTTCGTTAAGTGTTGGAGTTGTTCAGCCTTGTAGATCCGAGACCATTTTCGTTACTTAAAAAGAAACCTCAGCTCTTCAGTCACCTCCCAGGCCCCAGCCCTGGTAACCACCAGTCTGCTTTCTGCCTCTGGATTTCTCTGTTGACGGTTCTGATCATGTGTTTCTGGCTTCTTCACACACAACAGTGTCTCCCAGGCTGGGAGATGTTCCAGGGGGTGATGGACCCTATTTGTGTGCCCACAGCACGTGGCACACTGGGTTGTCCCCATACTGTGGCCCCTGTGTGTGAGCTTTGTGAGGGTGTGTGTGTACATTTCTTTGTCTGGAATCGGTGTTGCCTGCTCATTGAGCCCCAGGGTCAGTCAGTCACGTTTGTGCTGTCTATTCCCCAAATCCTAGTAACCTGACTCCTTCCTTCCAGAGCTTTCCCTGTTGGGAGCCATAGAGGACGGGGTTGCAGCTGCCGCACGGTGGCTGTGACGCCCTCCCCTGGTGTTTGTGTGGCCCACAGAGAGAGCGCTGTACAGCATGGAGTGTGCCTTCCACCCCCTGTTCAGCCTCACCAGTGGGACCTGCCGGCTGGATTACCGCAGACCCGAGAACAGGTGAGCGGCCTCCCCGAAGGACTTTGCTCGCACGCACTGCTCTTTTTCCTGGGTGACATGAGACCCAGGTAGGGGAGTGGGAGCAGGGGGCATGGGCTGTCCACAAGGGGTCCTGCCAGGTAGGTTGAGCCAGGCATCTCACTGGGTTAAAGCTTGAATGCAAGAGGGCTGGGCTCCAAGACGGTTGGATCAGCTGGCCTGGAGTTAAATGCGTTTGTATTAGAAGTGAGTCTGATAAGCCACTCCGCGTGATGGGGTCTGTCATCGTGTTTTCCTTTGTCTTTGGACAAAAAGATCCGAGCCCAAGAGTTTAGAAAGCTCTGCGATGCTCTGCACGCGGGTGTGTGGTCCGGGAGGGAGTAGCTGGAATTCAGCCAGGCCTGTTGCTCTGCATGAGCAGTTGTGTGCATGGCCCCTTGTCTTACAGAGACTTCTGCCACCCTGAACTTCCTCCCCGCTCAGGCCCTGGTGGCCACAGCAGCCTCCCCGCTGCCCTCGGCCTGGTCTTCAGGGCCCTGGCGGGTGGGCATGCCCTCTGTCCTGGGGCATTTCCCCGCCCTGGGTCCCACTGCCCCGTCTGCACTGGGGGCTGCATCTGAGCTTCTTCCCCTGCTTGTGCTTGTCAGCCTGGCTGCTCCAGGCGAATTCCTGGTTAAGTTCTTTCAGACAGGTCATAAGATATGGACAGTCCAGGCATTAGCCAAGCAGTGGGTGTTGATAAAAGCAATGGCCTGCTGGGATCATTCCAGTCACAGCCTTGGCATCAACACCAGAGCTGCTGTGACTGGAAATGTGAGGAAAGATGAAGGTTGTAATGACAGGTTTTAACTCTCTTCCCGTAAATCATAACTGCAATCCTGCTTTCCATGGGGACTGAGTCAAGATTGTCCTGGGGCCTCACACACTTCCTTCCCATGGGTGTTGGGGTGCAGAAAACCCCAAGGTAAAGGTTTGAACTAAGAAGCTAGGCTTAAATACATGGTGCACTTCTGACTCAAACAGCAAGCAAAGTGTCACCTTCTCTGCAGACAGGAGCATTCTCCAAAACTCACAGTGATTAGGCCTCACAGGAAATGCGGCGAGGCGGCAGGCACGATGAGGACCGAGGGCAACGTGGCTCTCCCACCTGCTGTCGCCCTGGCTCACGAGGAACTGTCTTGGGTCTAGGAGCTTCTACCTGGCCCTCTACAAGCAGATGAGCTTCCTGGAGAAGCGGGGCTGCCCGCGCACGGCGCTGGAGTACTGCAAGCTCATCCTGAGGTGAGTGTCCGCCGGCGGCATGGCGGTGGCCACCGGCCGACACCACGTGGGCCCACTCGGTTTTGTCTCCCTCTGCCTCCGGAAGCCTGGAGCCCGACGAGGACCCCCTGTGCATGCTGCTGCTGGTGGACCACCTGGCCCTGCGGGCACGCAACTACGAGTACCTGATCCACCTGTTCCAGGAGTGGGAGGTAGGCGGGGTGTGCGATGGCCTGCACAGCCCCGTCACCGTGGCTGAGGTCACCGTGGCGAGGGTCCTGGGACACCGCCTGGTCTGCTCATGTCACTGGGACAGGAGCACTGAGGAGCCCTCTTGGCTGCCAGATCGACATGGGGTGTCAGAGTGCCTTTGCTCAGTCACCCGATTTCACTTCCTAATGGTCTCAAACCACAAGCCTCCTGATGCAAATCATGTACTGAGGTCGCTAAGATCAATGGTTAGAATGAATCGACTATTTGTGAGATTGTGAAAGGAAAAAAACCACGTTGTTTTTGCTGTCGTACCTCAATCTATCATTCTGTTTCACTACTATTCGTCACTTACTCTGCCTGGTTTATAAATTGAACTTGAGCACAGTACGCGTGTACAGAGGAGAACAGTGCATGCAGGGTCAGTACCACCCACAGTGTCAGGCACCCACGGTGGGTCTTTGCGCACAGCCACTCAGGATGAAGGGGAACCACTGTGCCTGTCGCTTCTGCGAAGGGAAGGCCCCGGACGGAGGCCGTCATCGCACACTGTGCTCCCTGTCTGAGAACTCTGCCTCCGTCTTCACCACGTAGGCTCACCGGAACCTGTCCCAGCTCCCAAACTTTGCCTTCTCCGTGCCGCTGGCGTACTTCCTGCTGAGCCAGCAGGCAGACCTCCCAGAAGAGGAGCTCAGCTCGGCGAGGGAAAAGGCCTCTCTCTTGGTGCGACAGGCCCTCATCATGTTCCCTGGAGGTGGGTGCTGCCAGGCCCGCCCCACCCCTCAGGCTGCCAGTGGCGGGGAAGCCGAGTCTCAGGGTGGTTGGGCGTTAGGACGTCTTTCTGAGAGGCAGAAAGTAAGGCCCTGGGCTTTGGGGGACGTGGGGACAGGAGGGGCAGCCAGCCAGCCGGGATGCACTTTCTGGTGTGCAATGCTGCTGCTCACCAGTGTGAAGGATGAGACAGATTATCCCGGGCCTCCCAGACCACCTTCCCACGGGCGTTCGTGCGAAGTCTGCGGGCTCGTCCCTGGGTGGCACATCCTGATGGGGCGTGTGGCTGGGAAAGGAGCTCACTGTTGTCCCCCTCCCGGCCCCCATGTCCTTACACCACACGCAGCTTTACAAGCCAAGATTCCCGCCTCGGGGGCTGATGTTCCAGGGCAGGGATGGCGTGTGAGGTGGTGCTAGAGGGGAGATGGGGTTGTGGGGTGGGAGGAGGCCAAGCCTCAAGCTCCCAGCACACTGCATCCTCAGCCACCCCAGCCCTGCACGCACGCCTTGGCCTGGCCGCTCTGCACACTGGCTGCCCAGCAGGCCTCAGGGAACCGGCCCTGCCATCCACCTGCTGGAGCTGTGGCTGCTAGTGTGGAGGAGGGTGTTTGTCCCAGGTCCCTGCCTCGGGCTGTGGGCACACAGCAGGGGGCTGGGTGGGGTGTGGAGCCTGCACCACAGAATGCCAGCAGTGCCCCTGCTGCCTGGACTACCGCGTCCGGGTCTTTCTGTGAGACCCTCTGGGCGGGCACAGGGCAGGAGCCTCACACTGCAGCACGGAGCTGGGTGCTGCAGTAGCCCATGCCTGGGGAGTCCCTGGGAAGACAGGGTTCTCCCTCGCCAGGGGCTGCCGAGGGGTGGGGTGTGTGGTCTTTAGGAGGAGAACGTCCGGCACCCATGCTTGGGGATCACAGGGGGTCCCCTTAGGTCAGATGGGGCCCCTGGGAAGCAGCAGGACAGAGAACCCCCCTTCAGAGTCACTCTCGGGCGTGAGTGACCCATCGGGCTCTGCCGCCTCCCGCAGTTCTAATGCCCTTGCTCGAGTGCTGCAGCGTTCGGCCGGACGCCGCCGTCGCCTGTCACCCCTTCTTTGGACCCAGTTCCGAAATAAGGTAAAGACGGAAAGACGCCCGAGGGGCACAGACGCGGCCTGTGCGTAGTGCAGGCTGTCTGCACGTCTGCCGGGGTCTGGCCTGTCGGACATGGAGCTGGCGGCGTGCGAGCAACCTGCAGCCCAAGCACAAGGCTTCCCGATTGGGGGGGGGGGGGCAGAGGGGGAGGGGAGACGGGGCGTGGGTGCCCGTGTTCTTTCTCTATTTTACGTTCCTGTTAAGGAACTCATCCTTAGTAAAGACCGTGTGCGATGTTCAGAAGTGAGCATGTGGCATACCCCAGGTTGGCAGCCTTCTGGGCAGCCTCCTCTCACTCGGGCTTTGGGCACACCCTGGCTGTGCCCAGCATGTGCCAGCCGGCGCCTGGAGGCTGGACCTGGGTGGGGGGATATGCTTACAGGCCCTGCCTTCCCGCAGCCAGCCCCCTGCGCTGAGCCAGCTGGTGAGCCTGTACCTCGGGCGGTCCCACTTCCTGTGGAAGGAGCCCAGCATCATGAGCTGGCTGGAGGAGAACGTCCGTGAGGTCCTCCAGGCCGTGGACGCAGGGGACCCCGCCGTGGCAGAGTGCGAGAGCAGGTGAGGCCGGCGGGGAGCCGGACCGCTTTGGGCTGGTAGGTCCACATGGAAGAAGGAGGCTGGCTGCTCGGGGATCTCCATCGGGATGTGGGGGGAGGAAGGCTCCATTCCGTGACTGTCCTTTGTCTCCCCGGGCCCAGGCGGAAGGTGCTCTACCAGCGAGCGCCCAGAAACATCCACCGTCACGTGGTCCTGTCTGAGATCAAAGAAGCTGTTGCTGCACTGCCCCCGGTAAGGAGCAGGGCTGCCGTGGGAGCTGGTGGGAGCTGGCTCCTCCCCTCAGGGCCGCTCTGAGTGCGTCCTGACACCCTGGGCAGAGATTGCGGCGTGTGGGATGGTGGTGGGTGGCCCACCCTCACCCAAAGCCTGGGGTACAGTAAGCACAGCCTGGCCGCTGGGGTCCCTCCAGCAGGAAGGCCCCGTCCAGACCAGAATCTGCTGACAGGCGGCGGATAGGGGAGCAGAGGCACAGCACAGGGCCCGGCTGCATCTCCGTTCTCTGTCTCGTTCTGCAGGAAGTGACCACGCAGTCCGTGATGGGCTTTGACCCTCTGCCTCCTTCAGACACCATCTACTCCTACACCAGGCCAGAGAGGTACCTGTCCCTGCTCCTGGTGCCTTTGCATCTGGCTCTCAGAGCTTCGGGCCTGGGACTTGCTGCCTCTTCCAGACACAGGCTCTAGAGCAGAGTGGTTTGGGGTCGTGGATCAGCTTTTCCAGGCCTGGAACTTTCCGTGTATTTGTCTGACCAGGAACTTCACTGCATCAGGTTCTGTAGCAGGTGCTGCACATACAGTGGGAAGCAGCCAGGCACCTCTGTCCTGGTGGCATGTCCAGTGCAGTGGGGAAACATCTCAGGTATAGAATCTGGAAAGTGCCACCCGAAACTGCCGAGAGTAGTGGCGTGTGGTCTTTGGGAGGATACACTGAGATTTGGGGGGCCCTCACCCGGTAAAGAGGTGACAGCTGCTGGGTGTGTATGGACGGCCCCCTTTTTCCTCTGGCCTCTTGAGCTGAGTAACTGCCTTACCCGGAGCCCTCGCCAATGTCCTAAATCTGGAAGATTCACCAACAGATTGTCCCATTTAAGGGAGCATGAGCTTTCAGACCTCAAAAGAACACATTTTGTAGAAGTTCTTTTTCTCTCTCACCAAATTATAAAAGTTGGATTGCATATTCAGAAGGTAACAGTTCCCAGCTACCTGTTCCAATGGAAACTTTTATTAGTGTCTTAGGCTCAGACAAAAGCGGCATGCTGGACCTCTTGGCACTGAGGCGTGACTGTAGTACTTCAGGGATGGTCTCCCCACCCCCAGCTGGGTAGACCTTGAGCTTTCATAGCAAATAAAGGTCACTGCTCAGCAACACCTCATGCCTCATGGAGCTGGGATGCAGTACCCTGAGGAACACTGCAGCCAAAGCTTTTCTTATCAGCAAGGCACCCGGCTGCGGTGGGCTGCGCTTCCCTCCTGGTCCAACAAGCCAGGTTACAAAGGGCCACCCCCCAGCCCTGGAACATGCTCCCCGCTGCCCTGATGCCGGCAGTACCCCCTTAGCTGGCCGTGAGTCATGGCTGCTGCCCCCTGGGGCTCCAGGCCCCAGCTCAGCCCTGTCTCCAGCTGCTGCCGTTCTGTCAGCTTCATTTCCTCCCTGTTCTTTCTCTTTCAGGCTGAGCCCCGTCAGCCATGGAAACACGATCGCCCTCTTCTTTCGGTCACTACTGCCCAGTTACAGCATGGAGGTAGGTGAGCTCACCTGGCCTCTCTGCTGGCCACGGGGTGCAACAGGTCCCTTCCGGTGTGACTGCAGAGCCAGTGCTGCCAGCAGCAGGGCACCCTGTCTGCCTGGGAAGCTGGGCGTGGCTGCCTGACCCGCAGCTGCTGATGGGACAGGACACCCCGTCAGCAGGGCGGCCGGACCCCACCCGGTGGCCTGGCCTCGTTAGGAGACGCGTGTATGTGGCCCCAGAGGCTGCTGCCTGACAGGTCCCGAGTGCCCAGGGGCCCTGCTCAGATGGGTCTCGTTGCCGCAGGGAGAGAGGCAAGAGGACGGAGGGGCTGAGGGACTGGACCACAACCAGGGCTTGAACAGGCTGATGCTGGCCGTGCGAGACATGATGGCCACTTTCCACTTCCACGACCCGGAGGCTCCGCACGAGGACCATGCCGAGGGGGACGGGGAGTGGGACTGAGCGCGCAGCTCCATGCCCACACTGTACAATTATGTTCCTGATTTGTCTGGTCACACTGACCAGTTCCCTGAAGTAAAAATGCCATGTCCGCCCGCCTCCGCCTTCTGTAAACGTGAACGTGACGCCTGCGCATGTGAGCTCTCTCCCAGGCTGGGGCAGTGCCCAGCGTGGGCCAGGGCCTGTGTTCTGTCGGAACTGGGGCAGGCAGGCCCGGGGCCGGGGGGAGGGGGAGGGCAGGCACACGGCTGGTCTTTCCGTCGGACACAATGGTTTTCTTGGAAAACACTGAGTCGGGAGCCTGCGAGATGGTGGCTTAGGAACAGACGGCAGAAATTGGGGGCATTTGGTCTGCAGCGTGACCAGGACACGGCGGCAGGCTTGTTGGCTGATTGGCAGCTGGGAGGGACACCAGGCTGCCTGTGACTCAGCAGCCTGTTTGGTTCTGGAAGGATCCAGGCATTGCTGTTGTCTTCTGGGCACCCTCCCAGCCCTGATCTCCCCAAGTTCAAGGGAAACCAGACCACCTTTGAACCAAGACACTGACCCAGCTCTGGGCCAGCCCTTCCTGAGACCCACCGCGCGGAGAGCCATGTCCGGCTGCACAGCTGTGACCCGCCCACTGGTGTGCCGGGTGGACACGGGCACCTCTCCTGGAGCTCTCGGTCCCCGGAGCTCCCTCGCACACTGAAGGTCACACGTTGCATGCCCACCGTGTGCCTTCTGGTGCTGGGGGACAGCAGTAACAAGACAGGGACTTCCTGCTCTCATAGCCGCCTCACAGTGAGTCAGGCTCATCCTCCCGGGGGGGTGCAGGGGGTGGGGGGTGCGCTCTGTCCATGGCCATTCCTCACGCATCTCCCAGGGCACAGAGGGAAGGATACAAACGGCCTCAGAATTATCTGACTTCCTTACACTTTCCCCCGTGACCGTAACGAATCACAAAGTGGACTTTTCCCCACTCGGCTGTATCTGCTGTCTCCCTCCCACAGTCCTGACAGGCGAGGGCATGAGAACCAGCGGGAGTCCCGAGGCCTCCCAGGAAGAGGCTGTGGTCACCTGCCAGCGGCTGCCCAGTCTCATGCCCTTTGAAGTCTCAGGCGGGGGGGGGGGGGGGGCACGGGCCCCTCAAAGGCCTCCTTTATAGAGCCGGAAACAACAGCCCTGAGGTGTGGTGACGGGCAGGGCCCTGCTCACCCAGCGTAAGGCAGTTCTTGGGGGCGGTGTGGCAGGAACTGGACCCTCACAGCTGCTGGGACCACCTTCCTGCCACAGCACAGCCTCATGGCCCTACCCTGGGCCCTCTGGGGTCCTCCACCAAAGGGTCTCGGAGTGGGGGGCGGGCACGTTGTGGCCCGTCCGGTGCCTGCTGCCTGTGGGGCTGGGAGTGGCCTGTCCTTCCATCCACACACGGGGAGCGGGGACTGCACCCTCCGGAAACAGGCCGCTGGTCCACCGGCGTGGAAAGTGGTTTGGCCACATCCACCGAAGCTGGAGATCGGCCTCGGGCCATGAAATCCCTTGTCGCCCAGAGGGACGGTGGCTATTCACCAGAGCCTGGCAAGAGCGCCTGCGGCACTGTAATGGGTTGGGAGCTGCACATACAACAATCAACCAGTATCTGTAATGCTTTCAACAATAAAAGTAAAATTTTAAAAAGCAACCAGTGAATGCCTAAATAATTGAAACAACAAACTGATGTTTCTTTCTCTCCCTTCCTTTCTCTGAAAATCAATTAAGGAAAAAAACAGACCTCCCCAACTTCCTCTGGCCCCATCTGCACCCCCAGCCACTTACCTGTCTAGTTGCCTCATTTTCCCTTTCCCTCTCTGCCTACACCTCCAGAGGAGGTTTGTGGTCAGATGCCATCCTCAGTGAGGAAGTGCTGGGGTGGCATGAGGCCAGCCTGGTGCCCACGGGCACTCTGGACTCACGTTCCCACAGCGACCACTTGAGGTCTGTCTTGGAGTGGCTCCAGGCATGAAGCCTGTGGTGTCCTTCCCGGTAGCTCTGAGCCAACCCCTCCCTCCCCCCAGCCAAGATGACAAAGCTTATCTTCCAGCCCATGTGGCCAGGCTGTCCTCGGGCAGTACTCAGCAAAGGGGCTGGGGGCCTTGGGGACGGGCTGCTCTCGTGAACATCTAACGGAGTGGGGCGAGGGCTGGGGGTGGGCGGCCAAGGCCAGACTTCCCGAGGCAGAGCAGCACCGCTGGCCTCAGGAACAGGAGGCCTCCAGGAGGTGGTGTTTGCCACGGGTCTGGAGGAGGGTTTGAGTCTGGCAGGTTGCCAGGATACCCACACAGATGCCTGGAGCCTGGAGCCGAGGCCTGATGGCGCTGGCTGGCAGAACACGGTGACTGCAGTGGCTGTAAGCAGGAAGGGGAATGTAGGCTGTGCCGGAGTCAGCTGCCTAGGGAGCCGAACGGCCCTGGTGCCAGCCTGCCGCCTGGTGGCAGCAGTGGTGCCCAGTGTGCTCTGATGAATCCCTGGGCACACGCCCATCATGTGGCAGCCCTCAGGAGGAGGGGCTAAGCGGGCAAAGTGAAGGATGTAGAGAAAGGGTCCATTCTTCCTGGGCCTCAGTCCTGCCTGGCCAGGGAGGCGGGAGGCATGGAAATGTGAGGGCCTAGGCGACCACACCCAGGGAGAGGTGGGGAGTCGACCAAGGACCCAGCGGGCTGGTGCTGGGGAGCTTGGGGTCCTGGCTGGGAAGTGACCAGATTGGTTGAGAAGGGGGGGCACCTGGGCTGGCATCTGTCCTGCCAGGGAGACGGTGAGTGTGGGAGGGCCCTGGGGGTGCGTTGGGCCCCACTGGGGGCACCATGAGCTGAGCGGATGCCCGCAGCAGGAGGCCCCTTCCCGCTTGCTGGGGCGACGATGCTTGCACAGGGCGCCCAGAGGAGGCTGCTGGGCATCCTCAACTCCACCCCCCCAGCCACCCCCCACCCCGGACCGGCCCCCAACCAGACGGACCCCTGGTGCCTGGAGGTGTCCGTTCCCGACGGGCTCTTCCTCAGCCTGGGGCTGGTGAGCCTGGTGGAGAACGTGCTGGTGGTGGCCGCCATCGCCAAGAACCGCAACCTGCACTCGCCCATGTACTTCTTCATCTGCTGCCTGGCCGTGTCGGACCTGCTGGTGAGCGTGAGCAACGTGCTGGGCACGGCCGTGGCGCTGCTGCTGGAGGCGGGCGCGCTGGCGGCCCAGGCGTCCGCGGTGCAGCAGCTGGACGACGTCCTGGACGTGCTCATCTGCGGCTCCATGGTGTCCAGCCTCTGCTCCCTGGCCGCCATCGCGGTGGACCGGTACCTCTCCATCTTCTACGCGCTGCGCTACCACAGCATTGTGACCCTGCCCCGGGTGTGGCGGGCCATCGCGGGCATCTGGGTGGCCAGCGTGGCCTCCAGCACCCTCTTCATCGCCTACTACGCCCACACGGCCGTCCTGCTCTGCCTGGTCAGCTTCTTCGCGGCCCTGCTGGCGCTCATGGCGGTGCTCTACGCCCGCATGCTGGCGCAGGCCTGCCAGCACACCCGCGGCATCGCCCGGCTGCACAAGAGGCAGCGCCCCGCCCCCCAGGGCCTCGGCCTCAAAGGGGCTGCCACCCTCACCATCCTGCTGGGCATCTTCTTCCTCTGCTGGGGCCCCTTCTTCCTGCATCTCCTGCTCATCGTCCTCTGCCCTCAGCACCCCGCCTGCCACTGCGTCTTCCGGAACGTCCCCCTCTTCCTGGCCCTCGTCATCTGCAACACCATCGTGGACCCGCTCATCTACGCCTTCCGCAGCCCCGAGCTCCGCAAGACGCTCCAGGAGGTGCTGCAGTGCTCCTGGTGAGGAAGGCCGAGGGCCACGGCCAGGTGCCTGCCGGCAGGGGGAGGGGAGCCATCCCATGGCCGGCTTCTGTGTGGCCAGGCAGTCACTGGCCAGGAAGGACAGACGAGGTGATTGCCGAAGGTGTGGGCGCACCGACCCTCTGGGCCAGAGAGGAGTCAGCAGACATCTCCAGGAGTTGTGGGGGTTACAGGAAGCTGGGGAGATGGGGCCACAGGCACAGGGCAGGCCTGGGCTCCTGGACCGACATGGCCCACGCGGGAGACATCCCCCTGCACCCAGAGATAGGCGAGGACCCACCTGTGCCCGCCCACCGGGCGGTGAAGTCCGTGGCTGGCAGAGCACCTCAGGAGAAGGGACTGTGATGAGCAGGTCCGCGCCTCACATGGAAAGGAGTGAGGTCCTGCCCCAGGCAGGGGGACATGTCCGCAGGAGCCGCAGTGGGCATGGGGCTGATCTGGGGCTCGTGGCGCTGGAGAGCTGGGGGCTCGGCCCATTGTTTGCACCACACAGGCCCCTCAGATCGTGCCCGCCACTGCCTGCTCAGGCCGAGGCCACAGCCATTAGTTGGAATCAGTGACCAGTACCCGGGGCCGGGAAGCATCTGGGAATAAATGCTGAGCTTGGAGCAGCTCCATGGCCGTCCACGCTGGCTCATTGCAAAGGTGCTTGACGCTTGAGGGTGGAGAAACCATGGAGGGGCCTGGCGGGAGTGATGTAGGTAGAGGTATATATCCCAGAACCCCCGCAGGACCCAGCATGCCTGAAGCCCCAGCCCTTTGCACCTGCTCTGATGCTGCGTCTGCCTTCTCTGTAAATGTGAACCCGGCCCCGGGCCACTGGAGGGAGGAGTCCTCCCCAGGCACCTCCATGGGGAGGAGGCTGACGGGTCCCGGCTGCCCTTGGCTGCAGCAGAAGCAGGACCTCCGTGACCCTCTGTGACCTTGGCCAGAGCACAGCTGGCCCTCCTCCTGGCCTGCTCTGGGTCACCCCCAGGGGGTCCAAGGTGCAGGGTGGGTCAGGACGGGTTCTCGTTCCTCCAGCCCTACCAGCCCTGGCAGATATTCGAGCCAAGGCCGCCCAGAATGGGGCGAGGCTGTCCAGTGGCTGCAGGCAGTGTCCCTGGGATTGGTATCAGGGGTGGGCCCTGCTGCATGGTGTTGGGGGCCCTGGGGTCCTCCCTGTGCTGAAACCTGGGGCCTCTATCCGGGGAGCCACTGGTTCCTCCAGACGCCGAGCATGCAGTCAGCCCCATTCCTGGTACAGGCTCCGTGGAGGGGGAAGTGACGGCATCAGCCAACTCCCAGGTAGTTCTGGCTGCATCTGCAGCTGCCTGAGCAGTCTCCACCCCACCCTGCTGGCAGCGCCAGCCCTGACTGCTGCCTTGGGGCTGGGAGCTGGTTCCCGGCAGGGCCAGCCTTTGCTGGAAGATGGACAGGACGGCGAGTCAGCCTGGAGCCCTCTGGGGAATGGAGGGGAGCCGGCTGGTCCGACGCCATTCCACAGGGAGGCCAGCTGGACGGGTCCTGGCCTACGGGATGCTGCAAAGCTTCTGCTGCTCAGAAAGGGAGGTACAGCCAAAAGCTCACCAAGGACCCCCTGAGTGGGGATGGGCGGAGCCCCAGTGGCCAGAAGCCAACCACAGAAAGCCACCTCATGGACATGGGGGGAGGGGCTTCTCTTGAGAACAAAGACCCGCTTCTGGGCTTGCCAAATCAGGGAGCTTTGGGAGGAGGGGGGAGAGCAGGCGGACACGGCCACACCCCACCAGGCCCCTCCTGGGCACACACTCAGGACACAGGTGTGCCCGAGCTTGCTCAGCTGATGGGACGCCCTGCCTGGAGGAGGTGTCCCTGGAACCATAGAAGGACCTGCTCTAAGGTGTCTTCACGCCATGTCCGAGCCCGGGAGAACGGGAAGCCCGTGGGCCTGTGTGTGGGGTACAGTGTCTGTCCTCACTTGTGGGGTACAGGACCCCTCCCGGCACCTCTGACTTCCCCAATTTCCCCTGCAGGATCCTCACTTAGCGCACACATCGCTCCTACACGCGCCCCTGCCCCCACTGCCTGGGCCCCACGTGGACCAGAGGTCCAGACCCACAGATGATATCGGGGAGCATCAGGACTGCACCCCTCTCTGTGGGTCCCTCCCTGGTGTGTCCTCATGGCAGTTCCCGGCACAGCATTCCCTGAGCCACTAGTGCCGCCTGCAGGCACTGCCTGGCGGGAGTGGGGGGAAGGACGGGGGTGGGAGTGGGGGGGGCACACAGCAGGGCTCTGGGCAGCAGCGGCGGGCGGGGGGGGGGGTGGCTCCCCCACTGCAGAGGGGGCCGCCGCAGCCCTCCCGCACCCAAGGCCACTCTGGCTCGGGATGTCTTAGCCCTGCGCTCGCTGGCTGTTGGGCCTTTTTCCTCTCCCAGCCCAGCCCCAGCCCCAGCCCCAGCCCAGCCCCAGCCCAGCCCCAGCCCCTGCCCCTGCCCCTGCCCCTGCCCCTGCCCCTGCCCCTGCCCCTGCCCCTGCGGGGTCCAGAGGAGCTCAGGTACCTGGCCGGCCCCCCGTGCATACACTGGGAGCGGGAGGCGTCCGCCGCCCCCATTGGGGAGGGAGACGGGGTCCGCCCCTAAGCAAAGCCGGTGGAGCTGAGGGGTAGCGGGGCGGGGTCCGAGGACCGAGGGCCTTCCATTGTCCTCCCTGGTCCCGCAGACCCTATTCCCGGGAGGGAGCGGCCCCGCCCGCCGCGAAGACAGACGCGGTGCAGAGGCGGCGGCCGTGCCGCAGCGGCGGCGGCGCCCCCATTGGCCGCGGAGACGCCGGAGGGCGGGGCCGGGCCTATAAGAGCCGCGGCGGCCGGGGCTCCGCACCGCCCGGCCCTCCGCTTCCCGCACCCGCCGCCGCCATGAGGGAGATCGTGCACATCCAGGCCGGCCAGTGCGGCAACCAGATCGGGGCCAAGGTGAGGCCGCCCCGCGCCCCGTCCGAGCCAGCCCCGCCCGAGCCAGCCCGGTCCAAGCCCCGGGGAAGGAAGGGGAGCCTCTGGGAGGGAAGGGGAGCCCTGGGGAGGGGAGCGGGAGCACCGCCGACCTCTAGCGCAGTCGCCCCGGAAAACCGATGACAAAGTGCCGGGCCGCCCTGACCCCTCGCCGCCTCTCTCGACCCCGCCGGCCCCGCGCCCCCCACCCCGGCGCCCCCCACCCCCACCCCCGGGGACCGGCGGGCTGGCGGGGCGTGGCCGCACCGGATCCCTCTCGGCCTGGGCTGGGCGGGCGGGGGGCGAGCTGGGCGGGGGGTGAGCTGGTGTGAGGGAGGCTCACCCTCTGAGCACGATGCCCCCGCCTCGGGAACGGGGTCCTCTGAGCGGCCGGGGCGCCTGGTGACCCCCGTTCTGCCGGGATCACCCCCGGCGGCCCGGCCCCACCCCGTTCCTTTGTTGGGTGCGGGTTGGGCCCGGACTCGAGGTGACCTTGGTCCAGGACCAGCCCCTCCCGCAGCGCAGCCCCCCTGGGCGGCCCTCCAGCGATGGCACCCCGAGTCTTGGTGGGACCCCGAGTCTGGGATGGGACTGGGAACAAGGCGCCTCCGGGCGCCGGGAGCTCTGAGCGCGGTCCCTCCATCCATTGTGAGACCCCCGCCCAGCGGCGGGGACCGAGGCGGGAAGACGTGGCCCATTCCCGGGAGGCGATGTCAGGGCACCGGGTCCGGGAGGCTGTCCGGGCCCAAGGTCACCCGGCCCGGGCCGGACCCAGCCCGCCCCCACCCCCCGCCCCCCGCTCGGTCCCCGCGGGGCGCAGGGCGCCCCCCCTCCGGCCCCCCACCACGGCGGGAGGAGCGGGGCTCGGTCAGGACCACGGCCAGGGCCCAGCGGGGACGCAGCTCAGCGGATTCCCCGAGGAGGCGGCGGGGGCTGGAGACACGCCTCGGAGGGAAGGGGCCCAGGAAAAGCTTCCTCTGGAGGCTGTTGCCGTGGAAACGGCAAGAACAAAAAGCTAATTTCTACGGGGCCGGGGCACCCACGTGGCTGACATGTAAATTGCAGCTTGGGCTCCAGGGCGGAGGCCCTGGGATGGGTCCCGGAGGCGGGATCCGAGGCTCCCAATCACGGAGGACACAGCTGCGCTGCCCGGGGCGGGGCTGGGGAGGGGAGGCCTGGGGGATGGTGGCCTCAACCAAACCCGAGCTCCGGGGCCGTCCTGGCAGCTGCCGGGCCAGGTGGGAGGGGCGGGTTCCTAATGCAGCACAAGGTCCAGCCTGCTCTGAACATCTGCTCTTCGGAGGGCCAGGGGTCCCGGGGATGGGGGTGGGGGCAGCCCTGAGCCCCGCGGGCCTGGGGGGAGGGGTCCATGCCTCCCCCTCCCTCCACAGCCTGACGGCCTCCTCTGGGGACAGAGGGTGCACCTGCGGCTGCTGGCCACACTGCCCTCTGCAGACAGAGCGTCTGCTCGTGACTTTTCATTCCTTTCGCATTGACTTCTAAATGTATGTTAGTTTTAACAATCAGTATCTGGTCATTTTAAACACATCAAACAAGAGAGCCGTGCGTTTGCCGGAGAGGAATCATTGCTTCCTTTTCCGTCTTCCGCCTCCCTGCCTGGAAGGTCTCCAGAGACCAACCTTGGAGCAAGTGCCCAGAGCCCCCTCCCTCCAGATCCCCCCACTTCCCGAGGTCCCTTCTGGAGAGTCTGCTTGCCCACCACCGGCAGCTGCTGACTGGGGTGGTCTCGGGGCCTCTTCCTGCCTCCAGTCCTGAGTGGAGCCTAGATCGGGCTGCTGGCTCTGGGAAGGGTGGGGTGGGAGGGAGGGAATTCCGGGCGATCGGGACTAGGGGGCTATGCTCCTGACTGGGACCATGCGGGTTGGGCTCCGGGTCAGGGTTTCACTGGGATCCCCTCCAGGGTGGGTGACAGAGTGTGGCCCTCCCCCAAGGACGAGAGAGCAGCTCTCCCCGGACGAGGAGGAGTTTGAATCTATGACATCAGGATGCACGGGGTACCCGGTCCCCCACCACGGGGGCGAGAAGCCCAGAGACCCTCCCTCCGCCCTCGGGAGGCAGGGCCGCCCTGGGCCTTTGTCTGGGCCTTTCTCCCGGCCGCAGGGCGTGGCCGCGGGGGGGTGGGGCTCCCAGCCAACCAGAGGGGTTTCCCTCTCCTTGTCCCGCCCCTTCCCTGCGCCTCCTTGGTCCGTTACAATTGGGTTGGGGGCGGGGCGGGGGGTGAAGAGGGAGGAGAGATTTGGGGTCTTGGAGGGGCTTAAACTTCGGGAATTGGCCAGTCCCCGCCGCCCCCCGCCCCCTGCTGCCCGCCCCCTCCAGCCCATCAGCGGCGCGCGGAGAATCAGCACCTCGGACAGCGCCCGGGCCCGGGTCTGACCACCCGGACACCAGGCAGAAACCTGGTGGACTAGGAGCCTGCCTGATCACTGGGTCTGCGGCCCCCTGCCAGTTTCCTGACCTGTAGTGGTGATCGTAATTATTTCTTATTTAATGTAAAAATTGTACTTTAGTATTTATCAAATGTTACACAATCTAAGTAGATCTATTTAATGTTTTAAATTATAATCTCTATTCGTTTTAATTACAAACACAGTTATTAACATATCCCTCTTAACAAATGGAAACAGTGCAGGTAAGGCTGTGTCACTTAACCACCTCCCCTCCAGGTCTCCCTCAGCGGGGGGTTCATTGTTCCAGCTCCTGATCTCCAGGCCTTTGTGGAAAATAAGGCATCCGTCCTGAGGTTTCCTTTGTTCCTCTGTTACTTCTGTGCCTTTTCCCTGAGGATATGTCTTTTCTTTTTTAATCCTCACCTGAGGATATTTTTCCATTGATTTTTAGAGAGAGTGGGAGAGAGAGACACATCGATTGGTTGCCTCCTGCATGTGCTCCGGCCAGGGCCCAGGTTGGGGAGGAGCCTGCAACTAGTCTGACTGCAGGACCCTTTTGTCTGCAGGCCGACACACTATCCACTGAGCCAGACCGGCGAGGCCTACTCTTTCAGTTTTTAAACAATTTAATCTTTATTATTATTGTTTTGCATGTGTAGTTAACACGTGCACTTGACAAAGAACTCCAAAAGAACCAAAGGGCATGCTGTGATCAGAGGTCTCTCCCCCAACCCAGGAACATGGGCCGTGGCACCGCTGTGTCTGTGTGTCTGTCCGAGGCTTCTATAGATAGATACTAGCAAGCTCATGCAAACTGAATTGTGGTTGATTTTTTAACTGGGCAGCCTTCTCACTGCACATGGCTCCTATGGAGGGGCCTGCTGTTTCTCGATGACCTCACCCCCATTCAGCTTCTGAAAGGAACCCTGAGGAGCAAAAGGGAGGGGCACTGGGCCAGTGGCCATAGCATATGACCTCCTGCCTGCAGGGGCCAACCAGAAGTGCCCCTGGGGGAGGGCAGAGCTCTGTCCAGTGGGGGACTTGTCCTTGTGCAGACACATGTGCTCATAATTCCACACAGCACTCAGGCTTCATCACACACTGTCACACGTTCCCACAGGTAACTCCACTCCACAGCAGCCCGTTTCAATCCTCACACCCATTAAACAGATGTGGACACTGAGGCCCAGAGCATCTTCAGGACCTGCCCACGGTCGCGTGGCTGGGAAAAGGCAGTCCAGCTCTGAGCCTTGGTCCTGGGCTGCTCCCCTGGTGGCTGCAGTTGGGGGAGAGGAGTGTGAGAAGCACTGTGGTGCCTGCCCAGGGGGAGCGTGAGCCCTGAGGATTAGGACTGTGCCAGCTGTGGACGGAGAGGCTGGGCACGTCACTCCCCACTGGGACCTGTGTTCCTGTGGCTAAGGCTGATGGCGTCCGGACCCTGCTGGGCCCTGTCGCTGGCCGTCTTTGGCTTCACTGAGGGCACAGGCATCGTGGACTCTGTCCCCTTTCTGTGCCTCTGTCTCTTCGTCTGAAAACAGAATAATAAAAGCCACCCAAAGTGGGTGCTTGTTGGTAACTCTGGTCAGCAAGTGCAGAGCTGGTTTGTGTCAGCCGAGTTTCGAACTCCTCGGTGAGCTCTGGCCCTGAGGACGTGACATTTATTACACTCTCCTGACGGACGGAGCTCAGGGCTCTCCAGAGTCTCCCCCAGGGGCTACTGCAGGCTTTGGGGCCCAGCCTGTCATGGCCCCTGCTGACCCCCATTCCCCCTGCAGTTCTGGGAGGTCATCAGCGATGAGCACGGAATAGACCCCAGTGGCAACTACGTGGGGGACTCGGACCTGCAGCTGGAGCGCATCAGCGTCTACTACAACGAAGCCTCCTGTGAGCACCCCACCCTCCCTGGGGGCTGGGGGACACCTGGGCTGGGCCCCCTGGACCTGCCCTCTCATTGCTGGGCTGGCAGGTTTGGTGTATACGGGGACTCACCACAGTGAGATCAAACATGTTCTCGGCCACAGGCACGTGCACAGTCCAGGGGTCAGACAGGATCCAGAAGGTCCCTTCTGAGTCCTCCTGAGGGTCCAGAGCAGGGGTCACCTGGAAGGCTTGGGCAGGGATGCTTAGTGTCTGGTGTGGGAAGATGCCCACGCTGAACGGGAGACATTGGTCTGGGCTGCCCAGAGTCAGTCCCCATATAACACGTGGTTCCAGCCCTCTGACCCAGAGTCCAGTGGGGGCAGGATTTAGAGGAGGGAGAGCCCTGAGCCTCCAGGATGCTCATCCCCCACTCCGCCCTCTCCCCTCAGCTCACAAATATGTGCCCCGGGCCATCCTGGTGGACCTGGAGCCCGGGACCATGGACAGCGTCCGCTCTGGGGCCTTCGGGCACCTCTTCAGGCCTGACAATTTCATATTTGGTAAGTTTCCCTCTCGGCAGACCCTCCACCGCAAACCTAGGCCAACGGAAACAAAAGGGCACAGCCCCCTCCCCCCTCCACAAACCTGCAGGCAGAGCCGACCCCTCTCTGCAGCTGGCACTGGAGACCGGAGAGCCACTGTACACTTCAGTTAGAGCTCGTGCAACTCAGAACTAAGGACCAGGCCCTGAGGGACTGGTGGCCCAGAGGCTGGAGGGAGCTCATGAGCATGTCAGTGGGGTCCAGAGGCAGGGTGATCCTGTGCCCCCGGGGCCTCCCTAACTTCTTCCTTCCGGAGCTTAGCACCCCCACCAACGGGCACCAGTCCAGTCCAGACCCAGAGCTGCAAGGGCCTCTGGGATTGTAGATGATGCTTCGGGCATGGCCCAAGAGGGTGGGTGGGCTGGAGGGAAGGGAGGATGGCTTCACCCAGGACCCCAAGCGAGACAGAGCAGCGGCTACACTCCAGGTTCTCAGTTTCTGACCAGAGCCCTTCACACAGTGCCATGCAGGAGGGCCCTGACACAGCACAGCTAATGTGGAGAGCCGTGGGCAGAGGAGGGGTGGACCCCCGCTTTTAGAGGGAAAGCGGGCACAGGGCTGCGACAGGGACCCTTTGGGGTGGGACGTTCAGGTTCTGGAGGCCTGACCCTGTCCGTGCCACCTTCTGACTCCCTGCAGGTCAGAGTGGGGCCGGCAACAACTGGGCCAAGGGGCACTACACGGAGGGCGCTGAGCTGGTGGACTCCGTTCTGGACGTCGTGAGGAAGGAGTGCGAGAACTGCGACTGCCTGCAGGGCTTCCAGCTGACCCACTCACTGGGCGGGGGCACCGGGTCCGGGATGGGCACCCTCCTCATCAGCAAGGTGCGGGAGGAGTACCCCGACCGCATCATGAACACCTTCAGCGTGGTGCCCTCGCCCAAGGTGTCGGACACGGTGGTGGAGCCCTACAACGCCACGCTGTCCATCCACCAGCTGGTGGAGAACACGGACGAGACCTACTGCATCGACAACGAGGCCCTGTACGACATCTGCTTCCGCACCCTCAAGCTGGCCACACCCACCTACGGGGACCTCAACCACCTGGTGTCGGCCACCATGAGCGGGGTCACCACCTCCCTTCGCTTCCCCGGCCAGCTCAACGCTGACCTGCGCAAGCTGGCCGTCAACATGGTGCCCTTCCCGCGCCTGCACTTCTTCATGCCCGGCTTCGCCCCGCTCACCGCCCGGGGCAGCCAGCAGTACCGCGCCCTGACGGTGCCCGAGCTCACCCAACAGATGTTCGACGCCAAGAACATGATGGCCGCCTGCGACCCGCGCCACGGCCGCTACCTGACCGTGGCTGCCATCTTCCGCGGCCGCATGTCCATGAAGGAGGTGGATGAGCAGATGCTGGCCATCCAGAGCAAGAACAGCAGCTACTTCGTGGAGTGGATCCCCAACAACGTGAAGGTGGCCGTGTGCGACATCCCGCCCCGAGGCCTCAAGATGTCCTCCACCTTCATCGGCAACAGCACGGCCATCCAGGAGCTGTTCAAGCGCATCTCCGAGCAGTTCACCGCCATGTTCCGGCGCAAGGCCTTCCTGCACTGGTACACGGGCGAGGGCATGGACGAGATGGAGTTCACCGAGGCCGAGAGCAACATGAACGACCTGGTGTCCGAGTACCAGCAGTACCAGGACGCCACGGCCGAGGAGGAGGGCGAGATGTACGAAGATGACGAGGAGGAGTCCGAGGCCCAGGGCCCCAAGTGAGGCAGCGGGGTCCAGGCCGCGAGGCCGTCCCGTAGCCGCCAGCTCCGCCACCGCCCCTGCCGCGCCCACAGCACACCGCCCCGGCCCCCGAGTGTCTGTCCTCCGTACTTGCAGCACTCAGCTCTGTCTTCCCTCCGTAGGTCACTCCCATTTCCGTGTCTCGTGTGTCAGCTCTGGGTCTGAAGTCTTACGTGTGGCTTTTTTTTTTTTTTAACTTGTTTGTGTTCATATTTGGGGGAGGGGGATACTTAATAAATTAATTGCTGTCAGATACCCCTCCCTGGTGCTGGAGATTTCTTTCTATTCCGGGGAGTGGGGCCCAGAGGGTTGAGGAGGGACGGAGGGGACCTGGGCAGGGCAGGAGTCCGCGGTCTCCGCGGCGGGTGGCTGAGACTGGCCTCTGCTTGGAGCCTGCAGGTGTGGGATGATGGCCAAGCCCACAAAGGGACGCCTGGAAGTGATGGAGGGGAGATGGGCCTGGTTTGGAAGAGCATCAGCTCAGCCCAGCTAGGCTCTCTGAGGGCTTGGAAACAACCCCTCGTCCTGCAGGTGACGCTCATTCCGGAGCTTTCCTCTGGCTCCCCTGTGCACTGTGAGAGGCAGGGAGGCCGCGCTCCAAGGAGAGGTAGGCAGGGAGGATGCCAGCACCCCTGGGAAAATGTGTGTGAGGGGTTGGGGCTTATGGGGGGCGTGGAGTGGGGGGCCAGGGGCTGCTGGTGGCCACAGCACCCAGGCGCAGGCTGGCAGGGAGTGATGGCGGCCCCTTTGCCCCCTAGTGGTCACTTCCTGTGGCTGCAGGGCATGGTGTCCAGCACGGGCGCCTGAAAGGTGGACCTTGGCTGCCCACTGTCCTCCACAGGGAGAGAAGCTGACGCCCACGAGGTGTGAGTGCCCTGGGCCCACGCTGGTTGTGTGCAGAGCTGCCCCGGGCCCAGTACCTCCTCCCTCAGCCCCCAAACCGCTCCCTCCCAGCAAGAGGGAGGCTGCTTTCTGTGGGAAGGAGGGAGCTGGTGGGACTGGAACTGAGGGCCCTGATCCAGACAAGGACACCGAAGCCAGGAAAGGGCCAAGCTGTGCCGCAGCCACAGAGAAGCTGTTCTCACCACTGATGCTTGGAGATGCCTGCAGGGTGCAGGCAGCTCAGAGACCCTCCCATCTGCTCAGCACCCACATGAGGTGGCAGGGCGGGTGGGGTGGAGGTGAAGTGGGGAGGGGTCTGAGCTCTGTGCCGGGTTCTCACTGTGGCATGGTGACATGGTGACGGGAACTGGACAGCAGCAGGGCTTCCCCCACAGCCGGGGGGAGGGGGCGGCTCTCAGGGCCTCCAGCCTCTGCACAGTTGGGCGTCCATGGCTCAGGTTCTCTGAGGGTTCTAACAGGAGGTGAGACACCTGCTTGATGCTGACCCAGGTCTTACCAGCTCCGAACAACCACAGGAGCTCATGCTGGGCCCAGGCCACTGCCTACGGCCCTCCTCTCACTGGGCCTTTGCACTACTGTCCACTTTTCACGGCAAAGGAATGAGCTCAGGGAGGACGTAGCCAGCAAGTGGCAGAGCCAGGGTCCGGCCCAAGGCTGTGCCCCCTTGACGTTGCTTTAAATGGCTCCACAGGTGAGCACCAGTGCCCACAGGACCTCATCTCTGCTCACATCACTCAGTCCCCTCTTTCAGCCACCTGCCCTGGAGGAGCTGGCTTTTCTCACACGGAAAGCGGTGAGAGCAGCAGGTGCCATAATAAGGTCGCAAGTGTCAGCTCCTCTGTGTATCTTTATCATTATTTTAAAAAATGTATTTTTATTGACTTCAGAGAGGAAGGGAAAGGGAGAGAGATAGAGACATCAATGATGAGAGAATCACTGATCTGCTGCCTCCTGCACGCCCTCCCCCTCCCATTGGGGATGGAGCCTACAACCGTGCATGTGCCCTGACCGGGAATGGAACCTTGACTTCCTGGCTCATAGGTCGAAGCTCAACCACTGAGCCACGCCAGCCGGGCTGTGTCTGTTATCAATGAGGGGAGTTTTTTGCAGGGACACACGGGCAGGAGGGCAGGAGGAGCCAGCTCAGGGGCTGCTTTGTCTCAGAACCTCCTTGAAGCCCGACACCACCCAGAGTGGGTGACCCTATGGCGGGTGTATTGGGTCAGCCATCCACTGGCTGTCTTGCCCAGATCACCTGCCCATTGCAGTCTGGATGAAGGGCCAAGGCATTCATGCCTAGGCACCCTCTAGCCCCAACCCCCCCGTCCCTCTGCCTGGCCAAGTGCAGGGCTGTTTGGGAGCTAGGAGATGGCCTCATGCCGGATGGGCTGCCAGAGCAAGCACAGGATGCCCGGGGAAGCTGGATTTCAGATAAACAACACTCCACTTGGGCATGTTAATACTACGCAACGGTTTCCGAGTTGCTAACGCCAGTCATTCTAGACGGGGGGCTCCTGGCAGCACCCATGGTGGTGAGCTCTTCACTCATCACACCTGGCAGGCAGATGCTTACAGATGAAGAAACGGAGGCTTGCAGATGGCTGAGACAGCCCTAAGGCACTGCTGCCAGCAGCAGGCCACGGCGTGTGGCCAGGTCCCCTTCCTCCTCTAGGAAAGAACAAGTCCCTGACCGGGGCTCGAACCCGCCACCCTTTGGTGTATGGGTCGGCTGAGAGATGAAACAGAGGCCGAACACCAGGACACAGGCTTTCTTAGAGGAGAAGGACCTGCCGGGCTGCCTTCCACAGGAAGAGAACACGGTGCAGAGGGGAACACGCCTTTTGAGGGGAGGAACAGGAAGGGACGGGGCTTAGGGCACTCGGCCGAGCTGATTGTTAGCTTTATATAAGGCACGTGATTAGGCACTTAGGGACTTGGGAATTGGGCCTTAGGGTATTTGGCAGGTGCTAATGGGTGGTTCAGTGTACAATCCATATAAGGTGCTTAGTTAGGTGCTCAGGAATGTCTGGCTGCAGGTGCAGATTATGTCATTCTCCGTCCATCAGCTGGGGGAAGGGAGAATCTATCAATGACGTTCTAACACTCACACACGTGCAGTTTACTGTATGCACACAATACCTCACTCCGCTGCTAAGAAAAAGGAGACTTCCGATGCCTGCTTTCTCAGCACAAATCAGAGCCATGTGTTTACAGATGGTCTGCACCTCACCCAGCCCAGTCCTCTCACTTCCCCTTCCACCGAACCAACCCCGCCACCTCGCTGACCTGCTTTCCGCTTCACAGGCTCAGCGGGCTCTCGCTTCCTGGGCCTGTGCACTCGCACGTTCCCCTCTGGATCTCCAGCTCCACAGCTGGTGCTTACACATGTCTGGTCTGCGCAGTGGGACATTCCCCTCTGGGGCCTCTCTTCTTCCTCCGTCCACGGAGCTAAGTGCCCGCTGTGCTCCCTGTGGAGGCCCAGCAGCAGCGAGGAAAGCAGACAAACCGTTGCCCAGCCCTTCGTTTCCGTGGTGATGGTGGTGCTGGGGGGGTGTCAGAGACAGACCATTATAGTGAAAATGTGTAAGACAGCGATGAGGATTGCGGAGAGAAGCAAAGCAGGGACAGGGAGCCCTGGCTTCAGCACCATCCCCTGGCCATCCCCCACTGAGCCCCGGTTTCCTCCTCTGTAAACCGGTAGATGGATGCTCTGAACACCACCTGGGGTCGCAGGTGGACCAGCGCGCAGGGCCCTGGATAAATAAATGCGTGGGGTGACTTCATCTCTGCCTCAGTTTCCCTCCTGACAAGCTGGAGAAGCCCATCTCCCTATTCCTTCTATTCCGCTCAACCCCTGGGGTTTAAGAAAAAGAAAAGCCACCTATTTTTTCAAAAAGTGCTGTGGGTCAGACTTATGCAGCCCTCCCCACGCTTGCCTGGCCATTCCATCCTCAGCAGCGAGATAAGCATCCCCCAGGCCCCAGAGGGATGGGCGAGGCCGGCGCTGCCATTGGCCTCCGGGCCGCAGGCGGCAGCAGCGGGCGGCAGGCGGATACAATGTAGCGCGCAGGGCGGGCGGCGGATACAATGTAGCCGGGGCGGCGGCGGTCAGGTGAGCGCGAAGCGGGCGGAGGGGGAGCCCGGGGTCGGCGAGGGCGGGGGTGCCGGGTGGAGGGAACCGGGGCTCGCGGCCCTGGGTGCCCCCTCGGCCTGCCGCTCGGAGCTGGGACGTCCCCTTTCCCGACGCGGTCACTGGGGACGCGGGGGAGGGACCTGCCCAGGGCGCCCGGGAGGGTCAGACCCGCGGCGGGGGGACGCCTGCCTTCCGTCCTCACTGGGCGCAGGGGGTCTGGTGGCCTGGGCGTACCTCACCCCGGGCGGGGGATCCCCCCCACCCCCCGCCAATCACCCCCGTGACACCGTCCCTGCCTGTCACTGCTTCCGGCTGTCAAAACGCTGTCAGTGCGATTCTAAGGTCCTGGACGGCATGGTGGTGCCGCCCTCCGGAGGCTGGGCCCCTCAGGCCTCAGTTTCCCCACCTGTCAAACGGGTGTGACGGAGGGGATGAACCAGCCCTGCCCCTGTGAGAGCTGCCAGTGAGGGTCTCCAGTGTGTGCTGCTGTTTGGAGTGAAAGCAGAGGAGGGACCCTGTGGGGGCGGCCGGTCCCTGAGGCCGGAGGCGGCCACCCTTCCAGGCTTCAGGGACAAACCACCCTTAAGGGGCAGTGACCCGCTGCTGCCCCTGCGGGATCCTGGCCGCCTCCTTCACGGTGTGAGCGGACAGGATGGAGGAGACCTCCCCTCTCCAGGAGGAAGGCTGGGCCCCCGGGGTGGATGGGCGATAAGGGCCTCGGGTTCCAGGCACAGGCAGGACACGCTCGGCCACGGTGAGGGCTGGAGTCTCAGCCTGGGGTCCCTCGGCGCCCGGGAGCTGGGGTTTATTCCTGTCTCCTCTGCCCCACCAGAGCGGCACTCTCCGAAGGAGGCAGTGTCGGGGTAGCCGGTGTCTCTATTCTTCCCGGTCTCTGCCTTCCGGACTGTTCCTCTGTGCGGGCTGAGCTCTCTGTGGGGTGACCCTGGTGGGCATGGGGTACTGGTGTCCCTGTGAGGACATCGTCTGTCCACCCTGGCAGCCCAGAGGGAAACGGATTCTCCGACTTGTCAGGAGAGAGATGGAGGCCGAGAGAGGCGAAGTCACCCCATCATCTATTTATCCGGGGCCTCTGTGCCAGGCCGGGGACTGCACCGCCCACAGGAGGTGCATGAGAGAGCTTTTTGCAGGGGGCTGGCAGCCAATGAGAGCTGCTGGGCAGAGCTGACTTGTTCCTGCCTTTGAGTTCTCTAGCCGCACCTATTTTTAATATGTTGTTGTTGTTTTTAGGGAGAGAGGAAGGGAGTGGTAGAGAGAGAGAGATCTGTTGCCTCCCAGCACGCTCCCTGACCCATGGCCTGGGCTGCTCTGGACGTGTTTTAAATGCTGGGGGTTTCCAGGCGGAGACCTCTGTTCGAGTTGTCAGCAGTGATGGCAGTGTCCAACTGTTCAGCAGCCACTCTGGACAGTCCTTCTCCGCCGTATACAAGTGCTCAGTCCTTCCACCCACCCAGGAAGTAGGCATGCTCCCTTATTTACTTACGACAAGAAAATGGGATCACATCGCTCATCGCTGGGAGAGGCAGGGTGTGAATCAGGTCTGTCTGCTTCTTGATAATAGTGCCAGTGGTTAGTGTTACCCAGTATCTAGGAACGCTCCCTGTGTGCTGACCAGGTGCTCAGAACCCGATTTAACTGATTTAATCGCAACAACAACACTGTCCAGTGGGCACCATTATTATCCCCATTTAAAACACGAGGACTTGAAAGCACAGGTGTAGGTGTTTGCTCAAGGTCACGCAGTGAGGCGCGCGCAGAGCTGGGGTTTGAATGAGGCCGATTTGTGTGACTTGAGAGGATGCTGCAGTGATGGGTTAGGATCTGTTCTGGCCACAAAAGACAGGAATCCCCTCCCAATCGCAGTGTTTTAAACAAATTTATTTCTCACTTTAATGAAGTCCCAGAGTGAGTAACACAGGGCTTCTGTGTCACAACCCAAGATGGCTGCTCAAGCTCCACCCCTCCCAGACAGACAGACAGACAGCAAGAGGCCGGAAGAGATGAAGAGGGGCACCCTCCTTTAAAGAACAATTCCCAGAAGGCTCAGGAGAGCTTTCTGTTTACATTCTGTTGGCCAGAACATAGTCACATGACAACATCTAGCTGCTGGGAAATCATGTAATAGGATGAAAACCAGGGTTCCCGCCCTATCCAGTTTGGCTCAGTGGATAGAGTGTCAGCCTGCGGACTGAAGGGTCCCAGGTTCGATTCCAGTCAAGGCCACATGCCTGGGTTGCAGGCTCGATCCCCAGTGTGGGGCCTGCAGGAGGCAGCTGATCAATGATTCTCTTTCATCACTGATGTTCCTTTCTCTCCTTTCCTCTCTGAAATCAATAGAGTTCCTCACTATCAACATAAAACCAGACTGTACTGTGGCTAAAACAGTAGGAACACATTTTATTTAGGAGGATTGCAATAGAGGATAGAATCCTCTGTGTGGAACCGAACTCTGAATAGAGCATTGGACACCGGACTTATAGCCAGGGGCAGGATGGGGTCAGCAGATGTAAAACTGCTAAGCGGTAACGCCGAGTGGACAGGGGGACAGGGGATTCTGGTTAAACGGACCTAACGTCTCTGAAAGCTGAGGCGGGGGCAGGAGCGGCGGCGGGGAGAGGAACGAGGACCCCAATCAGTTGTGCGGGTGAGGGACGCTTGGGCCTGGGAGACGTTCCAGAGCCTGAACAGAATCTGGTCAGCAGAGACTCTGGTCACCCAGGAAGAAGGGAGGGGGTCACAGGCAGCGGGTCTAACACCCTGTGAGCTGCTTAAAGCCTCAGGCAATAGGAGAAGGGGCCTGAGCCCATGCACCTGGGTCGCCCCTGTGCTGACTTGGGGGCAGACAGCCAATGGTGCCAGGCTCTGCCAGACTGGAGCTGCCAGCCCACATCCCACCACAGAGATCAGACAGGAAAACAGGTCCCAGAGGTGGTGGAGGTTCCTGACGGTGCAGTGGTCAGGATGGGGGTACCCTGGGTATGGCTGTCCACTCTGTGCTCAGTTCTCTTTCTTGGGGGAGGGCAGGAAAGAATCACGGGATTGTTTTTAAAATATATATTGATTTTTAAAGAGGAAAGGAGAGGAAGAAACATCAGTGATGAGAAGGAATCATTCCTCAGCTGCCTCTTGCACACCCCCTACTGGGGATTGAGCCTGCAACTTGGGCATGTGCCCTGACTGGAATTGAACACAGGATCCTACAGTCTTCAGGCCGATGCTCTATCCACTGAGCCAGACAGGCTAGGTCTTTTATAATTAGGAATTACCTCTGACTGTAAGCGGGTCCCCACACCCAGGCACTTAGTACAAATCTTTTTCTTAATGCTCTCTGCAGATTCATTCCTCCCTGGAGGCCTAGGAATGTGGCCCAGCTCGTTAGGTGTGGGGACCTGGATGTCAACTGCCCCCAGCCAAAGCCCCTGCCTCTGTGGAGCCGAGCAGCCTGTGTCGTTTTGCTGAGCTCTCAGGGGGTGGGGGCAGGGGGGGCGGGGAAGCAGTGCAGGCAGTGACGTAGGCACTTCCTGCCTCTTTCCTGGGATCCCAAGGTCTGAGGCCCTGACACAGGCCACGTGGAGTGTCAGCGGGACCCAGGCCACGGAAGGGCCCTGCCCCAGGCCTCGTGCAGGTGGCACAGGCGGGCTGGGCCCGGCTTGGCTCCAGAGTTCCCGGTTCCGTGCTCTGGCGGCCGTCGGAGTTGTGGTCGGGCTGTGGTTGGGGTGGTCTGAAGGAGAAGTAGCTGTGTGTGGACCAGGAGTGAGGAACTGAGTCCCGGTGGGTGGGTGTCATGGGGGCAGTGAGCCCTCTCGGCGGACTGTGAGGGCGGGGCTGGGCTGGAACTAAATGGGGCACCTGGGGCCACAGGACTCTGTGCCGGGAGGCTGTCCTGCAGGGGCCCCTGGGACAGGCCACGGCCTCCTGTCCTGCCTGTGAGCACTGGGAGTGTGTTGGCCGCCATCATCCTGCTGAGGAGACCACAGGAGGCCTGGCTGAGGGCTGAGCTGGTTTGGGATCCCTGAGGGTGGAGGCTGTGGTGTGGGGGCCTCCACCGGACCCCCATGGAGATGAATGAGGCCAGGCATCCCTCTGAACCCCGAAATGCAGAGAGGGGCCGGGACGGGTGACCAGGAAGCTATCTGCTCACCTCTGCCCCCGCCCCGCCCTGCAGGGGGGATGCTATGGAATATGATGAGAAGTTGGCCCGGTTCCGGCAGGCCCATCTCAACCCCTTCAACAAGCAGCGTGGGGCGAGGCAGCATGAGCAGCGGGCTGGGGAGGAGGCCCCCGACGTCGCTTCCGAAGGTGGGTGAGGGGGGCGGGGTGGGGACTGGGTGGGCAGTGTGACCCTCAGGCCAGCACCCGCCCGCCCTCAATGGGAGGTGCTGGCTTTTCCCCGGAGCTGCCTTCTCTCCACGCGTTCCTTTGCAAATGGGGTCGGGCCAGGCCCCCCTGACACCTCCCATGGGCTCCCTGAACCTCAGGGGCCCCTCTGACCCCCAGCGACCCAGCTTCCCGCTAGGAAAAGGCAGGCTGACTTCTCTCCGTTGCCTTCCACACCTGCTCTTGCTCACTGCAGAGACCCTGCCTGAGCTGGCCCCTGGGGAGCCGGAGTTCCACTGTGCCGAGCGCATGATGGATCTCGGCCTGTCTGAGGACCACTTCTCCCGCCCCGTGGTAAGGCTCAGGGTGTGTGTGTGTGTGTGTGTGTGTGTGTGTGTGTGTGTGTGTGGTTGGGGTGTACCACAGTCCACAGGCAGAGGGGTCATGTGCATCTCAGCCAGGGTTCTTGACATCTGAGGCCCAGGTGACACCTGACACCCATCAGCAAAACCCGTTGGAGGGCTGGACCTGGGAAATGGGTTTGGGGCTGCTCTTCTCATGTAGGGCTGTTCCTCTCCCTGCACTCTGGCTTCTTGTGATGCATCTGGGGTTCCACAGACATCTGCTGGAGGGGGGTGGCGAGGGCAGGAGAGAGGGGAACTCCCTGCCCACAACCCCCACCAGCCTCGCAGCCAGGATGGGGTCTCATCAGTTGTAGGTTTGTGGCGTGGTTTGACGGTTTGCTTGGTCACTGTGAGGTGCTGGGGGTTGGGGGGAGGCGGGTGGAGCTGGGCCGTCTCTGGGCCTGGCGATTAAGCCAGAGCCACTTCCTCTCCTTGGGGACAGGCGAGTGTCATTTCCCCAGCTTTAGTGAAACAGCACGACCAGAGAAGCGAGCGAGTTTCTAAAAGAAGGAAGTTGTGTTTTGTAAAACATCCTAAATGAGGTCTTCAGAGGCCTGTGGGTAGATGGGTCCAGCTGGGGGCAGGCGGGGTGGGCGGTTCCCACTGGGCCCTGAGCAAGGTCTGCTCTGGCCGACCTGTCCACGAGGTTGGGTCTGGCGTGGACGAAGGCCGTGGGCGGCCATCGCTGGTGTGTCCCCAGGGCCTGTTCCTGGCCTCGGACATCCAGCAGCTGCAGCAGGCCATCGAGGAGTGCAAGCAGGCGATCCTGGAGCTGCCCGAGCAGTCAGAGCGGCAGAAAGACGCCGTCGTGCGGCTCATCCACCTCCGGCTGAAGCTGCAGGAACTAAAGGCAGGTGCCGGGCCGGCCGCCCGGAAGGCGGGTGGAACGGAGTGGAAGGCGGGAGGCCTGGGCTGGCAGAGGCTAGCAGAGGGCAGGTAGAGAGATAGGCTCTCGGTCCCTGGACAGACTCCTCCTCCATCCGTCTGATCCTAAGGGGCCAGTCCTAGGTCGCGTGCCCACCCACTGTAGCAAGTGAAGTAAGTCCCACCTTGAACCATGTGACTCGGATTGGGAGGCGGGGCTTCCTGAGGGTGACAAGGTTGGGGTGATGGGTCCCGGCAGCCAAAAACCATGTCTATAATGTCTTCCCAGAGTCCGTGCATCTGGCCTGGCTGCACTGGCCTGGGAGTCCCTGGGAACTGGGAGTGCTGTATTCATTAGGATGTAGATACAGCTGTGGTCACAAAGACTGCAAACCACAGCTGCTTAAAGGACGGGGACGTGTCATTTTACTCAGAGGTGCCATCGGTGTCCAGGAGCCGTGGCAGGGAACGGTCCTCCTGACAGCCCCTGGTGGCCACTCCCGTCTGTGCGAGGCCAGCGGAAAAGAAGAGAGGAAGGGCAGAGAAGGCCATGACCTCCTGCTCACATCCCTTGGCCCTCGGTACAGCACCCGGGCGCAAGGGGTGCTGAAAAGGTGGTGCAGGCCTGGCTGATCTCAGGGGCGCTCCGTTGCTAAAGAGAAAAGGGGTGACATTGGGAGAGACTCAGTCGGTTACAAGAGATGCCTGGGAGGAGTAAGTCAGGGGGCTTCCCTGTGACCCCTAGTTCACTGGTGACCCCGCCCGTGGCTCTCTCCAGGACCCCAACGAAGATGAGCCCAACATCAGAGTGCTCCTGGAGCATCGCTTCTACAAGGAGAAGAGCAAGAGCGTCAAGCAGACGTGCGACAGGTGTAACACCATCATCTGGGGCCTCATCCAGACCTGGTACACCTGCACAGGTGGGCAGGCCCGGCGGCTCTCCGGTGGGCAGTCCGGTCCCCAGGGCGGGCAGAGACCGTGCAGGTCTGCTGTGTTCAGGTGACTCAATTCTCGGCCGTGTCCTCGGTGTTCGCTGAGCCCTGGGCACGAATGAGGGAAACCCACCTTCGCCGGGCTCCATCCACCCTGCGTTTTTGGTATGATGGCTACTGGCTGTTCAAACTTAAATTCAAATGAGTTAAAATACATATTTAGTTTCTCAGTTGTACCACCCACATTACAAGAGCTCAGGGGCTGCAGGAGGGAAGTGCAGAGAGGATGCTTCCATCATGGCAGGGCATGCCATTGGAAGGCAAATAATAAGCGAGGGATATGGTGTGTTAGACCAGAGAGCATGGCGAGAAGAACAGGAAAAGGGAAAAGCAGGTGTCGGGGAGAGGGGTGGGTGTGGCTTTAGGGTGGGATGGAAAGGCATCATGTAACATTGAAGCAGAAACCGGAGGTCAGGGACCAGCCAGGCATGTATGTGGGGGAGGAGGTTCCTGGCTGGAGGAGCCCGTGCAAAGGCCCTGTGGTCGGTGTGTGCGGTGTCCTCAGTGAAGAGCCGCGTGGCTGGGGCGTTGTGTCTGAGAGGCGGTGTGTGCGGTGTGTGCGGTGTCCTCGGTGAAGAGCAGTGTGGCTGGGGTGTTGTGTCGGAGAGGCGGTGTGGTCGGTGTGGGCTCAGAGTGAGCTGGGCCTGTGGGTGAGCTGTGGCCTCAGCAGGGCCTGCAGACACTGAAGTTGTCACAGGGTCACTGGCTTCTGACTGAGCGTGGACTGAAGGAGGGATGCAAGGTGGAGGGGGGGAGGTGGCACTCTGACCAGGGTGAGAGGTGGTCGCTAAGGAACTAGCTGAAGGACTAGGAACGTGAGCGTGAGAGAACAGCAGGAGTTAGTTTTCCGTCTCAGCAGGTGGGATGACGGATGGGGTTTCTGAGGCTGAGATGGGAGCACGGGGGCGGGTTCCGTAAGAAAGAGCCTTCGTTCCATGCAGACAGGGTGGGTTTAGAGCCCTTTCGGGGTCCGGGTGGGAAAGGCAGGTTCAAATCGAGTTCAGGGGCGAAGGGCACACTCCTTCAGGCCCAGGCCCCGCAGTGAGAAGCTCTTGGATTGGCCTGGAACCTGAGTGGCCCCTCTGGGGCTCCTGGCAGCTGGAGGTCAGCCTGGGCCTCAGGACCCCACCCTCTAAGAGGCATATCACTGGTCCCCCGCCCCAGGGTGTTACTACCGCTGCCACAGCAAGTGCTTGAACCTTGTCTCCAAGCCCTGCGTGCGCTCCAAAGTCAGCCACCAAGCCGAGTACGAGCTCAGCATCTGCCCGGAGGCCGGGCTGGACAGCCAGGACTACCGCTGTGCCGAGTGCCGGGCGCCCATCTCTCTGCGTGAGTGCCCGGGAGGGGCAGGGCGAGGCCAACATCTGGTGGGAGCACTGGACACATCGGCGGCCAGGCCAGCATGGCTCCTGCAGGTGCCATCTGTCTTCCGGGGAAGCCACGGGGGCCTCTGTGGCACTTTCCCACGTGGCACAGGCAGACGGGGGTTCCAGCCCCAGCCCCCTAGGAGTTCCCGGGGCTGCTGACCTGCACTCGCCCTCCTGGGGGCAGCCCTACTGTCACACAAAGCCCGCAGTCAGCACGCACTGCCAGGCCTCAGAGATGTAGTGATGCTGATTCATCAGGCCCACTCAGCAGCCCTCGCGGGCAGGCCTATTATTGTCCCATTTTACTGATGAGAATAGTGAGGGCAGCACGACGCTCTGAGTGCCTGATGGCCCATGGTCCTTCCTGTGTGTGGGGGGGTTTAGCTGGACCATGGGACCAGCACCATGCGCACGCGTGTGGCCGGGACCCTAAAGTAGTGGGACTTTATAACAGGGGGTGTGCCCAGCGAGGCCCGGCAGTGTGACTACACCGGCCAGTACTACTGCAGCCACTGCCACTGGAACGACCTGGCGGTCATCCCGGCGCGCGTGGTGCACAACTGGGACTTCGAGCCCCGCAAGGTGAGGTGGGGGCTGGGGTGCGGCCCTGGGTGTGTGAGGCCTGGCCTGGGGTGCGGGGAGCGGGGGAAGGTGGGCTGGGGCGTGGTGGTCGGATAGGGGCATGGCCAGGTGCTGACCGGTGGTGGGGGGTGGCTGGGCCTGGGGCCGGTGTGTGCTGGAGGGGCCACTCCCTGCTGTCCCCCAGGTGTCCCGTTGCAGCCTGCGTTATCTGGCGCTGATGGTGTCTCGGCCGGTGCTCAGGCTCCGGGAGATCAACCCTCTGCTGTTCAATTACGTGGAGGAGCTGGTGGAGATCCGGGTGAGGCGGGGGTGAGGGCGGTGGGCCCGGCTTGTGAGAGCAGAGGAGACCCGCCTGCTCAGGTTACTGGCCGTCAGCTGTCCTCTAGGCCCAGAGGAAATGTGAGAATTTCTAGAGCCACATTACAAAAGTAACAAGAAGCTGGTAAAGTTACTTTGAATAACGTATTTATTTCACCCACTATACCCAGAAGATTGTATATTGGGTGAAATAAATACGTTATCACTGTACCTTATTAAGACACTAGAGGCCTGGTGTGGAATTGGTGCACAGATGGGGTCTCTAGGCCTGGCTGGCGGTCAGGGCCTATCAGGGCAATCTCGCTCAGCCCCATTGGGACCTGCCAGCCAGGGGGGAGGGAACAGGGGAGGTTGGCTGTGGGAGCGCACTGTCCACCAGGGGGCAGCTCCTGTGTTGGGCATCTGCCCTCTGGTGGTCAGTGTGCGCCATAGCAACTGGTCAACTATGGTCTGTTAGGCTGTTATATATATAGATTACGTTTTTCAAATTTTTTGTCCTCCATCTTTTAATTCCCTGTGCCTTTTACACATGTGGCAATCTGGTCAGCCCAGCCAGCTCCAGTGCTCAGGAGGGAAGTGGCTGTTGGGACAGCAGTGCCAGGCCAGGAGGTGGTCAGAAAGGATCAGACTCCATTTACAGGGCAGGTGTCTGAGGCAGAGCCAAGGCCACTGGGGCTGCAGAGGGCTCTGCATCCCTCTTGGATGGAGCGTCGGCGTCCTGCTGGCCTGGAAGCTGTGCTTGGCCCTTCAGCTTGGCTGGAGCACTCACAACAAATCCCCTCCTGGGGGTGTCCGATGACACAACTTCCTCCAGGCCCAGCCCCCATGGCCACACAGAAGTGCCTGGGGCAGCCCTGGCCCGGCCTAGGGGCCCAGCTGCCTCTCTTGTCCACAGAAGCTGCGCCAGGACATCCTGCTCATGAAGCCATACTTCATCACCTGCAAGGAAGCCATGGAAGCGCGTCTGCTCCTGCAGGTCAGACGCCGTCCGGGGAGGCGCGAGGCGGGTGGGAGACAGGCGGACGGAGGAGGGCCCGTCAGGCGCAGGTCTTTTTCCGGTGGCTGACAGTTAGTGTTGGCACAGCAGCTTTTAGCCGAGGGCCTCCCACACTGTCCCAGGCAACACCTGGTCTGTCATAAGCAAACAGGCAATTCTGCCCCCAAAGTGTTCTCTGACCACATCGGTGTGTTGGGCGCTGTGAGAAGCAGGCCTCGTCCCTGCAGCCTCTACGTGGCCCCATGACGTGGACCAGGCGCGGGCCTGCCCGGGCAGAGTGGACCGGGAAGCACATCCTCAAGGCTTACCTGTTTGCTCAGCCCGTACTCACTGAGTGCCTGCTGTGGGCAAACACTTCTAGATCCTGGGGAGCAGTGAACAAAACGAGATCCTCACCTCATCTCAGAGGGGCCCTTCGGGGGGGAAGACAAATGAGCTGTTCACGAGGGTGCTGAGGTCTGTGGACAGGAGGAGGCAGGGAAGGCGGTGGGAATGTTGGGGTCAGGACGGGAGGAAGAGCTGTGTGCCAGGCAGAGGGGGGAGGGGTGCGTGGGCAGCAGCAAGGGGGCCCCTGTGGCTGGAGGGGTTGATGCCTGTTTCTCCCTCGAGCTCCCAGGACCCAGGCGTGGATAGGCAGGGGGAGGGGAGAGCTTCGGGCTTGGAGTCACGGCTGCTGGGCCCGTAGCTCCAGGACCGGCAGCATTTTGTGGAGAACGACGAGATGTACTCGGTCCAGGACCTCCTGGACGCGCACACGGGCCGCCTGGGCTGCTCGCTCACTGAGACCCACACCCTCTTCGCCAAGCACATCAAGCTGGACTGTGAGGTGGGTGCCCCCTGGGGACCAGGCACCTCTCCTTGCCCAACCCCCACGGCAGGGAGGGTGGTGTGTCCTGGCTTCAGGTGCCTCTGAGCAGCACTGACTTGCTCCCACCGCACCCCACCCCACCCCCAGCGGTGCCAGGCCAAGGGTTTCGTTTGTGAGCTCTGCAGAGAGGGTGACGTGCTGTTCCCCTTCGACAGCCACACATCCGTGTGCAGCGACTGCTCCGCCGTCTTCCACAGGTTGGTGTGTCTCCCCCCTCCCCCAGCCACAGGGCCAGGGCCAGGGGGAAGCTGTTTGGGGCTTGGTCTTTGCTGCCTGGTTTTCAAAGCCCTTTGCCTTGATCCTAGATAGGGAGTTAGGCCCTGATGTGTGTGCCTGAATCGCAAGACCCTCTGGGACAAGCACCTGTGGGGCTGGGGAGGGCCCTGGGTGAACGCCACGGCTGCCCTGCTCCCCTATCCCAGGGCTGAGGTTGCCATGGTTCCCTAATTCTAGTTCCCGGCACTTCTAATGTCCAAGTGGTATTTCCTCAAAATTCCCCAGGCTAAAAGAAATACCTAACATTTTGTTCATTAAGTATCTAAGTTAAACAACATAAGCATTTATGAATTAAAGACTTACTGAATGTTTGGGACAAGAATATTCATACATGGGAAGGAAGTATTTAACTGTTAAAGAAGCACAATTACTAAAAATATGCGTCTGCCTGCTGGGCCCTGCACAGCTTCTCACAGTGGCCTCAGATGGGACAGTACCCCTCACCCCCCTCTGCCCACACTGGTTGTTTCCGGCCACTTGCTGTTGGTCATGGCAGCAGCTGACGTCACACCTTTGTAGAACTGGGATTGCTGTCACAGGAAGGGTTCATGTTGAAGCTGTGAAGTCCCTTGAGCTAGCGTCTGCATGGTGTGTGCCATGTCAAATGCTGCTGTGCCCCCTTCAGAAATTAGCCCACACGCCTCTGTGCCTCCCCCACAGTGCCTGGGCAGAGTGCACGGTGGCGATGGAGCAGGTAGGGTCCTGAGACTAAGATCCGAGCCAGACTGTCCTTTTCAGACATTCACAGGTGCCAGTCGCAGGCCCAGCAGGCACATGTGGTACAGACCCTGCCATGCCCTTTGGGAGACACTGCCTCAGTTTCCCCAACTCTGGAGGGAGCCCGAGTTGGGAGCCTGAGGACTCACTGCTAACATTTTACATGCAGAGGCCCGCCCTGTGCCCGGGGTCTGACCCTGTCTGCCTGTCACTGTCCCCAGGGACTGCTACTATGACAACTCCACCACGTGCCCCAAGTGTGCCCGGCTCATGTTGCGGAAGCAGTCTCTCTTCCAGGAGCCTGGTCCGGATGTGGATGCCTAGAGCCACGGGCACCCTTCCCAAGCCTCTCTGGAGCCCACCCTACCGGTTGCTGCCAAAGTCAAGGTGTTTCTTGTGCTCTGAACACCCCTAGGGCACAGCCCCTGGACCTCACCCGCTGGGCCAGAGGGTGCAAGCACTCAAAGACCATCAGCCCCCAGTCTTGCTGGGACTCAGGGCTGTGCCTGGCTGTTTCCTGGGTGCTGCTGTGAGGGCCAGAATGTGCCCCTATCACTGCAGGACTCCATGGGCAGTGGAGTGGAGGAGGGTTTTCATCTTCCCCATGGTGGAGAGCCCGCCATGTCCTTGGAGCCAGGCTGCTGGGTCTTGGCTACCCTAAAAACCCTGGAGGGCTTCCAGGAGTGGCTGACATGACCTGAGGACGCCAGCTGCACACCCTCAGCCCTGGCCTGAGACTTACCTGTGGTGGATGATTGGGATCTACCTGGAGGCTCACATCCTCCACCCCTTGTCCCCTTGGGGTCTCCTGGTCCTGGCTGAGGCTCTTTACAGGTGTCTCCAGGGGCCTGGCCCTGCCTCCACGGTTCTCTCCTAGATTAGAGGTCTGGAGAGAGCAGGGATCGACAGGGCCAGTCCAGGGGTCACCGGTTCTTTCTACGCAACATGGCGGGAAGGGGCCTGGAGCTCTTTCCCCTGATGCACCAGCATGGCTCCTGGCTGGGCCTAGCCCGGCTCACTCTGGTGCTCTGAGCTGGGCGGCTGGGGATCCTGCCTTGGCAGAGGTTCCAGAGGTTTCTAGAAAGTTTGAGTGGCATTTTTGGGGACCAGATTGGCTCCTGAGATTGTCTGTTCCACTGCGTTGCCTGTAGAGGAATCCGGACAGCTCAAAGACACCAGCCAGGGCCTTTTGGGGGGACCCTGAGGTCCAGTGCTGGGAATATTTGCTCCAGTGAGTTCAGGCAGGAAGTCTGGAGTCCATGAAGATGAGCACGAGGTGTGTGACGCCCCAACTGGCAAAGGACCCTGGATGGAGCATGAGGCCCACAGCGCTTCCTCGGAGGAGCTGCAGCCAACCTCACATCTGCAGGGAGGTTTCATGCATCAGAGACCCCGCCTTTGAAGGGAGGCCTGGGGGAAGAGTCCTTCCTGCCTTGCCCTGTGATTGCCTGTCACGTACAGGTAGTGGTGGTGGGCAGGGAACACCTTCACCTTTGACTAGGAAGCCCAAGAGGAGAGCGGGTCAGCTGAGCTTGTTGGCCACCGGCCGATGCAAGGGTTGCTCAAGACAGTGTCATGTGGCGGCTTTAGGTCTGCTCTGACCTGCCTCAGTGTGACAGCCAGAAGCAAGGCTGGTCAACAGCAGGTCCTAGGCCTGCCTCTCTGGTAGGTAGGGTTGCAGAGGGTTTAACCAGTTAACTACCACATGTCCAAAATGGCAACCATCCCCACACGCCACGATATTTTGAGTTTAATTAAAAAATCAGTTTGCAATGAATATTGTAAAAATAAATATATTACAATTTGTGTGTTCTTAAATATTGTCAGCTGAAAATTCTCACAAAAATGATTTTAAGGTTGGTCAGAGCTGCCACTTAGGGAAAGCATTTTTTTTTATAGATACGCATGGCGTGTGGGGAAGGTACGCCGCTTGGGTCTATAGATGCTTACAGCGTACAACGGGTTAAGGGCAGGTGCCTCCGATCTGCACCTTTCTCACAGCTGCACGTTTCTGTCATGGGGACAAAAGCCATTCCTGAGTTTGTGTTAGAATCAATGACCAGAAGAAATGTTAGCATGCTGGCATTTGTTGGACAGAGTTGGGTTTTTTATTTTATTTTTTTAATCTCCCTCAATTACCTCCTGCTTCAACACCTCTCCCTTCTGGGTGACCAAGTCTCCAAACAGAATCACATGTGGTCTTTTTGAGTCCACAGCACTAGAACAAGAACCCACAGAGGAACCAGTTTGCACAGCCAGCACCTTTGAGAGGAGCGACGAGGGGCACCCAGTTGGAGCGATCTGCAGTCACTGACTCATTAAATCTGTGTTCTCTAGCCTCTGCTGTGTGTGGTGAATCAAGGACAGCTCAGGGTTTGTTGACAGGCAAACCAATTGTGGTTTCTAGGAAAAGACCCATCCAATTGAGTCTCATTAATCTGGTTTGGGGAGCAGCACTCTTGATGGGTGAGGAGCTCAGGTGTGGGTGTCAGACATAGGCCCGATTGCTTGGATTCCCCTCATCCTCCATTTTGCTATGAGAGAGATGAATGAGAACGCAGACTGTCTCATGGGCTGTTTGGGATCTAGGAGTCAGTGGTCACTGAGCAGGGCGTGCAGAGAATGCTCAGTGTCCTAATGGTGGAAGGACTGTCTCACTGACGCAGCAGCACGACGTAACAGGTCCTGTGCCTGTTACATCTTGTTGGGCCCACTACAAGGCTTTCACTGAAACTCAAGGCTATTCCCATTACCCTTGGCCTATAGGAAGCTACACATCCCTACTGCAAATCATGTGCAAACCTCGCTTTTCTACAGAGGTATCTGCAGATTCGACCAGGATCTCAAAGTGGCTATAACCCCACGAACCTCGGAAATCTCTGCTCATCAGCTCTATCCAATTGCCATCCAGATAAGCTGTCAGCAACTCTACTCCTAAAGGTTTGAACTGCACCTTGGCTACAAATAACTAAAGCTCTACTTTGGGTATTAGGGGGAGGATGCAATCGTTTTCCCCCTTTCAGGTTATGAAATAGTAATTAACATTTTTACTTTGACTTAGACTTAGACTTATAGAAATGCTGCAAGAACATTCCCATGTACCTGTCTCCTGGATGTCCTACAGGTGAACAATTTGCCCATTTGGTTCATTCTTTCTTCTCTGAACCATCTGACAGCAGGTTACAGAGAGGGTGCCACTGCCTCTCAATACTTGTGTATATCCCTCCCAACCAAGGAGATCACCTCACATGGCCTGGGTGCAGTTATCAGAAGACATCAGGAAATCAACATTGGTTAACAAGCTGTCATGTGCTGTTTTTAAAAAAGTCTACCTTTATCTATTTCTGGACTTTCTAATTTACTCCAGAGTTCTGACTACTAAAGTGCTTTAATTACAGACCCAATGTGTTTTAATGTCTAGAAGGGCTGGTCTCCTCATAGTTTTTTTTTTTTTTTTTTTTTTTTTAATGAGTATTATAGCATGCAATTTTATTATTTTTATATATTAATTTTATTTATTTATTTATTTTTTACAAAAAATGTCTTTATTAATTTTAGGGAGAGAAGCATTGATTGGTTGCTTCCCATAGGGCCTGGAACTGATGAACCCAAAACCTGGGTATGTGCCCCACCTGGGAATTGAACCAGTGATCTTTCAGTGCAAGAGATGACTACTCAACCAATGGAGCCACACTGTCCAGGGCTCATGCAAATTTTTAAAGTACATATTTAAATAAAATTTTAATGACAAAATTTGATACCCAAGTGTCAAAATTAAAATATCAGAAATAAGGTTTTCAGGGATATTAAATCTCTGGAAGCAGAGAGATGTGGCTGAGCCTCATTCATTGAGGTCATTTTGTTGCTTCTGGCTTTACTTTAACTTTTGGTTACACACACTGAAAAGCAAACTAAGGTAGCTGCTTTGAGCGTCCTTTTTTCTCATTGTACAATTCCCTGTAGCAACTTATGGCACCACTGATTGCTCTCGAAACTTTGTTTCTACTCATCATTGGGACTGTTACTGGTAAGGATCTGTAAGCCAGCCTCAAAATGTGAGAGGGCTGCCGAGAGTTCTGTGGTTAACTGACGCAGAACAGGTTGAGTGTCTCCACTCTCCTCCTCTCCTGCTGGCTCCTGTTCCAGCTGCACCAGCTCCTCATTAGAGAGAGCATCCTCGTGTGACTGTTGCAACCGATCCACATCAGCTTCCACAAGCTCTGCAAAACCCAGAGTCTTGGCAAGGGTCACAATGTGATTTTTGAAGCTGTGCAATGTTATCTGCTTGGGGAAAATTCTGGAACTGAACACACTGGGGCCAAATTTTCTTCCACACACTGTTCACTGCTGCTGGCCTGAGTGCCTCCCAAGCTACTGCAATGTTGTCTACAGCATCCAAGATGCTGTAGTTTCTCCAAAACTCCCCGATCATAGCTGTATCCTCCCCATCTGTTGCTTCCAGCATGTGCTCAAAAGTCCTTCTCAGGTAATGAGCTTTGAAGCTAGAGGCTACACCTTGACCCATGGGCTGGATGGAGCCAGCTGTACTGTCATGAAGATACTCCACTCTATGTATCATCAGCATTATCTAGGATGAGCAATGCTTTGTTGCTTAGGTTATTTTTGGCGCAGTATTTTCAACAGCAGAACAAAAAAAGTATGTGTACCACTCATGAAAAATGCTCCTGGTTGCTCAGGCCTTGTTGTTCGAGCGCCAAATCACAGGCAGATTGTGCTTGGCGTACCCCTTCAGAGCCCTGGGGCTTCCTGAGCGGCACACCAATAAGGGCTTCAACGTAAAGTCCCCAGCTGCGTTGCCACCAAGCAGCAGCATCAAACAATCTAAACCCAGGCAGAGCTTTTTCCTCCACATAAATAATCGTTCCTTCCGGCATTCTCTTCCAAGAAAGACTTGCTGGGGGGGTGTACTCACCTTCTTGGATAATGCTTTTCAGCGCTTCCAGGTATGCATCCTCGTTGCTAAAAGCTGTGCAGTCATCTTGAAGTGGGGCAAACAATGGCGCTCCTTGAATCTCACAAACCACCCTTTACTTGCACTGAATGTTTCTTTTTGAGAGCTTCCACCTTGCTCACGCTGTAGGTCATCAAGCAAACTCTTAGCCTTCTCTCCTGAATGTGGTAAGCTCAGGGGCACGTTTCGCTGGCTCTGGTCTTCCAGCCACACACGCAGCAGTCGCTCCAGTCTCCATGACTGCACTTCGATGGCGAGTCAACCGGGAGGCTCTGAAGGGAGTACCGGTAGCTATTTGTGAACTCACCTTTATTTCTTCTTTATTATCTCGGATTGTCGCCACGGTAGACAGTAAAGCTTTGCCTTTGCGATCTGGCTGAGCTTTTCACCTACTTCAAATCGTCTTCACACTTCCAGTTTTATGTCGAGGGTAATTGCTTTCCGTTCCCTTTTGGCATTTGGGGCGACCTTTAGGGGCCTTTCCCGGGCATGTTTGCTTGCAGAGTCATGAGATCGCAGCAGTCTCCCGGGGAGAGAGGGCTCGCAGGCAGCATGTGGGGAAGGGAACCCGCTGGCAGGGGCGCAGGGGGGCCTCCCCGCAGACGTGGCCCACCACGGGCTTCCCAGCTCTCTGGCCCAGCAACAGGTGTTCATCCTCGACGCCAAGGTGGGCACAAGAGCCTCTGTGTCCATCAGTGTCCAAATCGCTGGGCTGCACAGCTGCAGGCGCATCACCACTGGAGCGGGTTTTTGTGGCCCAGAGAACAGACAGAAAGTCGTGACGGGGAATAACGCTGCACAGCACACACCGGGTCAGCTCCTCTGTTCGGAGGGTTATCCGGGCAGCAGTGCACACGTTCGCTCGGCGCGCGGGTCGCAGCGGCCCACCGGGTGGGAGCGGGTGGGGTTCGCTTCCGTGAGCCGCTGCCCCTGGAGGACCCCGTAAGTGCGTGTCTTCGTATATGCCAGATTCAAAATAAGCCTAAGAGCCCTCCTCCGACCACCGAGTCGCACTCGTTCGCTGGTTTCTGTGCCCAGGCGTCTGGGTAGGGGAAGGCGGGGCTCCCGTTCACATCCTTACACTCAGGCGGAAAGTGGACTCCTAACGAGGTCCTTGCTGCGCATGCGCACAGCTCCCCATGCCGGCATCCGGCCTCGGTGCCCCGATCGACGCGGCACTGCGCGCGCGCGCCCCCCAGCGGCGCGTGGTCGGCGGCTCCTGTGGCTCCGGCTGGTGGCGGCCCTCGCCGGGCTGTGGCGATGCCGCGGTGGCCCGGGACCTGGCCGAACCGCCGGAACCCTCCACACAGCTCCGCAGGTGAGCGCTGCCCGCAGCCCCGGGAGGCGGGAGGCGGGTGACGCCATCCAAGGGCGCTGGCCGGCGCGGGGGGCCGAGGTGGGGGGGGCGCTCAAAAAAGCAGCCAGAGCAGCTTCTCAGCGGCTCCCAACCGCGGGCTCCCTGGGGAACCTCAGCGGGCACCCTGCCTCCTCTCTGCTCTGCAAAGAGTCCAGGCTGAGCGTCTGGGGTTCGAGTCCTGCTCCTTCGGCCCCTCGCTGCGACGCGGGCACGGTTCTGCCCGGGCCCCGCGGACGTTCTTCCGCTCGGTCTGCCCCGCAGAGCTGCTCTTCCGCTGGCTGAGCTAATGGACGCGAGAGTTTTGTGTATCTTTAGGAGTTTCTAATTTAGCAGTCCCTCGTTGAGCCCAGTAGGGGGTGTGCAAGAGGCAGCTGATCTATGATTCTCTCTCATCATTGTTTCTAGCTCTCTATCTTTCTCTCTTCCTCTCTGTAAAAAATCAATAAAATATATATTTTTTAAAACATTTATTTATGGTGACTTTTATTGGGATTGTTTTTATTATATTGGCTTTTGACCTACTGTAGTGTTATCCCTAGTCCTGCCCTGGCTGGGTTACTTAGTTGGTTAGAGTGAGGCCACTGCCCATCTCATGGACGAAGAAGTGCAATACCATTGGCTGCGCCCACGAGAGGATGCTGAACCTGCTCACGTGGTGCCGGGAGCAGGTGGACAAGGTGAGTGTGGCTGTAACTGGGTGGGGCATGGCCATCCTTCCGGGAAGTGTCTGCTGTCCCTGAGGAATATAATGAGCCCCTTCAGAGTGGCCTGGTAGGCAGCCATGGTTTGCAGGTGTGCAGGCGGCTTCTGGAGAGGTGCTGGAGAAGGTGGGCACGATGGACCTCCTGGGCTCCCGGCCCTTGGTGGAGAAGTCCACCTACAAGGAGTTTGTGGAGGGTGCTGGTCACCTGGAGGAGGACACAGCCCTCCCTGAGGGCTGAAGGGCTGGAACCAGGGGCGGGAGGAGGATGGCAGGGAGCTCCACGTGTAGGTGAGCCCAGCTTAGGACTCTGCTCTGAAAGCCACTTCCAGGACCACGGAAAACAGACTAAACTTAGGGCTGCAAGCAGACATTTTGGCTAAGGGCTCTCTGACCCTTTTTGTGCTCCCTGTGCCTAGAGGACGGGCCACAGAGGCATGTCCTGCTGGGGTGCCCAATGCAGCACCCTCATGCCTGCGATGAGGTGGCAGTGGTGCATTTGGTGGGGACAGTGCCTTAGGCAGAGTGCAGTGCTGGCCGTCTTAATTTCCCAAGAGGGGACGCTTTGGCTCCGTGGAGAAATCCTCAAGGTTTGGTGAGGGGGCAGAATGAAGCCAGTTATCAAGGGAAGGTTTTGGGATTTGATTAGTGTTTGGGTTGGTAGAGGGCCTGTCAGTGTTTATGGAGGAAACTAGAGGTCCGATTCATGAAATTCATGCAGAGTAGGCCAGCCTTCCCCTGGATGCTGGCACCATCTTCCGTCCCAGTCCGGCTTCATCTGGTATGACGTCTGGTCTAATTGGCATATGACCAGATGGGCTTGTATTATTATAGATGGCAGCCGTGGCGTCCAGTGCCTGGAGCATAGCGCCTCTTCCCACAGTTCCGGGCCTGGCGCCTGGCACCCCTACCACTGCACCTTCCCTCTCCTCTCTGGGCCATCGCCTCCCTCCCCCTCACCCGCCCCAACTCCCCAGGAGCTCTGTGTCAGCTCCTGGCCTGCGGACAGGACACCAGCCAAGAACCTTCCACAGGGGCTCAGGGTGTGAGGAACCACCTGCCATGCACCAGGCGCCTGTTCTCTGGGCCCTCGATTGGCAGGTGAATAAAATGGTTGTGGTTTCAGCCTCATCGTGGCCTTGTGCTCACAAGGGGGGCCGTCCCTGCGGGCTGCCTCCCTGTGAGGACCTCCCTCTGGACGGGGAGGCTCACACAGGAGCTCCAGACCTCTGTGGGGCAGGATCTTCACGGTAATGGCTAAAGGTCAGGACTCTTGTCGCTGACGGGTGATCCAAATCAGCCGCCCTGCGTGCAGCCCAGCAGGCCCCAGGGGCTCATGCTGGAGGAAACGGGCACCCCCTGGCTTGCACCCTCCCCACACCGCACTAGGCATGGCTGCAAAGGAGGAGACGGTGGTTGGGCCTTAGGACAGGTGATGTTTTAATGCTGCTTCTGTAATTAGCTCCACAGCAGCAGGAAGGATGGGTGTAGGGGGATACCCAGTGGGTGTAGGGGGCAGGCAGGCCACCCTAAAGGATGGGGTTTTAAGGGGCATTCTTGACTGTGCCTGGTCAGTTGTGTCCCTGTGTTGTAGCTGATCGCATGGCGGAGATGGTGTCTCCTGCCCCTACGTGGAAGGCAGCCACCTGCATTTCTCGGCCAGCTTGCCTGAGGGCCTCCCTCTAGCCAGGCACAGTGGGCCTGCTGCCCAGGGCTCCTGCCGAGGAGCGCGTGCCAGTGGGGGTTCAGTGGGGAACAGTCAGGGCAGGTCTCTGTGGGAACAAAAAACAAGCTCACACATTTATTTTAAATCCAGTCTTGGACTTGCAATCAACCAGAAGTCTGTCCTGTCTCTTAGCACATAGAAAGCAGTGTTGGGAGCAGCTGAGCCTGGTGGCCTGATTTGGGGGCAGGGCTGTGCCCACGTTCTCCACACCTCCAGCCCCTTGGGCCAGGATGTGCATCGACAGGGTATGGGGACAGCATGGGAAGGGACTGGAAGAGGTGGCCCGCCTCCAAGCAGCCTGGGGCAGTTGTGCCGTATTTGGTGTTCTGAGCTGGGAGGGTGGTCCCGCTGTCTTGCAGGGACCAGGACGAGCAGGGTCTTAGGGCCTGGGAGGGGCCCCGTTGCTGGCACTGCTCCCTGGGTGGCTGGCAGAGGGCAGGATTGGAACGAAGGTGGGCGTTTTCAGGATAGACTCTTCCACCCACACATTTGGCTAGACCCCAGGGCTTTGCAGACGGCAGTCATCTGCTTAGATCCCCCCCGTCACCCAGCATCCACTCGGGAGCCTTGTGACAGATGAGAGCACCAGTCCTGTGGACAGAAGGTTCCAGAAGGCCCAGTCCACTCCTGTCTCATCCCCGGGCATTGTCAGCCCTGATCCAGGGACCAGGAAGGAACTGGACATCAGGCCACTGAGCTGTGCTTGCGCTGGGTGCCTGAGACCCTGACCCAGCGCCATGTGGGTGGGCAGTGTCCGCGGAGACACAACCTCACATTTCCTCCGCCTGGTGCTGGGGCTGCCTGGCCTAGTTCTCTTTGGGCCTCTCCACAGTGAGAAACGTGTCCACAATCGCTGGCTGCCGCTCAGGGTCGCTGAGGTGCTGCTTCTCGCGGTTCTGCTCGGCCCTGGTCCGAGTCCAGGATGGGGACCGCAGACAGCCGGCCCGGGGCAGTGGGTGCAGGCCTGTTGGGAACATGGGTTGGGTCAGCATGGCCTGGGGTCCTGTGTCTCTCCTGAAGCTACTGGGCTGGGCCCTTGTGTGCTTCCCAACACAGTGTCTGCCACACATTGGGGTCCCTGGGCACTTAGAAAATGTGAGTGCCAACCATGAGGAAATGTGGGTCTAAACCGCTCCGCCTGCATGAGGTTTGATCAGGGAGAGAGGAATGTCCCTGGTCCCACTTATGGGGGCCTTTTGGGTAGATGGCACCTCCTCTGTGTTCAGCCTAACTTGTGACTGTTTTTTAGATGTTTTTTTTAATCATCACCTAAGGACATGTTCGTTCATTGTTAGAGGGGAAAGGAGAGAAAGAGAGAGAGAAACATTGATCATCTGTCTCTCCCACCTGCCCTAACCAGGCTGGGATCGAACTTGCAACCTTGGTATGTGCCCTGATCATGAAGGAAATGGTGACCCTTCGGTGTGCTGGTCTGTGCTCCAGCCGATGGTGCTTAACAAGTGTCCCTTTAGTAAATTATTCCTTCAGTGGGTCTGTGCCTTTGGCTGTGGTGGTGTTTGAAAAGCAGAACTGAGGAGGGTACTAGGAACAATAGATATGTAGAATACAGAAATGTTGAGTAAAACAGTGCTGTGGTGGCAAATACTTAAACACAATTGAGGTAAAATTATTTTTAAAAACGGTATTTCAGGAAGCATGTTTAGTGGTCTCAGGCCCCAGGACCTCCCCCAGTGCCCACCGTGTCCCAATATCAGCCTCACCAGCTGGCGATTCACTGGTCAGGTTCTCATCATCGGAGTCAGCAAAGACCTCGGCCAGTTCCTGGTCGGACATGTCGGTCAGCTCAGTGAGGTCCAGGAGGTCAAAGTGCACCTCGAGGGAGGACACACTGCTGAGTGGCTCTGGGGGAGGGGGAATGTCACTGGTGCAGTCATTCGTGAGGCCCCCTGCCCCCATGAGGCCCAGAGGAGACCCGGAGCTCTGGGTAAAGGTCAGCATGACACCAATAAGATGGGACAGCCAGACCCCCAACTCTGCTCTCCACACTCGGGACCAAACGCCTTCTGGGGAGCCCCACTTATAGATGGTACGGCTGAGGCCCAGCGAGCCCAAAGCTTGAGGAGCTCAGTGCTCACCACACTGGGGTAGTGTTTGGACAGGATGTGGCCACATGGTCCCCACTCCCTGGGGATCACAGGTCCCCGTGGAGCATGCCAGGCAGCTGCCTTGTACTTACGCCTCCGCTCTGTGACCTGCAGGAACCCTGGTGCCGGTATTGGGGTTCCCACCTCCTCCTCCTCGGCCACGGGCAAGTGGCCACTGTCCCCTGTCCCAGGGGTTGGGGCATCCAGGGCGGCCAGTGGCACCTCAATCTCCTTAACTATTTCTGCAGAAGACAGAATGCTTTACCTGAGGACACAGAGGATTCCCTCACCCCAGGACACAGGCAGGGGATTGAGATGTTGCCTCAAGGGTGCTAGACAGTGAGCAGGGTGCTCAGGGCAGCCTCGGGCCAGGACCCCAGATGCGGTGGGGCTTCTCTGAGGAGGCTCCTCGTTTTCCATGTTTAAGTTTGTTGTGAGGTGAGGGCAGGAGGCCCCTTGAGGGCAGTTTGGTGGAGCGGGGACCACGGCAACACAGATTCTTCCCACACGTCCCCCGGGACCCCACAGCCGAGCAGGTATGCTCCAGCGGCCGAGCTGGGGCCCCCAGCAGGGTTTTGCGATGCCCCGGGTGGAAGCCAGAGTCAGAGTGGATGAAGCCCCAGGAGCAGCTGCTGCTGTCGCGACGAAGGGCCCCGCTAGGATCCCGGTGCCAACAGCTGCCTGTGAGGCTGGGCCTGTCCTCCCCACTGTAGTCAGCAGCCTGGACGCCACTAGGTAGGCCTGGAGGGGCCCCGGCTCACAGCTGCAGAGCTGCGCAGTGCGCCTGGCCTCAGGCGGGCCCCACCCGCTCTGCGTGGGGCTGAGGGGAGGTGTACCTGCTGCCGTGGCGACCTGTCCAGCTTTGCACCTTGCTGCCCTCACGTGGGCAGGCCAGGCTGGACAGGCGCGAGATCCGGTTTCTACCTCTGCTGCCTCAGGAGCGTGGCTTCTGAGCATCCTTAGAGGGTAGAGTTACACTATCCCTGTCCTGGCCCCACAGCCTGGCAAGGACACCTTCCCACCCAGAGGCCATGAGATGAGATTTGGATCCTGCTCTGTGCTGGGGGAGCTGGGCCAAGGAAGCCCTTGTGGGTCTACAGGACACTTTGTGTCCTCAAGGGGTCTGGGGCCTGTCACACCCTGAGATACTCCCACACCTGACCTGTGAGGGTGACTGGGCTGGAGGCTCTGGGGTGATAACTATGACAATGCCTCTCGGTTTTCAGACTTGCTCTGTGCCAGGCACTGCCCAGTGCTCTGCTCTCTACGTGGACGTCACAACCAGCCATGAGGGCAGGACGCTGAGTGCTGAGCTTTAGAGAGGGGCTCAGCTCCCTGCCGGCACTGCCCAGGGGACCATGGAGTCTGAGCTGTCAGCCTCCATTCCCAGGCCATGGTGCAGGGCTGGGAGCAGGGGCTGAGGAGGGAGGAGACCCCTGCCTGTGCCCACAGGGAAGCTTGGATGTTTCCAGGCCCTCCCCAGGCGGAAGCAGACTTCTGAAAGATGGAAAGATAGAGGCAGGGGTCTGCTCACAGCTGCCCTGTCCCTCTGTTACTCCCCCAGACAAGAAAGCATCATTCATTCATTCTTCAACCCAGCAGTTTTCCTGAGAGCACACTCTGGCCCATCTAGCGGGGAAGAGGGACTGGGAGCGTCCACCTGCTTCTCTGTAGATAAAGGGAGGCAGGAGCCTCGGACAGCCCCTGGGACAGACTGCACAGGCACCCTGGTCTGTTGCATTGACCACAAGAAGCACGTTATAAAATTCCAACATCCCGGAAGCAGCAGAGTGTCTGTGTGCCATAGAGTCAACGGCACATAGTGTATGTTTGGTCTTTTGAGTCTTTTCCGCCTCCTTTTGGCAGTGGTCTGATTTCTGTAAATCCTGGTGCCCTGATCTGTCTCCAAGCTGTGGGGCAAGAAGATGCAACTTCTGCCATCAAGGACACTGATCCTTGGGCTAGAAGGTTGTGATGGAAAGGGAGACTAAGAGTCAATATGCCACTGCAGGTGCCAGGGACAGAGGAGCCCAGGAAGGTCGTGGTTGAGATTCGCATATAAAGCATGTGGCCATGGTGCTAGACAGGCCAACTATTAAGTGCGGAGTCACCGCACGGTACAGCAAGTCCACGCCTACGCTTAAACCCAAAGGAACCAAAAGCACACATGCACACAAACACTTGTAGGCAAATGTTCACAGCATCGCTGAGCGTCAGAAAAGGCAAAAGTGAAAGCAAACCCAAATGTCCATCAATGGGGTGAACAGAATGGGTCCATCCAGCACTACTCAGCAACAGAAAGGAACGGCGCTCTCACACCGGTCATAACATGGATGAATCTTAAACATGGTGAGTGCGAGAAGCCAGGCACAAAAAGGCCACATATTGACACCATTTGTGCAGATGTCCAGGACAGGCAAGTCCATAGAGTAGAAAAGTAAGTTAGAGAAGACGGTAGATTGGTTCTTGGTTATGTGTAGGATGTGGAGTAACTGCTGATGTGAACAGGGTTTCTTTGCTGAAAACCTAAAATTAGATGCTGGTGATGGTTGCACAACTTTGTGAATACAGATGCTCCCTAACTTATGACCGGGTTACACCCTGATAAACTTGTCGTAAGTGGAAAATATTGTAAGTAGCCCTAGCCAATGTGGCTCATTGGATATAATGTCAGCCTCTGCACTGAAGATTCCCGGGTTTGATCCTGGTCAGGGGCATGTACCTCGGCTGCAGCCTCCTGGCCCTGGTCGGGGGCATATGGAAGACAATCAATTGATGTATCTTCTCTCACATGGGTGTTGCTCTCTCTCCTACCTTCCACTTTCTAAAAAATCAATGGAAAAAATGTCCTTGGTTAAGGATAAAAAGAGAAGAAGTATTGTAATTTGAAAATGCATTTAAGACTCCTAATGTACTGAACATCGTAGTTTAGTCCAGACCACCTCAAACATGCTCAGAAGAACATTAGCCAATAGCTGCCCAGCACCACAAGAGACAGTATCGTATCAGTAGTCTGGAAAAGATCAAAACTGACTATTCAAAGTATAGTTTCCACTGAATGCTTATCATTGATTGCCATTGTAAAGTAAAAAAAAAAAAAAAAATCATTAAGTTGAACCATCTTAAGTTCAACTTAAGTACTAACAATACTAAATTGTAAACTTTAAAAGGGTGAATTTTAGCACATGTGACTTATATCTCAATTTTTAAAATCCTCACTGGAAACAAGGCTGGTTTTGGCTGGCATTAAAGGGCAAAGCCAGGATGACTTTGGACATGCACCAAATGCTGTATACCTACTATGTCCCAGGCACCTGGCTCAGTAGCTGGGACTGGGTCTGAGCTCCAGGATCTGGGCTTGCCGTAGTACACAGCAGTGTATCATAAATGTTTGTGAAATGACAGCCCCAAAACCTGTGCCATCCCTCTCTATATATAAAAGCCTAAATTACCATCATGACCAGTTGACTGAGTGACCAGTCAACCGGTTGTTATGATGCGCACTGACCACCAGGGGGCAGATGATCAATGCAGGAGCTGCCCCCTCGTGGTCAGTGCACCCCCACGGCCAACTTCCTGCAGCCGGCCAACCTTTCACAGTCTCTCCCCCCAGGACTGGGTAAGATGGCCCCGATCACCAATCGCAGGCCAGGCCGAGAGACCCTACTTGTGCACAAATTCGTGCACCGGACCTCTAGTAGTTAATAAAAGGCTCTCTGGCCAATCAGGCTGATCTCTGGAAGACCCGCTGCTCTTCCTGCTGCTCTTCTGGGGCACAGCAGGGCAGAGTGCTAGGAAGCCTGATGGAGCCACAGCTGGGTCATACAAGCCAGGCCAAGGCCTGCCGATGTCTCTGATGCCCAGGACACTCCCTGTGGGGAGACTGAAGTTGGGGTGCCACCATCTGCCCCCCTCTACTGGGGCTGATTTCTAATGTGTGTAGATAGGGTTACTTTGTGTTATGCCGCTGACCTATTTTCCAGCAGAGCTGAGCTAAGAACGGCCCAAATTTCAAGTTCCCTTCTGTGTGCCCAGGGCCCTGGCCCAGCATCATGGAGGAGGTGCCTGCGCACACCCATGAGCACAGGAAGTAATGAAATTAATAAACGAATGTCCTAAAGAAGCTGCAGGGAGAGATGTTACAGAAGTGGGGCACCAACACCCGTTTCCCCAGGCCTGGTCCCTAGACTCTGCCCCTCCTCCTCACCCCGTTCAGGCTCAGCCTGTGGGTAGACTAGAACCCTAGTTTTCCAGAGTCAACAGCTGGGGTCCTTCAATAAATTCACTACCCACCACACTCCCTAATCTTTTCAACTCTGGATCTGCACGCTTGGATTATTAAAATGCTAATTCATTTAAGTCCAAGATGAGATTTGAAAGATGCTCTACAAACACCTTATCTTTTAGAGATAATTGCAGAAACAATTGTGAATGAAACATTGTGTCTAGATTTGCCAGAAATGACTCCTGGAGGGAGGAGATGGGCGGGTCGGTTGAGCTGCAGGAGGTGGCAGTCAGGGCTTTCCCACGGTTTTCTCCCCTCTTGTGTGTGCTCTTTACTCTCCAAAGTGAAGTTTACAAAAGTTAGTGCACTGAGAGGACATGGTCACAACCACCCTCCTGTGACCTGGTTAGACGCCACGGCGTGCAGCCAGCCCGGCCCGCTGCCTACACAGAGCAGGCCCCGGGTGAACCATGTCTGTGCGCTGGTGACTTAATCCTGGGCTCCCAGTAAGTGGGGCCCAAAGACTAAAGGGTGGCTGGGCTCCTCTGGCCCAGCGGGCAGGAGCCCACACCCCGCAGCTCGTGCTCTCAAGCTGCCACTGGGAGTGTGTGTTTTTGGGAGGAGAGGGGGAGAAGGGCTGTCAGTGTTGAGAAAAGGCTGGATCCCTCCCATAAGTGACAAAACAAAGGAACCCGGCACTCCGAGCCCCTGGTGTGTGGTGTTTGCAGGGCAGATAACGGATCCATGCAGCCCTCTGGCATGAGCCTGCCCAACCAGGGCTGCGGACGAGTCGGACCCGCCGCTCCGGGACACTTCCGGCCAGCGATTTGGTTCCAGGGGGCGGGGGGGGGGGTTCCCAGCGAGTCCCTGTGTGGCAGGGAGGGGCCCTGGAACTGGACCTCCAGGACACAAGGGTGCACCGAGCCTGGCCAGGCGGGTCGGAGCCCTGCGTCTGCATCCTGGCTCCCAGTGGATGAACTGCACCCACAAACCCTTTCTGAAAGGCTGGGGAGGGGGTTCCCACACTTCTCATTCCGCCAGGACAGCGGGCCGGCCCAGGGAGTATCCCTCCGAGCTCACCGGCCTCCAGACGCGCGGCCCCGGGGCTCGCCCAGGCCCCCCTCCCCACCCGCAGGCGGCCCCCCTCTTAGACCCCCCGGGCCCAGCGGCCACGGTCCCCTCCGCCTCCCCGGCAGCCGCTGTCGGATCGAACAAAGCGGACGCGGCCCGAGCGCTGTGCCCCCAGCCTCGCCCCCGGACCCCAACTCCGGCCGGCGCGCCCACCTTGGCTCCGGGACCGCGGCTCGGCCGGGAGGGGTTCGGGTGCTCGGGCCCCTCCCCCGGAGCAGACAGGGCGGCTGCCCGGCGCCGAGGACCGGGGGGCGGCTCCGGGAGCCCCGCAGGGCAGCGGCTGGTCCGGAGGAGCCCAGCCCCCGGACGAGGCTGCGGCCGCTGCGGGGAGCGGCTTTAGGTCCGGGGCTGGGGCCGCACTCACCTTCCGGGCGGGCGCCTTCCGGAGGCTCCATCAGCCGCGGCCTCGCGGACCCGGCGGCCCTGCAGCGGCGGCGGAGGCTCCCGGCTCCCGGCGCCCGGCGCAGCGCATCGGGAACAGCCGGGGGGCCGCTGCGGCGGGAGGAGCCCGTGGGGCGGGGCCGCAGCTGTTCCGGGGCCCCCGCCACCCCATCCTCCCCAGCCCCGCGCACAGGTGCGGCCCGGCCCGCGCGCGCCCCCTGCCGGGTCCGGGCCTGCGCACCCCGCCCTCGGGGCCTCGCCCCACTGCGGACCCCTGCGCCAGCCCGCACCCTCCCAGCCCGCGCGCACCCTTCCGCGCCGACCCGCACCCTCCTGCGCAGCTGCGGCGAATTCCGCCCATCGCTCACCCCAGATATTTTTGGGGCACCAGCTACAATCCCGCGCTTCGCACAGGGAGAAGCAAACGTGGGGCCAACACCTAGGACTTGTGGGTGTGATCCACGTTATGAAGAAACCAGGGTGTGGGGAGAAGGGGTGTGGAGGGGTCCTGGGTGGGGGATGGAGATGAGGAGGCGCTGGCCGGCGTGGGGGGCGGGCGGGTGCTCCCTGGAGTGAGGCTGGGCGGCTGGCTGAAAGAAGAGATTGGTTCGCTCAAGTCCCACCTCCAAATGCAGTCTGAGGTGCGGACCGCACACAAGCCCCTGGGGCACAGCCTATCCTTAACTCCCAGGAACCCTAAGGAGACGGTACCCTCGTTTTTCAGGAATAAAACTCAGCACGAGAGGGTGAGTAACCCGACTAGTAAGACTGCAAAGCCAGAGGCCCAATCCAAGCCCGAGGCCTGCACTTCTACAAAAACAAACCAAAGAAGAGCATCGGGAGGAAGGGTTAGTGCACAGCTGAGAGCGGGGAAAGGCTCCCAGAGGAGGGCGGTGGGTATGAACTTCCAGGCCAATCACCCACTCAAAGGCAAGCAGTGCGTCCAACCTCAGCTCACCCAAACTTTCACGGCCCAGCCCAGCTCCCGGCGCCCAGAGCCCAAGGCCTTGGAGACACTGGCAGTCAGTGATCCAGGTTGTTTAAAACGCTTTACAACGATTTAATGCCCCACTGGGACTAACCCTTATAGTTTGTGAGCCACTGACTGGTCTCTATGGCACTCCGAGAGGCAGAGAATCTGGCCTCTCGGGTACAAAGCTGAGCTACAGGGTGGGTGGTGTGGGCATTGCTTGCTCAAACTCAGCTAGGGTGGCAGATTGCGTTTTCTCAAAATGGTCCCAGCAACATTTTTTATTCCACACGTCTTCTAGAACCTCCCACTCCAATTAAGACTCTGCACCTTACTCCTCTCGCTTGAAGCCGGGCAAGCTGTGTGACTGTAGCATGTGGCTACAGGATGCTCTGTGACTTCAAGGCAGGGTCTTAGGAGGATCTCTCAGAAAGCGCTGCTGGAGCCCAGCCACCCTGGATGAGGAAGCCCAAGCCCCTCGGAATGCCACCGCGTGTTTCCTTTGAGCACCCATCCCCCGTGGGGTGCCATGTGGAGCCAATAGCTGAGCTCTCTCCATGCAGTCCTTGCTGAGTGACAGATTCATGAGCAAAACAGATATGTCACTCTGTGAAGCCGCTGTGTTTTGGGTATAACTTGTTATGCAGCCACAGTAACTGTAACAGTAATTGCTCAACAATTCCTGCTTGAGAGATGAATACATGTATACAGAGGGACTCTTTTCAAAGTCATCTAGAGGCCCGTATTTATTTTTACCTTTTTTCCTTTTTTTTGGTTAGCCTTCACTGGAGGATTTCCTCCCCCCCCCCCCCATTGATTTCAGAACGATTGGAAGGTAGGGAGAAGAGAGGAGAGAGAGACATCAGTGTGAGAGACCCACATCAGTTGGTTGCCTCCAGGCATGTGCCCATGACCAGAATCAAACCAATGACCCTTTGGTTCTAGGGCTGACGCTCTAACCACTGAGCCAAGCTGGCCGTGGCTTTTAGCTTTTTATTAATAACATTTTCAAACCAAAGTAGAGAGAATAATACCATTAACCAGCATGCACCCATCACACAATTCAGTGATTACCAGCTCTTGACTGATCCCGATTTTTTTTTGTTTTTTTAAAAATATATTTTATTGATTTTGTACAGAGAGGAAGGGAGAGAGATAGAGAGTTAGAAACGTCGATGAGAGAGAGTCATCAATCAGCTGCCTCTTGCACACCCCCTACTGGGGATATGTCCGCAACCAAGGTCCATGCCCTTGACCAGAATCGAACCCGGGACCCTTCAGTCCCCAAGCCGACGCTCTATCCATTGAGCCAAACCGGTCTTGGCTGATCCCGGTTTTTAACTCTTTAAACATTTTTTGTTGATAGTATTCCAGATATTCCCCCTTTTCCCCCTTATTGCCCCCTTCACCCGGTTCCCTCCCGCCCCAGGCCTTCACCACTCTATGGGCTGTATCTATAGGTAATGTATGTATATATGCATATAAGATCTTTGCTTAATCTCTTCCCAACCCCCTCCCCCTGTTCTCTCCAGGATGCCAGGAACTTTTCATCTTAGCAATCCATGCTGATAAACCAAGAGACACTGTTGGTTTGCAACAAATGAACACCCTATGTGGTTATCCCGAGTTAACCTTACTATTCTTGCCCTTTTTACTGAAAGGGATTATTATTAAAGTGTTTATTTAACTCAGGAACTCTGAGCCAGACTTCTAAAGGAAAAAACAGCCAGCATGAGGTGCCTAGCATATTGGGTCTGTAAAGTAAATGTTAATTAATAATAATTACTGCACTGTGTTCTCCAGCTGCATTGTCTTGCCTGCCAAATTCTCTCTAGGAGGCCTGGACTTGGGGGAGGAGGCTCCTATCAGGCCAGTGGTGTCAGGCACAGAGGGCTTGGCTGCCCAGGCACAGTGGCAGGATCAGACCTCACAAAGGCCTCAGGGCTTGCTATAAATAAATTGCAGCTCTGTGCAAGCTAGGTCAATGCAGCCCTTTCAACCGGCTGCTCCACCCCCAGAACAACCAGGGCTTGGCTGGGCCAAGAGGAAGGCCCTCCAGCTCATCACTGTGGTTCTCAGATCCCTGGCGCTGCATGGTGTCTGAAGCCCGGCAAGCAAACAAGGCGTATTCCTTCATGGCAGGGGCTGACAGAGCCACGCCTTTCTTCATGGCTCACACTGTGTTCCCGATGCAGCTCTGCAGGGGAAGACGGTGGACTCTTCATCCCCAAATAGATGAAAAACCTGCTGCAAAGCCACGCGTCAGTAGGATGCTAAATTGAGAGTGTTGGGGGAAAAAAGACCAGAAATGTCATGTAAAGATGGGCACCAGCTTAGGACAAACACTCAGCCTTCTGGGCGATACAGCGATACATGCAGGTAACCATGTAGTGTCAGGCCTCGGAAATCCCTTCAGAAGTTGTAGCAAGGTTAGGAAAGGAACTGACAGCTCACCTTTTCTGCCCATCTGGATTCCTCGGGCCGAGTTTCTCATTTGTCCTCACATGAGCAGGAGGGGGAGGGGCTACAGTAGAGGCTCCTTCAGGCTGAGCAGTTTACGTCTGTGAAGGGGACACTTGCTGATTTCAGAACTTTGGAGCTTCCTTACATTTTTTTTTTAATTATTCATATTGTTTGTGGAAACCTGGCTATTTTCCATCCTCACCAGACCAGCAGGGAAGGACTCTTCAAAGGTGGACAGGGTGAGGTCAGGATCCAGGGGTCGGCAACCTGCGGCTCCGGAGCCGCATGCGGCTCTTTTGAACCTTTCCTGCGGCCCCCAGCAGGTCCGACACTAGCAGGGCAGATAGCAGGGCGGGGCGGGGAGCTGTATCACTTATGTCGCAATGGTTTTGCGGCTCCGAGGTTTTTTTTTTCCTTCGAAAACGGGTCCAAGTGGCTCTTTATGTCTTAAAGGTTGCCGACCCCTGATCCAGGCAAAGTCTCAGCCCAAATTTTGAATCTGATTTTGGTAATTCCTCCCTCCGTCCTGCATTAAATGCATTTTTATCAAGCACCCGCTGTGTGCGTTTCTAGGCGCTGCAAGTAACAAGTGGACGGAACAGCAGGGGAGAGCGGCGATGGGTGCGTGTATCCACCACGGAAACGCGTTTGGGGCTGTCGGGGAAATCACACAGCTGCAGACGGACCTGCCCGATTTCCGTGCCACTGGAATGGGCCCAGCGCCCGTTGCTAGGGACGCGCTCCTGCCGTTGCCAGGGCCTGTGGCTGCGTGCGGAGTCTCGCGAGGATCTTCGCTACATCTCGCGAGACCGCCCAGCGGTTGCTGGGAGACGGCGCAGCCTCTGCGGAGGGAGAGCTTTTGTGTGGGGGTCGCGGTGGGCCGCTGCTGCGGGTCCGGACGCCGGGAGCCATGGTGAGGGCGACGCGGAGCCGGCCCGGGAGCGGGCCCTGCGCGCGGAGACCCGAGCGGTGCCCGGCCTGGACCGGCCTGGCCTTGGGATGTCCCGGGGACGTGGGCACACGTGTCCCCAACCAGGGCATCACCCAGGACTTCTGGCCTCCGGGATGGAGGACCCAGGTCGTGCCAGGGCGGTTGATTGCAGGTCTCGCCACAGCAAGAGGTCCTGGGCAGAATGTCAGTGCTGCAGAGGCAGGAGCAGTCAGACCTCCTCTGTCTCTCTCCTGTGACAGGGCCGGCAGCTGTCCCCCACTGCCTCCTCCCCGCTCCATATAGGAGCTGTCAGTAACTCAGGTTCCAGGCAGGTGCATGGGGCAGGGAGCTGGTGGCGAGGAGTCGCTGTGACTGTCCCAGAAGCCACGGGTGCGGGGCTCTGACGCGTGCGGGCTCTTGGAGAAGAGGGGTTCATAGTACATTCGGAGGGAAGACTTCAGTGGATGGGTGTTTGAATAGCACCTGGACGAAGGCCACCAACATACTTCTACTGATGACAAGCTTGAGGGATAGGATATTCTTTTTGTTTCCCTATGTTTATAAGACTTTCACATGACTTTGTTTGTAATCGTGAACATGTTACAGAGAGAGACACACAAAAGATGTCACAGACACATAGAGACACACACAGATATGGGCCACACACAGTGAGGGCAGAGGATCAGCATCTGGGAATTCTGTGTCTGCTCGGGAAGGGAGTGGGCTGGGGGCTTCTCTCATCTGGTCGACGTGACGGCTGAGCAGCTGTGTGTGGAGAACCACGTAGGCCCCCGTGGCGGGTGGGTGCTGCTGCTCGGCTCCCCACACCAGGCTCTCTGAAGGAGTTTCGCATTTGAATAGACAGTCTCATGTGATCCTCCTGATTGTTGCTATCGAGGCATTTTTGCCAACACGTATCGAAAGTGTCTTGCCTGTTTCTCTGTGGTGGTTACAAGACATTATAGCCAAGGAGGTAACACCTGACATTGGTTATTGATTGTGGTTCCCCCTTTTGAGGTAAGTACATTTTGCATCCACTCCAAGACAGCCTCTGCCGTGTATTAAGGAGTGGATTTGGCCCAGTTCCTTCCCTCCCTTTCTGAGGGAAAAAAATGTTCTCTTCTGAAAAGGAAGACTTCTCCTTCTTGCCACGCCAAAGGTGTCAGTAGAGAATGTGCGTGTGGTTCAGGGTGGGAGCTTAGGGTAGAGGATGTGCTGCAGGGGGGTGGGCACCCGACCGTGAGCTGGAGAGGGAGGTGCCAGGCAGGTGCTCCCCTCCAAAGGACCAGGAGGGAATCCGAGCCAGCCGCAAAGGGAAGCCATTGCCAAAGCCTCCCTCCCTTAACCACGCCTCTCTCCGAACCGCAGGCGCCCAAAAAGAAAGGGAAGGGCAAAGGAACCCCGGTTGTTGACGGGCTTGCTCCGGAGGACATGACCAAGGAGCAGGTGAGCAGCTGGCCCCGTGCATTGGTCCAGGCCTGGGGTAGGTGGGTGGGTGGGTGGGTGCTGGTCCACCTTGTCTCACTGGCTGTTTGTCTGCATGGACCGCTGTCAGACCAGTGCACCCTCCTCCTGGCCTCCACCTCCCCCACTCTGGCTCCTACAGTTGTGTTTGAACCAGCATATCCGTCCCCATCTCCATAGTCCCCATCAGCTCCAAGCTCTCAGGCAAAGTACTGAAGAACTTGTTTATAAGACTTTCACATGACTTTCACATAAAGTGGTAAGAATTTGGAAGGAAATGTTTTGTTTTTTTCTGTTATAAAAGCCATTTTCCTTTTTTTTTTTTTTTTTTTTTTTTTTGTATTCCCTTTCAGTTTTACCCCTTCATTCATCTGATGCTATGGAGCTGTTTTCATAGTGCGTGTATTATAGTGTTCTTGTGTATTTACCATGAAACATAAGGCATTATTTTAATCCACGTGGCCTTCCTGATGAAGGAAGGGGCTAGATGACGTAATTGTACAATCACAATTTTAATTAAAAGGCTCCTGGAAACTGCAGCCCACGGCAGTTCATGAGAGGAAACTGGTGCCCACTCCAGCCTCTGTGCTCTGACGACGGGACTGCCTGTGTGCCTCTGCCATGGACCCGCGGGCTCTGTGTCAACTGGTGTTGCTGTCAGCACCCTTACTGTCTTTGGATAGTTTTAAGATAAAAAATAAATCCAAAGCAGACTAACAGAGTCACGTGAGCTGAAGTTGGATGTTGAACAAGGGCCCTTGATGGTAAGAATGGCTTTGTTTCATGGCCGGTCCTTAAATAACGTATCGTTACCACGTGGATGAGACGCCAGAGGAACCTAGCTCTTGTGTCACTTAGCCGGCGGTAACGTTGGTCTCCTCACGCTAATTTGTCTTCACAGCTTCAGAACCCGGTGACGACATTAAGTGAGAGCTGTCCTTATAGTGAGACCAGCTGAAGCAGAGGGTGGTGGGTCCCGTCCGTGTTCTGGAGAGATCACTGGCGGCACCCTGCATCGCCCCAACAACTGAGCTGTTTCTTTCCTCCCTCTGTCCTTCCAGTCCCTGTGGAGACAGCACAGACATGCAGCGGCGGGTCTGCATTGGCATGGACACCTCGGCAGCGGTCGCTGCCAGGGCCCAGGGCCCGGGGTCCAGGTGGCAATGAGGGTCAGGCAGCTGCCGACAGGCCCCTGAACAGCCTGTGCATCCAACTCTGGGGCTGCCTATTTTCTAATTTTTAATATATACTTTTATTGATTTCCAAGAGGAAGGGAGAGAGAGAGAGAGAGAAACATCAGTGATGAGAGAGAACCGTCAATTGGCTAATTCCTGCACGTCCACACTGGGATTGAGCCTGCACCCGGGGCATGTGCCTTGGCCTGGAATTGGATCAGGACCAGATCCTGAGTGGCACAAAGGCCCATGATGAAGGGTGTTTCCTTCTGCGGAGGCCGAGTCAGACGCACGGTGTTTTGCTTCTTTGCTTTCCACTGTTCAGGATTTTTAGATGAGAGCGGCCCCTCCCTCTTGCTTGCCTTTCCCCTCCCATGTGCCCCTCGGGTGGATGGGCCCTGCTGGGTCCTTCAGTCTCTGCTCGGCCGGCAGGTGGAGGGGCACATCAACCGCATCCGCGAGGAGCTGGACCGGGAGCGGGAGGAGCGCAACTACTTCCAGCTGGAGCGGGACAAGATCCACACCTTCTGGGAGATCACCCGGAGGCAGCTGGAGGAGAAGAAGGCGGAGCTGCGCAACAAAGACCGGGAGATGGAGGAGGCCGAGGAGCGGCACCAGGTGGAGATCAAGGTGAGTGGGGCCGCCCCCCTGTCCCACCAGGGTCACCACCATGATGCTGGGTCGGGTGAGTGTCGTGTTATCTCCTTGCTTTTGGGTGACAGCCCTTTGTTTGTGTCCTTCACCCTGGGAACCTGAAGGCATTTCTTATACAAGATGATGTGCATCCAGGTGAACATGGGTGTGCAGGAGTGTGTGCAGTGAGCATGTGTTTGCACAGAGCAGGAGTGTGTGTGCCGTGAGCATGTATTTGCACGAAGCAGGAGTGTGTGTGGTGAGCGTGTGTTTGCACGGAGCAGGAGAGCATGCAGGAGCATGAGTGTGTGCGGTGAGCATGTGTTTGCACGGAGCAGGAGAGCATGTGTGTGCGGGAGTGTGTGAGGTGAGCATGGTTTTGCATGGAGCAGGAGAGTATGTAGGAGCAGGAGTATGTGCAGTGAGCATGTGTTTGCACAGAGCAGGAGTGTGTGTGCCGTGAGCATGTATTTGCACGAAGCAGGAGTGTGTGTGGTGAGCGTGTGTTTGCACGGAGCAGGAGAGCATGCAGGAGCATGAGTGTGTGCGGTGAGCATGTGTTTGCACGGAGCAGGAGAGCATGTGTGTGCGGGAGTGTGTGAGGTGAGCATGGTTTTGCATGGAGCAGGAGAGTATGTAGGAGCAGGAGTATGTGCGGTGAGCATGTGTTTGCACAGAGCAGGAGTGTGTGTGTGCCGTGAGCATGTATTTGCACGAAGCAGGAGTGTGTGTGGTGAGCGTGTGTTTGCACGGAGCAGGAGAGCATACGTGTGCGGGAGTGTGTGCGGTGAGCATGTGTCTGCATGGAGCAGGGGTGTGTGTGCAGTGAGCAAGCGGTAGATCTCCTGCCCGCAGGTGTACAAGCAGAAGGTGAAGCACCTGCTGTACGAGCACCAGAACAACCTGACGGAGATGAAGGCTGAGGGCACCGTGGCCATGAAGCTGGCCCAGAAGGAGCACCGCACGCAGGAGGGCACGCTGCGCAAGGACATGCGTGCTCTGAAGGTGGAGCTCAAGGAGCAGGAGCTGGCCAACGAGGTGGTGGTGAAGAACCTGCGGCTGGTGGGTACCTCCGTTGGCAGCTGGGTGTTGAACTGCAACTGGGAATTCACATTTTTGTTAAAAAAAACTCCTGCTTTTTGGCAATTAATTGAAATATTCTTTTAAAACCATGCAGCCAAGCAGATCTACTTTGGTGTCAAGTACAGAATTCTGTCTCAGATTCGAGCAACAAACTGACACGAGGAAAACCAATCAGGGTTCCTCTGCGTCTGACGCCTGACCCCCAGCCGCTCTCCCACGCTGCACGTCTGGTGCAGGTGGGAACACACAGCCATTGACGTGGCCAGCACCCCGGTCCACAGGCCCACAGCAACCTGTCATTCCAGCTGGTTCATGAGCTCCTGGCTGGCTGACCTGGAGAGCTTTTGGTCCAGTCTGATGGCGGCTGGTGGGGGTGCCCGGACGGTGCCAGGCCTGCTCTGATATCTGGGGAGGGACGTAAATGCCTTTCCACGTGTGGCACGTGGTCTGCACCCAGCAGAGCAGGCCAAATAATGCGTCAGGTCCGCACACACTTCCCTAGGCAATAAGGAAGGGCAGAGTGAGCGGAGCCGTGGGAATGGAGTTCTGGGAATGGCTCACTGAGAAGGTGGCATTTGTGTAAAGGCAGTAAGGTCTGAGCCAGGCTGTGGGGACCAGGACAGGAGAAGAGATAGGGGATGAGGCAACATGTAGGCCAGAGAAGCAAGTCGATCATAGCTTGTCGGCCTCGAAAACCACGGGAGGCCCGGGCTTGGATCCTGGCTGATTCCGGAGCCTATGATGGTTTGGGCAGAGAGAGAGTGCGTCTGACTTTGGTTTTCGAAAGTTCTTCCTGGCTTCAGGCTGAGAAGAAGTTGTCAGCAATGTTTGTCTCATGTGAAGGGAGCCAGGCTCCACCGGATCTGGAAAACACTGAAGCTGCAGAGTTTGCAGTCAAGCCCGAGGGTGTGAAGGTGTTGGACCCCCGAGAGTGGCCCCAGCAGGTTTGGCTCAATAGTTAGAATGTTGACCTGCAGACACTCTAGGGTTTGATTCTGGCTCAAGGGCATGTACCTTGGTTGCAGGATCGATCCCCGGCCATGCTAGAGGCAACTAGTCAATGTGTCTCTCTCATATCGATGTTTCTCTCTGTTTCTCCCTGTCCCTCCCACTCTCCCTAAAAATAAATGAGTGGGGGTTAAATAAGTAAATAAAAAGGAATGGTGTGATATCTCCTGGCATAGGCACACAGTAGGCTGTTTTCCAATGAATTCGGTGATGTGAGACTGTCTGCTGACCCAAGGCCTGTATAATGATCAGTTATGTGGTCAGAGTTCCCTTTTGTGTAAAAATACTGCTGTAAAACAATTGCCATTTTATACTCAGAATTGTATACAATAGCCATCTATTGAGATAATTCTTATTGTTGCTCTGAGCCAAGGCTGGAGGTGTGAGCAGGCCCCCAGGTGGAGCCTGCAGCTCTGGAAGACCATGGCTCCATCCCGCAGGCAGGCCAGCAGGGGCCGCAGCTGCTGTCAGTCCTTAGAATCTCTGTTAACACTTTTTCAAGCTCAGAGCTGACTTCAGCCAAGTGAGTTTTCATGTGGAAGTTACCAAAGCCCTCTTATTCTGGATGTGGTCTGTGCGTTGGGGGCAGAGGCACCCGCCAGAACAGCAGAGTTTGCCCAGCGGCTTCTCTGTCATCTCATAATTGCATGCTTCTGCCTTTGCAGAAACACACGGAGGAGATTACCAAGCTGCGGAACGACTTTGAGAGGCAAGTGCGAGGTCAGTGTCTCACTTCCTGCGTGCCACCCATCAGAAAGTGACTCTGTGGGGCTCATCTGAGCCGGGCTGTTAGGCCAGGTCAGCACAGCCCAGATTGTGCGGGGAGAGTCTGGTCGTTTGTTCAGGCCGATGGACCTCAGCACCCCAGAACCAAGTGTTTTCTGTGTCAGTGGGGAGGCTTTGTCCACCACCCACATCCCTGCTCCTGGCAGAGACTAGTGGCTGGGAGCAGGGGGTGGCCACTCAGTCTTGTGGGCAGTGTTCTCAGTCTTTCCCATGGCTCCTGGTCTTAGGCGGTTTGTCCAGCTTTAGTAACAAAGCCCTGTGTTGTGACCGGAAGGGGTCATGGCTAGCAACCACGGGATGGGCTGAGCTTAGCTCTTGGGAGCTCTGCAGGGGTGGAGTAGCCACGACTGCCCCGGGCAGAGGACAGCAGGCGTGGGGTGTGCCATACGTGCCCCCTGAGCATCAGTGGGAAAACCCTCTGAAACCACCCTCTTCCCTGGCGGATGAGTGTGGGCAGCACTGGCACTGCCGGCTGCTCTCTGCTCAGCGGCTGTGTGCGCTGCTGCCTTTCAGAGATCGAGGCCAAGTATGACAAGAAGATGAAGATGCTCAGGGATGAGCTCGATCTGCGGAGAAAGACCGAGATCCACGAAGTGGAGGAGAGGAAGAACGGCCAGATCAGCACGCTGATGCAGCGGCACGAGGAGGCTTTCACAGACATGAAGAACTATTACAACGACATCACCCTCAACAACCTGGCCCTCATCAACTCCCTCAAGGTGCGGGGGCCCGCCGGGGCCAACGCAGTGTCCCTTAGGAAATGTTTCTGGTGATGCCCTGCACTGTCCTGGATGGAAATCCACGGGGAATGTAACTCCTCTGCACCTGTAGCTGAAAACAGGCTGTTGCCCTTGTGTCGGGTAGGAGAATGAGTAGGACAGTGTCCGTCCTGAGGGTAAAGGCCCAGGCAGGACTGTGGTCGGAGCCTAGCACAGAGGCATGGGCAGGTGTCATTGCCACCCGTGTGCCAGCAGGGATGGGGTTCCACAATGCAGGAAGCCCTGCATGGGGTACTGAACAAAGCGTCATCTCCTGAGAACCTCGTTCGCAGGACATTCAGAGTAGGTGTGTGTGTCTCCGTAAAACAGGTCTCGTTGGCCTGCGTGCCCACAGCGGCAGGACTTGCCTGTAGCAGGTGATCTCGCAGCCCTGGCGCTGCCCGCTGAGCCCTCCTGCACATGCCTGTGCCCACAGGAGCAGATGGAAGACATGCGGAAGAAGGAGGAGCACCTCGAGAAGGAGATGCTGGAGGTGTCTGCGCAGAACCGGCGCCTGGCGGAGCCGCTGCAGAAGGCCCGGGAGGAGATGAGCGAGATGCAGAAGAAGCTGGGTGACCACCAAAGGGACAAGCAGATCCTGGTTGTGAGTGTCCCCCGCAGACCCCTCCCTCCTTGGCTCCTCCTGGCTCAAGAGAGAAGGGACATCCGTGAGATGCCTCCTGGGGCCTGTGCAGGGCTTGGCCCTAACGACAGGAGGGCGTCTGAATCTCCATTTTCTGTGAGTGGAGATGAGGTGGGGGAGCGTGTAGAGTCAGTGTCCACATCCACCATGGTGGGGATGAGCCAGTGTGTCTTTGAGCCAGTTCTTCCTGGAGATTATTCCTGGTCTCGCCATCTCCAGGAGCCTCCACGTGTGCACGCATGAACCCTGAGTGCCTTCTGCGTTCACCCCTCCTCTCTGCAGGGCACGAAGGCAAGCTTGAAAGTCACCGAGAAAGAGCTCAAGAGCCTGCAGTGGGAGCATGAGGTGCTGGAGCAGCGGTTTATCCAGGTGGGCAGCCAGCAGCCCAGCTGAGACTGGTCCCAGGAGGTCCCGCTGCCTGCTCCTCCTCCGGCTCTCGAGGAAGCCATGGCACGTTCTGTGGAAGGCCCAGGTCTAACCCAGCAGATCCCTGGTGGGGAGCTGTGTGCCCACCTGGCCCTCTGGCTCATTCTCTAGCCAGCATCCTTTCCTCTACGTACATGGATGTGCATGTTGGGAAGAAGTCATGGAGGCCTGAGTCTAAGTAAAAACAAGAGGGATCCCCTGCTGCTCAGCGCTGAGCCTCACAAGCGTTAACAGCTTCCGTGTCTCCTCCCAGCTCCTCCTGAGTGTCCATGGAAGTCCGTGGGTGGGACTTCCTGCTTTAGATGCAGCGCCTTCCAGCTCCCAGGTCCTGCCGCTCACTCTGGTGTCACCCGTGCTCCCCACCGAGTGCAGCTGGCGCTGAGAGACTCCTGCTTTCTCTCATGCCAGCTCGTCTGTGCCCTGTGGGCGCCTCCTTAGGGAAGCCAGTTCCTGGTGATGGAATTACTGGGCCAGAAGGTTTGCGTTCAGATTTCAGATAGTCTGCCCAGAGGGCTGTTGATCTCACTCAAGTGCCCAATGGGCCGCTTCCTGCTACACCAGCTGTCGCGAATCCCAAAGTCTGCTGCTGTGTGATTGGTGGAGAATGTCTAGTTGAATGTGCTTTCCTTAGATTTCCATCGAGCCTGAGATCCCTCCCTGCAGTGTCCGGGGTCTGCCCCGGGCAGAGCATTGCCACTTGCTCCGTTTGTTAGTGCAGGGTGCTCCGTGGCCCGCGCAGGGTGTGCCATGGGCCAGAGTAGGACACCCCATGGGCCAGGTTCCTCCACTGATGTGCAGGAGTGCCTGTGAGTTCGTCATATCGACACCCTCCAAGGCGCTCAGAGGGGCCTGCTGGCTTCAGGGAGCCTGTGGCTAGAGGGGTTTGGCGCAGAGGGCACAGGCTCCATGGTATGGGTGGACTCGGCGTAGACGGCACGGTGGAAGGCGTGTCTGGCCCAGGGCATAGGGGCAGGGCTTCTTGCCGGCGAGATGGCCCAGCGGAGGCGTCCCTGCAGGTGCAGCGGGAGCGGGACGAGCTCTACAGCAAGTTCACGGCGGCCATCCTGGAGGTGCAGCAGAAGACCGGCTTAAAGAACCTGCTCCTGGAGCGCAAGCTGCAGGCCCTCAGCGCTGCCGTGGAGAAGAAGGAGCTGCAGCTCAACGAGGTGCTGGCCGCCTCCCACCTGGACCCCACCACCCTGAGCCTGGTGTCCCGCAAGCTGGAGGTCAGTGCCCGATGGGCCCCGGGGGCAGCCGGATGGTGCCTGTGCTCCTGCCCTGGCAGGCGGCCTGCAGGGGCTCTGACTGGGTCACTTGTCTCATGTTGAGACCCCACGCATGTGCAGCCTCCATCAGCCCAGTTACCCACCTCGGCCAGCCCTGGGGAGGGGCTCCCCACACTCTCTCACTCAGAACTCGGCTCGCCGCTACTGCTTCTTAGGATGGGTTCAGCTTAGCCTGTCAGGTGCTAGGTCTCAACTGTTCTGTAACTTGTGGGCCTGAGCCCCTTGGGCATCTGGTGGCCGACCCAGACATAAGCCTGGGGGACAGCTGAGTCTCATGTACTCTCAGGGAAGCCACTACGCTGTGTCCCACCCAGGCAGTTAGACAGGGCTTCCCACAGGGAGCTACATCTGGGCAGAGGCCAGAGCATTTGCTGACTTGAATCCTGTTATTCACGGCACCCTCTGTGCTGGGATTGGCCCGGGCCCGGGGGGCAGGGTTGGGGGGGCAGCAGTAGTCAAGGCAGGTGAGACCTCGGCGCTGTGACCGTGGGCCAGCAGGTCAGTTGAAGCGTCAGGGTAGCGATCTCGCCTGCCTTGCAGGCGGAGCCCTGCGGAACCTGCAGGTCCTCTCTCACCCAGAGGCGAGCCTTGTCCCTCTGCTCCCCGACCTGATTTTGGGGGTGGGGGGTCACAAACAGAATTGGTGGTGTGAGATAAGGGGTCTTGGTGCTGCCAGGGGAGTGTGGCTGATGCTCAGAACTCAGCCACCTGGGCCACCTGCTCGTGCCAGGCCGTGGGGCCCCGGGAGACAGATAGGTGTGCACTGGCCTCCGTGTTTTCTTCCAGAGGCTGATCCCCCTCCCTGAACGGGGTCTTCCTGGGGAAAGATCTGGGGTATTGGCGTAGGGCCTCCTCACCCTCTGGGTGCAGGTGTGTTTTATTCTGAGAAGTAGCATAAGCAGCATGGAAAAAATATTATTATTTATTTATTTTGTGTTAATCCTCACCTGAGGATATTTTTCTATTGTTTTTAGAGAGTTGAAGGGAGGGGGAGAGGCAGAGAGAGAGAGAGACATGGATGGGCTGCCTCCTGCACACACCCTGACCAGGTCCAGGGGTCGAACTCACAACCTGGGTGTGTGCTCCGCCTGGGACCCGAACCCGAGACCCTTTGGTGTGCAGGCCAGTGCTCCAGCCAGTGAGTCCCATCAGCAGTTCAGGTGACACGAGCCCCTTTGGCTCCCACCTCGAGGACGAACCTGTCAGGTCACCGCGATTGTACGTGAAGCATTGCAGCCACTCCTCCTGCCCAGCTGCCCTGCGGCCTGCAGCTGGCACTTGGTGCTGCCATCTGGGTGGGGGAGATTCGAAGCTGTCAGCTGTGTCCCTGAGTTTGGGACCGGGAAGGACAGTGGAAGGTTCTGGGGAGGACATACTGGATCTGCAATCCCACAGGGACCTCCAGGAAAGGCTGAGCAGGATGGACTTGACACAACTGCGGAGGGGCTGGGAAGGCCAAGGCGAGGTCCTTCCTGTATCCTGGCTCAGTGGCCACAGTGCTGTGGGACCGAGTCACTGGGACAGCGTGGGCGGGGGTCTGGGCAGTGCAAGCACAGAGGAGGGCTTGTCTGTAGGCAGCACTGTGGCCCTGGGCCTGGGGCTCCTCTCTGACTTGGTGCCTCTGTCCCTGAGGGTCACCAGTGTGAGGAGGGGCACTGCAGCTGCACCAGGGCCAGGGTGGGCGTGGGCGAGCTCTTGGCTTTCCTGGTCGGACCACCAGGCCTGCGCCTCTCACTTCTCAGCACCCATCTCTGCGCAGAGGCAGGCGCCGTCTCCCTCTCTCCTGGGGGACCTTTCCGCATGGCCTGCTCCCGTGTGGACACACGTGGATGGGGCCAGGCCACTGTTTCCTGGACATCCAGGGTCACTGTGAGAGCCCCAGACGCATACCATGGCTGCTCAGTCTGTCCCGTTCCAAAGACAGGTCTGCAGCTCCCATCTGCATTTCTCTCCTCAGGATGTTCTGGAATCGAAGAACAGCACCATCAAGGACCTCCAGTACGAGCTGGCCCGGGTCTGCAAGGTAGGTGGGGCCCCTGCTCAGTGCATGCCCTCACCTGGGACCCTGGGATTCCGCCGTCGCCTGCCCTCGTGGTGGCTTAGGGCAGCCCTGGCTGCCCCGGTGTTCCTCCAGGTCCAGCCTGGAGCGCTCTGGGAAAGGAGCGGGCTCTTCCCGCCTCCCAGTCTGACCTGGCTGTCGAGGCGATGGGAGTCTGCACCTCCAAGCAGGGAGCAGTTCCAGGTCTAACCTCTCAGGCTCCTTTGTGAGTCTGACGAAAGCTGCCTGCCATTTCTGTGCCAAAAACGCACATTGAGGCTCTTTGCCCCCTCTTTCCCCCGTTGTCTGTCCCATGAGTCCCAGTGGCCTGGGCCCTGCTCCCAGCACCCTCCCCCCCCCCCCCCCCCGGCATTCCCCATGTTGTCTGGGCTTTGCCTGTGGCGATGCAGACACATAGCTGCCTGTGCACGTGTTTAACAACGCAGCCACCTCTCGGGACTCAGACGTGCCCGTGGTTCTGTTTTCTATGCTTCTGTTCCATGTGAGCCTGGGCTGTGCAGCCTCAGATGGAGGCGTCTGTGGTGCTGGGCATTCCCTTCCCCTCCCAGCCGGAACCTTCCCTGGATGCCCAGCCCCTGGATACTTGTGCACCCAGAACTGGTGCCAGCTGCTGGCCATGCAGCTATTGGAGCATCTGCACAAGCTGTCAGGAGGCCTGTATCCCTCAAAGTTCGAGAGCCAGGCCCAGCCCCCACTTCTCTCTGGAGCTCTGCTCAGTCCTCCCTCTCACTCTTGACCGAAGTCCCAGCACCAGGTGTGAAGATGTGAGGACGATGTGCCCTCTGGAGGTTTTGTTCTGAGTCAACCCTCGCTCCAGGCGCTGCTCAGGCATCGTCTCTTCAGACCCTCTAGCCACTGACGACGACGATGTTTACCCTTTTAAAGACGCCTTTCCCAGAGGGACAGAGCCATGTCCCTGGACCTGGCAGCACTGCTGGCCATACTGAGCTCTTCTGGAACATGGGGGTCCCCTGTGTTCCCCATCAGCCATCTTTGTGATCCCTCCTTCCCGCCCTCCAGAGCTGAGTGTGCTGGGGAAGGCACTGCCCTTGCCCCAGGGAGCCCTCCCACACGCGCTGTCTCCACAGGCCCACGGCGACCTGCTGCGCACCTACGAGGCGAAGCTCCTGGCCTTCGGGATCCCTCTGGACAACGTGGGCTTCAAGCCCCTGGAGACGGCCATGATTGGGCAGGCCCTGGGCCAGGGCCCTGCGGGGCTAGTGAGCACCCCAACATAGCCCCCCCGGGACTTCTCCCTGCACGACACCCCTTAACACTGCGGCAGCAGGTGTGTTTTATTTCTTGGGTCAGTGAATGAAGGCTTTCATGTTTGCCACGTGTCCTGGTGCACAATTGTGGCCAGTCTTCCCTGCCCAGTTGCCCCCCCGCTCCTCCATACACACACCTCCTGCCGGGCAGCACAGCACGGCTCTGCCCAGTGACCGCAGCAGCCTGCAGGTGCCACAGACTTTATTGGTGCCCAAGTCACAGCGCCACTAGGGCTTGGGGTCCAGACCCCCCCAGGAAGCGGGACCTGAGGCCCCAGGAGGAGCAGGGAGCCCCTGTGGATGGCTGCAGAGGCTCTCGGACCAGCGGGCGGTCAGCTCCCTCGGTAGGTGGTGTAGGACCATGGGCTCAGCAGCAGGGGGACGTGGAACTTGTGGGTCTCGTTTGTGATGGTGAAAACGACCTGAGAACAGAAGCACCAGGAGGGAGTACTGTCCCCAGTGCTCCCCTGGAGAAGCCGGACTGTGGCCCGAGGGCTGGCTCCCAGGGAGCCTCAGAGCGGCCAGCGCCTGGTGACTGGAAACGGGCTGTGGACAAGACTGAATCCGCTCTGAACCCTGGGCCTGCCAGGCTTCCAAAGGTGCCCACCCTGAAACAGGTCAGGCGAAGGGGGTGCAGCAAGGTGAGGCCCAGTGAGTTGGACGAGACTTGTTCAACACCTGTGTCCACAGAGGCTGAGTCACCCTCCACCCTGCCCACCACAGCCTGACCCGGGGCCAGGGGAGGGACACCTTTCTCCTGGGAGCTCAAAGCAGGTGAACTCACTGCCTGCCAGTGCCCTGGGAGAGGGAGAGGAGGCACTGCCCTGGGAGAGGAGGAGGGGTCATTGCCCTAGGAGAGGGGGAGGGGCACTGCCCTGGGAGAGGAGGAGGGGTCAGTGCCCTGGGAGAGGGGGGAGGGGCATTGCCCGCCGCAGGACCGTGGAGTCAGTGACTCACAGCCTCCACTCCATGCCAGCCTGTGCCCTCACCTCCACATAAGGATAGAAGCTGTCCTGCCCCCTTTTCTTCCAGTAACCCTCGGTATCGAAGGTCAGCTTGTAGGTGCCCGCCTTCATCTGGCCTGGCAGCAGGAGCCCAGGGCAGCGGCCATCGGGGTCGGTGTAGCTGTTGGGGAGAGGGACGAGGTGCACCCCTGCCTGGCTCTCGGGATCTCCACAACTCGCAGCCTCACACACCCCTGCAGCCTGGCTCGGGAGAGACTAGTGCCTGGGGTTATGGAGCAGCTGTTGTCCAGCACAGAGAAGCAGGAGAGGGAAACCTCCCACCATGTTCCCCAGGAGCAATCATCACTATTTGACCTGTATTTTTCCATGTACTCTCTATCAGTATGCTTATTTATAAACTGAGAAGGCAAGGTGGATGATACTGTTCCTATTGTTTTGTAACCTGGACGAGACGTGCAGTACATGGTGTGTGGCTTTCGGGGTCCGTTCCTGTTCCAGGTGGCCCAGTGCCCCATGACTCTGCTGTGCAGGCTGATGAGCTGGCACTCTGGTCAGAGAGCACCGCTCATCTGCACTCGGGGAGTTGGGAACGGGCCCCTGCGGCCCCCAGGGGACTCCATGTGCTCTTCCAAGACCACAGCCGGCCTTCAGGTGGGCTCTGGGCCCGCAGCCTTTGTGAGGCATGGAACAGGGAGGGACACGCTCCACACCCTCAGGCCCTGAACTTTTGGGGCCACCAAGTGCCAACATGCCAGCCTGGGCCTCCCAGCAGAGCTGAGTGCCGGGCAGAAGCCAGAGCCACAAGAACACAGCTGCCAGGCTGGTGCGGGTTGTCCCTGCTTCTGTCTAAGGGTCACTAGGTGCAGTGAGGATAAAGGAAGAGAAGTGCTATGTGGTGAGGGGAAGCCTTCACTGGCCTAGCCTGACCCCTGACCCCTGCCGGGAGAGGCTTCAGGAGCCGGCAGGGGATGTGGGGGGCCCTGCGCTGAGGGAAGGGCTCTGGACGCAGTGCTACCCCAAAACCTACCTTCTCCTCAGTTCTGTCCACTGCTGGCCATGGTCCTCGAGCCTCGACAGACAGAGGCAGAGGCCTTGGGCTGGGAGCCCGGAGGCAGTGTCCAGCACGTGTGTGGTCAGCGGGCTGCGGACTGGCTCCATGCCTCTGCCCTGGGCCAGGAGAGAGGGACAGACAAGCCCTGTGTCCACACCAGCTCCAAGGAGGCAACACTTAAGAGCAAACAGCCCTGTGGGATGGAGAGTCCCAGGATGTCCCTGGGGCGGCGATGACTGAGGCTGTGGTGTGCACACACTGAGGTGCAGGTTGTCAGCTATGCTGACCTCTTCCCCACCATCCCCACTGGGACTCTCCCCTCCCCTCCCTCCACCATCGCTTGGTGCCGCCCTGCTGGTCAGTGCTGGTGCGAAGCCAGGCGCTCCCAGTTCTCCCAGCTCAGCTTCCAGTCTGGAGCCCAGGCCGACAGGACGAACAGCCCTACCTCCCAGGAGCCCAGGCCAATGGGTCGGGACAGAACCGCCCTACCTCCCTGAGCCCAGGCCGACGGGACCGGATCGCCCTACCTCCCTGAGCCCAGGCGGACGGATCTGAACCGCCCTGCCTCCCGAGAGCCCAGGCCGGCGGGACGGAGCCCAGGCCGGCGGGACAGAACGGGACCGCCCTACCTCCCGGGAGCCCAGGTGCCGCTGGAGCGCGCGCAGCCGTGGGGCAGACGCCGAGCTCATGCCCAGTAGCTGGGAACGGCAGAGCTGAGGTCACCCCGCCCGCCTCCGCCTGAGGGCGCCTCCACGACCGCCCATCCTGCCGTCACCTCCCTGGCCCGGATCGAGTGTCTGACCCAATGGGGTGGTTTGTGGGTGGAGGTACCTCTCGGTGCCACCAGTATGGCCCCAGGGACTGTGCTCGGGAGGGGTCCAGGCGGGCCAGTGGGGTGCACGGAGCTGTGGCTGCAGAGGCAACTCCCACCGGAAGTGAAATCGAGGGTACGTCTGGGATGGGCGGCGATCAGGGAACCGAACGGGAGGGGCGGGACGGGGCGGGGCGGGAGGCGGGTGGAAGCGGGAGGGTGGTTCTTCCCATATCCACTGTGGCCTCTAGCTCGGCCTGGAGGTGGCTCACGAGCCGACTCCCATTAGGAGTCCCAGAAAAAACGTGGATTTTTTACCTTCTGGGACAGTCAGCATAAATATATATATTTATTGACTTCAAGAGAGGAAGGGAGAAGGAGAGGGAGATAGAAACATCCATGATGAGAGAGAATCATGGATTAACTGCCTCCTGCATGTCCCACACTGGGGAGCTAGCCCACAACCCGGGCTTGTGCCCCCATGGGGAATCGAACCTGGGACCCTTCAATCCAAGGGCCGACACTCTATCCATTGAGCAACATGGGTTAAAGCAGGACAGTATTTTGATGGAAGCCTCTCAAAGGTCAGGTAAGGTGTTCAACTCTGTCCTAACAGGCCCTGTGATGATGCCTCAGTTTCCCCATCTGTGAAAAGGGGGCGTTAATGACTCCTGGTTGTTACGGTTCCACAGAAGAAGACAGATGAGCTTGTGCTCTTGTCCCACTGTGGCCCACTCTGGTGTCCTGGGGCCCCTCTGGCCTCTTCTGTCTCCCTCCAGGCCCACTCTGCGCCCCTCCACCTCCCAACCCCTTCTCCTGCCTCAGTTCCACACACTAATTGGCTGCAGAAATAAGGAGAGTTGCATGGCGTATCTGCAGGTATGATTCTATTGCTGTGTTGCTCTGGACACAGGAACTGTTTTTTCTTACCAAGGTGTATTTTGTAATAATTCAGTAGTGAGCATGGATTATCTGTAGGTTTAGAATTAGGCCCCTTCAAGGTAGGGATGATGACTCTTGTAGCAAAGGTTGAAAGTGAGATGTTTATAACTCTGGAGGTGATTAGGAAATATCTATTTGAAATGTGCACACACATGACATTTGGCAGGGCTTATGTTTGCAGCAGATAACCCCAAAGAGATGCTGCTTACACTGTTTCGGCAAACGTATGTGGGTACAAGAGACTAGAAACAGCCAGAATGCCCTCACTCTGCACAGATAAGGAGTTCTGTCGCACCCCTGTATGCTCTGCTGCTCTCTGAGAAGAATTAGGTCCATTGTAAGACAGGTCTCCACAAGCATCACACTGGGTAGGAATGGAGGCGGTCATCTATAGCTTTGAGCTGTAAATCTCTGGTTACAAAGGCTAGCTTGCTCAATGCTCTAAAAGATCAATGGAAAAATGACCCCCAGTAAGGATTAACAACAAACAAAAAACAAGAAGTCTCAGTGAGACTTCGTGGGGGTGAGTTGGAGAGGTGGATGGCGTTGTAACCTGCCAATCAATGCATCTAGGCTGCCTGTCACCGCGTTAGCCAATTCAGCAGAGACATGGTTGAGTCCCCTAGGAGCACTTCTGATACTGCCAGCAGCATGGGTCATTCACAAGAATCTGCACCCCGTAGCCAGCTGTTTATATAGGGTAGGGCAAGGGTTATATCAGGCCTGGGGAAGTAGGCTGTGCGGGCTGGGGTGGGACACCATCATTTGGGCAGCAATGTTGTTAGTCTTTCCGTGATAATTTAGTAGTTAGTGGCTGTGAACATGGATAGTGAGAGCCCTACACCATCTCAGACATGTCATTGATAAGGTCCATGGTGACTTTGCTGATCATATTTCAGCAGCAGCAAAATGAGTCTCCCCTTATAGGATCTCAAAATTCCAATATTGTTTCTTATTTTTTCAAGTTACTTCTGTGATATCAGGTTATTGTTACTGAGTACTTTTTTCTCATAGTAAATAAATTGTAAACACATTTTTTTCCCTGAACATAAGATTCTGGTGTTGAAACACATTGTTTTCAAAGGTGTTCTTGTAACTGAAAGGGTTCTGCTCGATTTCTGTTTCTGTCTCTTTCTGAATGAAAGATAAGAAAAACCTGTAGAAATGTGCTAAGATTAAGCATCCCTTATTTTGTGATTTATTTTAATGTAAACATAGAGCAGACTCATACTGTTGTTTTATAGGATATATTTTCCTTCAAGTAGGTAACTGATTATACTGTACACATTTACGGTTCTATATACTTATTACTCCAGCCCTCAAAATACTCGTTCAGCCAATTCCTACCCAAAAATAATTCTCTGCTGCCCTCCTGTGGCCATTCAAGGAATAACACAGTGTTTCTGTCCATGGTGCTGACATTTCAGCTAAAGCCCTGTGAACACGACAAAAATTCTACGCAGAAAAAGAAGAAAAACAAATAATCAGGGCCGTCCAAAGCGGCAACCATTCCTTCCCTCATGGACCGAAGTCACGGCTCTGGGGTCTTGACCTGTTCCCAACCCATCCCTGGAAAGGGAGGCCCCGGAGACTGCTGCATGGAGGTTCCCTTTAAGGTGACCCAAATTCTGCCTAATGCTCCGTGGTGCATCTTTTAACTAGAGAGCAGTGAGTGAGTGTATGTCTGGCAAGTTGTGCTCTAACCAGTTAGCCACACCTGCTATGGATTCTATTCAATTCATATAAATTGGAGGGCTGGTCAAAGGTCAGAGGTCAAAGCTGGGGCTCAGACTAGGGCTGAGGTTAGAGTTAGGGTTTTTGGGTGAGGGTGAGCATGATAGGCCAGGGACTGGGTCATGGAGGGTCAGAGGTGGAAAAGGTGAATTTGCTTGGAAATGGAAAATTTTAATGTATTTCAGCACCATCCAAATTTGTCATCCGTTGCAAGATTTTAGTAAATTCTAATATGGCTTCTTACTTTTTCAAGTTACTGTAGTGACATTAGGTTATTAAAATTGAATGCTTTCTTCTCCTAGTAAATTAGCTGTAAACACATTTTTTTCTGAATAAAATATTCTAGTTAATACTTTGGTTTTGAAACACATTGGTTTTGAAACCTGTTCTTGTAATTCAAAGGGTTCTGCTCAATAACCTATGCCTGTCTCTTTCAGAATGAAACGTGGTAAGACCAAGCATCCTTTATTTTGTGATTTTTTTAGAATGTAATCATAGAACAGAATTATACACTGGTTTTGTGGGAGAAACGCTTATATATTTTTTCTTCTGATTATACTGTACATGTCTATGGACTTATGTATTTATTATGCTAGCCCTTAAGGGACTTTGTCAATTTCTGCACAATAATAATCCTCTGCTGTCCTCCTGTGGCCATTCAAAAAATAACACCCTGACTCTCTGTCCATGGTGCTGCAATTCCAGGTCAAGCCCTGTGAACACGACCAAAATTTCTGCCCAGAAAAACACCCCCAGGAAATCATCGTTGCTGTCCAGGGCAGCAATCATTATATATTCACGGCTCTGTGTTCTTAAATCTTCCCACCCCAGCTCCGCAAAGGGAGGCCCCCGTAGACTGCTGCACTGAGGTTCCCCTTACAGTGACCCATCCTGCCTGCCTACTATGTTCCGTTGGTGCTGTTGTTTACTACAGTGGTGAGTGTGTGTCTGGCAAGCAAATGCTCTAACCAGTGAGCAACACCAGCTACGAACTGCATGCACTTTTGTTGTGTTAATAATCTGAATTTATTTTCACCTCTAATTGACATACAGTAATACATTACTTTCCGGTGTACAACAGTGATTGAACATTCACATCCCTCACATAGTGATTATCCTATCAGTCTAGGTCACATCTGTCTCTGTTGCCTATGCTGCAGTTACACCTCCATGCCTATTTTCTAAGAGGTGTGATGGACTTTTCCAGCCCCAGTGGGGACAACCCAGGGCTGGTGTTGTTCAAGGTGGATAGCGAGCAAGATGGTGGCAGAAGAGCAGCTGTAGGATAATGTGTTTCAGAAGATGGAGGGGTTGTGTGGTGGAGCAGCGTGTGTGATTGCAACACTTTAGGGGCTTAGGCTAAAGAAGCAGTGGCTGTTTGTAGGTGATTGAGGTAAGGAAGTGAGACTCAAAGTGTCCTGCAGCTGCTATCACAAGACAGGTCCTTCCAGAAGTTCCAGGGAGAACATGCAAGCCTTTTCTATCTCCTGAGAGGGGAGTACCTGGATATCCCACAGGTCCCAGTGTGATTACAGACGCCCTTATAAGGAGGCGGCAGTTGGGTCAGAAGTGGACAGATAGATGAGGCTGTGCTGCTGGCTGTGGATGACAAAGGCCAAAGGAGAGGCACGTCTTGAGGGAGGCTCCAGTGTCATTGTGGGCTTGTCCTTCCCGCGGTCGTGGATGCCATGCATCATGTCCTGCAGGTTCTGGTGGAACATGCGGTTGATATGCCCTTGACCATCTCGAGTGCCCTAACGACGGCGGCTTGTGTGCCGGAGACCCGGGAAGCCCCATGCCAGACGGTGTGCAGGGATGGGGGGCCCGCCTTTGCTCCTTGGGGAGCAGTGCTCTGCCGTCCGCCACTGCGGGGCATGCGACCAGGCCAGTCCCTTGGCAAGATCCACTGGGCAGGCTGCGCCCCATTCCCTTTCCCTTCAGTCTCTGTCTACTCACTTTTAAAAATATAAATTTGAGGGCACTCAAGGGTCAGAGGCCAAGGCTGGGACTGTGGCTAGGGCTGGAGTTGATGTTAGGGTTTCAGGGTGATGGGTCAGGGTCAGAGTCGCGCTCAGGGTCAGGGTCAGAAGTGGAAAAGGCAAATTGTAATTGGAAAGAGAATTTGCTTTGCAAAATATGACTTTACTTTGCTTAAGATGAAATTGAAGGGTGAAAGGTGAATTTGTGTTGCAAAATGTGAAT